CAAAGCTCTATGTGACACCGCATGAATATCAAGTCCCGATTCCCAGCCAGGTCTTGCTGTGGCTCATTATGAATAAGCGCTCAGTGTGACAGCCTCAGGCGAAAATATTCTGCATGCACGACGAGCTCGATTTTCTTTTCATTTTCGTTTTCGTTTTCATTTTGGTAATAGTGGCACTCGTTTACTTGACAATTTTCATGTGAACTAGCTACAATTTTTCTTCGTCAATCTGTGGCGGATGCAAAGGATGCAGCAGCAGCAGGAGCAGAACCATCAATAGCTGCAGCAGCAGCAGCCAGGACCTCAATGAACTTGGTTGCCTTCTGGTTTGCTGTGGCTGCCAACTATCAGCGAGCGAAGAGATTTTCACCAGACACACAGCACAAACAGCACACAGGAACAACAAGGCACTTGTGGGCCAGGAACTTAAGCAGGAAACAGGAAAAGTAAGTTCCACCATTTTTGTGTGCTACGTGACGTCTTTCTCTTGAGACGTCACAAGATTTATTGTATGCAAGTTATGTGTGGCTGTATTGTTTGCACAACTGTACTACTTGTACATGAGTATACTTATCTGTGTGTGTGTGTGTGTCTGAGTGTGGGGGTGTCTCTCTGTGTGTGTTTGTAAAAATATGCAAATCGGTTTTGCACTGCTGACGACTTTTTCACAAGCAGCTGAAATGTGCTTAAAATTTGCAAGATTGTTCTACATTTTTAACTGCTGTCGATATTTTGCATGATCTATGTGACATTGGGTAGATTGATTGCTATAAGCAATATGTAACGTTGGAATTAAGATCAAATGTAGATAGTAGAGAGTTATCTATGTAGATCTATTAATACATTTCTCTGTGAACGGGTATTAAATAAAGTTATATATCAGATGTATATAATAGATAAATTAAGAATGACTACAATGACACTACTTTATTTATTTATTTATTTTTTATATTTTCAGTTTCTAAAATGAATGAATACATCCTGAGTTGATTTGAAGAAATACTTCCATCACTTTTTGGAAAAGTAAACAATACATATAAATTTGGAACCAATTTAATTTCAATTCCATTTCTATAGCGACTAGATTGTCGAATATTCTAAATAAATCTAGAAAGCTTTTTCTCTATTTTTTATTTTTTATTTTCTTTCACTTTGCTGTCACACCTCGACAATTGTGTTGTGTGCAGTTGTGTGTATGTGTGTGATTGTGTGTGTGTTTGGGATTACTTGGGTTTGTTATTGCACTTTGCATATTTTCAGCATGCTAGTACGTGTATTTGATTTGACTTTATCTCCCATTGCGACAGTTACCCAACCTTTTCCCATTCCCTTTTCCGTTTTCCCGCTTGCGTTTTCTCTCTTGCGATCAATTTAAATGCACTTTTCATGGCTTGACTTTTATTTTTTTGTTTCTTTCTTCCCTTTTACATTTGGCTGTTTTGCTTGTATTTACGGAATTTCACCCGCCTTTTGCCGTTGTTTATGCTCGTGCCAGGTACATCAAATTGCTGTTAAAATTCTAGCAGCACAATCAATGCACTTAGCCTGGGTACTCCATTTCTATCCAAGAAAAATTTTGGGAATTTACCAAACAGATGCTAAAGGATTATTATTATATATATTATTATGTCATTATTTATATTGGTTTTTATATTATTATTTATGTATATGTAAACTTAAATTACCTTTAATAATAATAAAATATTATAAAAGCATAAGAAACTTAATTTTACCCTAGTCAATTTGGGACTTTGATTAAATTACATTTAAGAACTTTTGCCTATTTTATTGAATCTTTTGTAATTTTGTCTTCTCATATAAGAGTATTTTAATTTCTTTTAACGTCTGCTTTCCTTTCGCCTTGCCTTTCAGTTGCTACTGTAAATGGCAGCTCTCTTTGACTAGAAGCTGTTCTGGTCGATGGTAACTGGCAAGATTTCTAATTTTTACAGCTCGACCTTATATATAAGAAGCCTTTGTGTTTGCGAACCGCTTAATAGAAAATTAAAAAGGTTGCGCTATAAAAAATTAAAATTCATTTCGTGACGTTTGACCAGAAAAGTGAAGGAGAAAAAATGCACGTGTAAGGATAAAACAAGGAACGACTGAACGATGCTCTGTTTTTACTTTAATGTAGAAATACAATATATATAATATAGATAAATATTATTTTTTTTTTATAAATATATTTTATATATACATATATTATTATATTGTGGTATAATTGTCTAAAACTTAAACCCAATATACTCTTCTTCTTTCAGAGTAGAGCAATACAAATGTCTCTGTGTCGTTATATAAATTGGGTCATAAACTGAGACGCTGGAGACGCTTAAAGCCCAGACAGTATTTGCTGTAATTTAACGAGATTTGGCATGTCTTTTTTGCTGTTTAAAAATTATGTTCGCTGGGCGGCTGGAATCTGCTGTGGCCTGTGGCAGAGCTGAACTTTGAAAAATGCTGAACTTGAACACACAAATTGCCGAGTGCTGCGACTAAATTGCAACGTTACAGTGGCCGCCACGCCGGGGCTGCATGGCAAACACATGTGCAACAATAAACCGCAACAGCCACTTCCGCGAGCGCCACTGCTTGCCACAGCCTCCACTCTGTGGGGGTTGTCTCATTTGGCGGTTGCGAAGAGAAAAAACAGCCCCAATAGCAGCAGCAGCGGCAGCAGCAACGCCAGCAAAAATGTTTAAAAACAGCTGGTAAACACACAAAGGAAACAAGAATAAGCATGGAATACTCTCGCTGTGTGTGTGTAACGGGACAAACGCCTAAATGCAGCTTAGCATTTAAAGCGCTTTCCAAATTTGCGCTCAGGGAAATTTTCGGCGGCTAAAATTTTGGTGAGGAAGCCTTCGTTGCGGCTGCCGTTGCCTGGCGTTTATTTTGGCTGCAAAAACGGTTGCCCTGGCTATATATATCGACATACACGCACACATACACACATTTAGCTGAAAAACGATTGTGCACTTGACGTGGAGAGTGGGCGCAACTTGGGAGCTGCCAAAGTTAATGTAAAGCTAGTGTTAATTTTGGCTACTAAACTGCAGACGGCGACAGGTTGATTTTCGTTTACATTTTGCCATTTTATTTATTTACCCAGGGGCTTGGCGCATGATGTGGTTGAGATAACAGAATGCCCACAGGTAATCCGAATGCTCTAATTAACTAGGAAGAGCGCACGGGTTTGACAGGCAAACGATGAGGCAACTATTTAAATGGGAGCTCAAGTGAACTTAAATGTTAATAAATTTTAGAATAGGAATATAGAATTTAGACTAAGTAAATATATATTCAAATTTTACATACAATGAATTACTTCATAAATACTCGGTGTTTCACACTTAGTTCACACTTTTACCAACTTAATTGACACTAAATTAAGTCAACTGAATGCAACTTGTATTTCTCTCTCTCTCTCAATTTATAAATATTTAATTCTATTTACAATAAATTAAAACTCATAAATTTTCTATACTTCACATTGCGTAAATGCGCCAGACATTTAACTTATCAAATGCATCTGGAGCTGCAAAACTACTCAGATAATCTAAATGTGACAAAGCTGCATTAAGAGTTAAAACATTTCTATACAATCTTGCAGTCAGTAAAACCACATTGAACTCTTGACCTCTAAAAAAAGAAAGAAACTAAAATAAATAGAAGAACGTTTCTAGTCAAGGCAACAGATTGTGTGACACTCTGTTTCCTGGCTTCAAATGTGGGGTATATGCAATGGACTGACACTCTAATATGTGAAAGTGAAAATGTTTATATATTTCGTCTAAGTGTTTCTTCTATGTCTTGCCTAGAAGTCTTTCGTCTAAATAATTCCTCTAAGTATTCTCTCTAAGCCTTACCTCTAAGTATTTCTTCTAAGCACTTCTTCTGTCTTTCCTCCAAGTCCTTCATCTAAGTCTTTCCTCTTAGTATGTCTTCACTTTACTGCACTGCACTACTGACCCCCACCAGGCCTGGGCGACTGAAGAAATGCTGCAGCTGCTGCCCATTATATAGGGCGGCTTTCACTCAATGACGAAGTCGCTCTCAAATGTTGAGCCCGACGGCAGGTAGAGATCGTTGCAGTTGAGCTCTAAGTGACCAATGGGAGCACTCTCTGCTGCTTCGGGCATTCTAGCTTCGTGTTACTCAAATATAAATACGAAATGAATACTGCTGCTAACACATAGACAACTTCAATGATCTTCCGTAGCTCTTTGTCGTCCCTTGCTCTTGTTAGACATATAGACGGAGAGTTCGACTGTGAGATGGACATAGGCTAGATCTAGCCTGAAATTGGCTAAACTGGCGGCATTATTATTAAATATAGTACACAAAAAAATCCCTTTGGGTCTTCTCTCTTCGCTTTTACTCTGACAAGTTCTTCATCACTCGGTTTAAATATATATGTTACTTTTAATTGCGGGTCTGCTGTAAATGTAGAAATGCAACAGCCTGCACATAAGTGATACACGCATAAATAATTTATGAAAGCGCATATACTCCTTAGTTCAACTAGGAACAGAGTATTCGAAGAAAAAACACTAAGACATAAATTGAGTGGGGAAAGAGGGGCAGCAGCAGGCAGTCAGGGGTAGCCATGGCTTAGCTCTTCAGTCACAGTCAGAGCTTAGCATATTTCTTGTTGGCTGCTGCTGTTGCTGCTAAATTGTAAAATAAATCAAAATCAACATCACCCGACCCTCAAGCCAGCTGCCAAGCAAAGTGCCAATTGCATTGCCAGGCAATAGGAAATGGAGCAACTGGGGCAAGTCATGGGTCGACGGGGGCCAGTGTTATTGATGTGCTTTTAATTGAGGGTTGCATATGTGTAAGTGTGTGTGGGTGTGTGTGGGTGTGTGTGTGGGTGTATGCATCGTAGGGAAGCACATGTCTCGTAGTCATGTTACACGTTGCCATGTCTCGTCGCATGTCAAATCATTTAACTCATAACGGAAATTTTATTAGTATTCCAGGAGGAGAACACTTACCGGCATTCGTGCAATGTGCTAGCCAAATCAAAATGGCCAAATTGATGGACCAGCAAAAAATGCCAGAGAATCCACCAGCTGCCTTCCATTTGGCACTCTCGGCTCCGCTGCGTCGTCGTCGTCCTCGATGCTGTTGGTTATTTTTTGGGCAATATTTGCCCGGCATTTGCAGATTTGTTGCCACTTCGATGCCCTCAGCTAGTTGTTGATTGGAAATACCCAAATCGAGGCTCAGCCTCAGCTCCGTTGACTCCTCATGCCCGTCCGTATGCATCTTATTGCTGCAATTGCATATAGGAACAGAAAAAAAAAAGAAAAAAAAATTAATTCTTGCTGCAATTTTTTGTTTTCTGCAAAGAGTTTTTAGTTAAAGCCTTGATCGAAACTCAGCCCCTGCTGACCATATGGCACGCGCGACAGTTCTTGAGTGCCCGAGCCGTGCCACGCGGTCAGACATCATTTTAATGCAAGTGCAGCAAGTTTTCAAAACTTTTCTGCACTTTTCTCCACTCTTAATTTATGCAGGCGAACTTTGAGCATAAAAAATAAATTGACAGTTAAAAGAATTAAAGTTTTTCGCTCAAAGCTGATGTGAAAAAGTGGTAAGGGATCAGTTAAAACGTTTAATTAAAAAAAAGCTGTGAGCAACTCGTAATGTTTCAATCAATTTCAACTATTTCAATATGCAATTAACTCATTTTTCATAATTAATATGCGACATAAAAGCCAAAACTATTTGTTTACACAAATCAAAGTTTTATCTATTAGCCGTTAGCAATAAATTAATTAAATTCCCATCATTTTTTTTTTTGATGAAATAAATCGTTTGATTTACAAGATTAGTGTTTGCATTAAAAAGTTTATTTGAATAATATATTACTATTTTTTTGTTTACTTTATTTTTATTAACGAATTGTTTGGAGGCAGCCGTCGTTAGAGTTATTTAAATTTGCAATTTGTATATCTATTTATATATGACAAAGCAAAGCTAAAATTAAATTGGTTTCGTGGAATAAAACCGCAATTTTGTAAGTCAAAGCCAAAGACAAAGTTTTGGGTGTTATTTTTAGCACATTTTTAACTGTGCATGCTAATTTTGACTGGTTCTTATAATAATGTGCGTAAATTGACAACGCGACGCCTTTTGGATGAAAGTGCTAAAAATGAATGCACACAATGTGATCTGATATACCCTGTGAATATAAAAACAAGGAGGTATATCAAGTTGAAGAAGAATTCAACTTGAATTTATATAATATATATATGAAATAAATTTTATTTATATATGTAAATTCTTACTCGAAAATATTAAAAATATTTATATATAACTTCTTCTCACTTTTACAACATAAGAAAACTTATATAAAAGACACAAAAACTTGAAAATTTGCTGACAAACTGACAAACGTTAGGTTATTTGAAAAACGCAAAAAAAAAAAAAATAAATAAATAAAAAATACAAATAGAAATAAAAGTAGAAAGATGAAAGCAGATAGCTTCGTGGAGGCACGCATAAATTTGCGACTGTAATTTGGTTGTCAGAAATAAATGGCACCTATTTCAATTCAGCTCAATTCAGTCTCCGTGCAGGTGTCCAGGGACTTTCCCGAGTGTCACAAATGGCAGGCGAGGCAAAACTGACATTATTTAGATTAATGAACAGAACACAATTTGTCTGGCGAATACACTTGTCAAAATGCGTTTTCAGTATTTGAAAAAAAAAATGACCGAATGAATGAATGAGTGAGCGAGTGTCTGTGCCACTGTCTGCGTAACGAAAAGAGGGAATGAGGGGGCGTGGCGTGATGAGCGTCTCATGTCATATGCCGAGAACAATGTAAAAATTGCACAATTTGAAACAAATTAAAAATTAATTAGCATGGCGTGTGCATTAAACGTAATTAATGTTTTTCCTTTACGCCTTAGGTGTTAATAATAAATGAGCGTGTGCTTTTTATTTATTTATAGAGCCATGTATTGATTGCCGCCGGTCAGCAGCAGAAGCCGCTTAGCGCTGTGAATAAACTTTTTTCCAATCAACCAATAGCGAAAATTATCAATCAAACAAAAAAAAAAAAAAAAAAAAAAAAAAAAAAAAATTATAATAATAATTAAAGAAAAAGGGAGGGTGGTATTTTATTTCATATAAATATATATGGTAAAAATAATTATATATTTACTGTAGTTTTTTTTTTTCAGAGTACATAGTTTATAATAATGATAAAAAAATATTCAATGCACTTTTTAAAAGTATTTAATATTTTAATTTAAGCTTTCATTATTAATATTTTATTAATTCTTCACATATATGTATTATTTCTATGTGTATAAAAATAATTATTAATATTACATTTATTAATTTTGGGATAAAATGATAACATTAATATTAGGTTAATATAATATTTAATAGGGATTCAACTCCAAATAATTATATTATTAATTTGATTCAATTTTTTTTTTTTTTTTTAATATACAATATGAACATTAAAATTAACATTATAAATATATATTCTAGCATGCCATGAAAATACTCCGATTTTCGTATGCAACAAAACGACATGAACAAATTTGCTTTCGAACAAATTTTATGTAAGAGTACACACACAAATAAATTTTTACAAAAAAGTAGAAAATTGACGCTTTGAAGAACAAAAACTAGATTTAGACGCAGAGACTGAAATTTCGTCGTGGATTCATAAAAACAAATATTTTCGTGAAATTTTTTGGAAAACAATTTAGCCTTGACATTTGTTTCGCACAGACGGCTTCGGATCGAGACGATTGTTGTTCATTGTACAATTGGTATTTGTTTCGACAACAACTAGAAACTAGGGCCCAAAATTTATAAAAAACAAAAAAATAAATAAACACATACATACATTATATTTCATCCCTTAAGGATTCCTGTATTTAAAAGTAATTGGAATATATAATGCCGAGAACATCAGGTAAATTAGAATGTGAAATCAATAATATATGATTTTATTTATTTATTTTTTATTTATTTACTTATCATTATTATTATTTTATTTTTATTTTTTGTGTGATTCATATCTAGGACCCGGACCAGCGGCTTATACATTGCCGAGCACCTTTGGCTATGAGCATTGCGATGCGCGCATGCGTCGCGGTCCACAATATTCGTTTGGACGCAAGCCAGCCTTGCCGGCATTCAATCGATCGGGTCCCGGCCCGGCGGAATATCGAATAGGTCAAATTACGCGTTTTGGGAATGCGAAGGGACTTGAGTTTTCTATGCTTCAACGGGGACAGCTAAACAAACCCAACTCGGTGCGCTTCGACTAGCTTGACGCGAATCGAGATGGAATATACTACTGGGGGCGTGAAATGATTTCTTCACGTGAGCCTCTCGTAGACCAAGTTCCTAACCATCATTTTGTCACCCTTAGTATCAGGTAGTTCTCGGATTAAGTAGATTATATAGTGCTTCCCCTTTATTGAAAATTCATCCAATTTCATTCATTATCAATTCAAATTGCGGTCATGGTTAAGGCGACAGACAAACGTTTCGGGCCTGGTCAGTAGACAGTTGTCGGTAGTGTGGAGGAAAAGAAATGCCACTTGGCAATTCAAAAGGTTTAGAGTGCACTTGAGCTGGTTGGCTTTGTGTCTGGGCCATAATGAAGCCGCCATCGGCATTAAGTTGCCAAGCTCTTAAGTAACTTACTTTGACCATGCTGTCTGACTGGCTGACTGACTGACTGACTAACTGACTGACTGACTGACTGATCTGTGCTGTGGTTCTAAGCAAAAGCCTGTTATTTTCATGCTTCTTGTAATAATCACACAGTAAACAGACAGCAGGAGCAGACGGTCCGACTCGCATAGTGGCAGTGGCAGTGGCAGTGTTAGGGCACGAACGGACAGACAGGGGCAGGAGGGGCAGCTGAAGAGCAGGCATTGGTCGTGAGAACGCAACTGGAAGCAAAGAAAGGGCCTCGACTAACTGCCTCATGGCGACGCCGCATATTGTTGCCCGTTGTTGTTGTTGCTGCTGCTGCAGCCGCCGCAAGTTGTAATTGCAACGTCAACGTAAATGCATAGCACGAGAGCTGCACAAGAATTTCACGGATGTGCGATGTGCGATGCGTGCATTTTGCAGATGGCCTCGTTGGACACTTGGACGCTTGGACACTGCGAATTGGATTGGGTTTGAAAACTGACCAGTGCTGGACATCACGTACGCAAACACTAACATGTTTACACATCCATGCACTGGACGAAAATTGAATAGTTGATTTGAGAAAAAATATGTGTTTGACTTATGAAATATTTTGACAAGAGCCACCCAAACAAAGCTTGATAATTGTGTAAAACCCAGATTTGCATGAAAAAATAAAACTATACCAAAACTATACAAAATTGAGATTAGATTGTGATTCGATGAAAGATCTTTTAATTGCAGATAAAATGCTGGCTTGAAGTGAATAAAAAGTTTACTTTAAATAATTGAATATTTATTTAACTTTATATGTGGGGCTTAGGAAACATTATTTGGCCTTGTTTTCTTTAAAAAAAAATAAATAAATAATTTGAATGAAAATGTTGAATATATGTATAAAATAAAATAAACCATTAAATAAAAATTGCAGATGAAATACATTTTTCAAAATAAAATAAATTAAATTAAATTTTATTATAAAAATGAAAATGTATATTTGCGAAATAAAATAATTAAAGTTTCAACGAAAATATAAAATACAAAGTATGTATTTAAAAATAAAATAATTATAAAAAAAAATTAATAAATATTTATATATATATATTAATAAATAAAATAAAAATAAAATACCTACATATAAAATATAGTTTTTTAATCAATGATAAAATTTAAATATAATTGGTTATTTGTCATTTTTATGTTAATCAACTATTACTTTAGGCATTAAGCCTAGCCTCTAATATATATGCACATAAATTTTTCACAGTGCACACGTTTGATTGAACTTGGCCAAGCAGCTTCTTCCTGCAGGGGCTGCTGGCCGAGCGGCGAGTGTTGGGAGAGGAGAGAAGAGCCAAGCAGAAGAAACTGAAGATTTATCTGCGCGCGTTTATTTTAATGTTACGTTCTGGCATCTTGTGCCTTGGCCTGTTCTGTTTGAGTTTTTGGTTGGGTTAAGCAGCCGCTTTCAATGCATTTCAATGCATTGCCCACTATCTTTGTCTTTATGGCTGCTTTGGTGCTGCTGCTGCTGCTGCTGCTGTTGGTGCTGTTGGTGCTGCTGCTGCGGCGGCAACATCATCATCATCCTGACTGCTTTGGTACGTGGTACGTTGACCGCTTGGAATGTTGATTCATCTGCTGGCAGAAACTTCTTTTATGACTCCACTTGCTCTTTATGTCAATCAGCAGCAGGCCAAGCAGCAGCAGCAGCAGCATTTCTGCTGCTCATCGTTTATGGGCCATCAGCGCATGGATGCTGGCTCTGGCTCTGTCTCTGGCTCTGTCTCTGGCTCCTGCTCCTACTCCTGCTCTGACTCTGGCTCTGGCTCTGTCTCTGGCTACATTTGGATGTGCTCTTAACTATTTATAGTGCATATCGCTTTCCTATTCTATTCTTAACTTGTTAGATGCGCAATTTGCTGGCCCTTGCGCCATAATGGGGCAAATTACCTTTAAGTGCTGCTGTTGCTGCTGTTGCTGCCCATCGTCAGAGTTAACATGGCATTTATAATGCGTTCTTCGTTATTTTTAGCACGATCTTGGGGCCAGACTTGGCATTACATGATCTCTATGCCATGTTAATTGTATGTTGCGATTGCCCCAAAGGGCGCATCAAGCCCGAGTTGTTGGGTAATTGTAAATGGGCATAGTTAAGTAGCATAGAATTTAATTGCATATTTAAATAGCAGCCAAGGTTCGACTCGGCCAGGCTTAGTCCACCCGCTGCGTATACTTAATATGCCACACATCAACTTCATCAAATGGACTTGAAGGGGCCGCAATCAATGAAACAGCCTCAAATATAGTGCTTATATTATTTATGTTCTCGCCGGTTAATTTGACAGCCGCTGGCGATTGATTGAACCAAAAAGGGTTATAACAGAGCCCAAATCAAAGGCACGCAATGCCCATCGACCTCACACCTAATTAATTTTTTCTTTGTTTTATTTACCTTATGGATGGGAAACAGCTGCTTTATTCACTATTAATAGACTGTGACATTTGTTGCTGCCGTTGCTGCTGCTGTTTCTGTTTCTGTTGCTGCTGTCATGTAAATCGAATTCCTTAGCTGAGTTTAGCCTCCCCGACTGACCCTCAGCGCACGTGACTCGCCTCGCTGATTGGCCCCGAATACTTATAATGCGCACTTTTTTTTCGACACCCGCAAATTTCGCTTTCAGCTAGTTTAGACACAAATTTCATTTGCCACTGCGAATATTTGCGCGTTTAATTTACCATAAAAAACCCTCAAAATAAAAATTATTTTTAAACAGAGTATCATACAAGTCTGCTTCCCTTTTTTTGTGTGATACATTAAATTAAATAAAAATGCTACTTTGAATGACCCAATTTTTTTTTAATTTTATTTTTTTTAGTATTTTATAATTTATTTGCGTAAAATCAGCCTAAGCCAACAAATCTCATTTCAGTTGCAATTTCCGTCCCACATTCACCTGCCGAGGCAGCATCCCAACTGTAAGCTTCATAAATAAACGAGAAAACCTCAACTTTCAACTGAAAGACACAAATTTAACGGGCATACGAAAAAGGCAACAAGTCCAAAAATAATTTCATCTTCCTGCTGCTGCTGCTTGAAGAAAAAGTAGAGCAATGCCCGACGAAAAAAACTCGTCACGTATAAGACACCACCAACAACAACAACAACAACAGCTATAATAAAAGTGCATTCACATTTTGAAAGTAAAGCGAGCGAACTTTTAATGTTTTGCCCAATGCTGGGTCTTGGCCAAAATTGAAGACAGCTCAGTCCTTAAAGATGCGAATCGTAGCTGCGTCGACTGCGCGGCTTAAAGCTGTTATCGTATCTGTAACACGCTAAGCCCACCAAGATATTTATGTGCTCCGCATCGCTTTAGAGACGTGCTGCCAACAGAATTTCCTCAACACTCAATTACAACATTATGCGATTTGGGGTCTCCGACTCGGATCCGTAATGCCAATGTCTGAACGGCAAACCCCAACGGTTCTCATTCGCCCCTCTATTCTCCCACTCTCTCTCTCTCTCTCTCTCTCTCTCTCTGTCTTTCTCTCTCTGGACTGGCTGTCGTCTGGCGTCTGTCATCAGGTGAAAGGCAAACAAAATGTCAATTTGTATTGCCAGTTGTGTCCCTTTTTGTGTGCCTGTTTGTATACCTTATTATTCATACGCATATTACACATTCAGATTTAATGCCCCCTGGCCTCAGTCGTCACTCGTCACTCGTGAGTCGTGAGTCGTTAGTCTTCAGTCAGTGTCCTTTTTGTGTCAATAAACATTTACATGTTTATCTAATTTGTGCGGATTTCTGCGGTGGCCCTTCTTAAAGCCAAGGAAAGTTAAAGTTTTGCACTTAAATTGCAGAAGATGCAAAGATAAATAAAGCATATGTAGGCCACAAATACACACAGAGAGGAAGAGAGGGAGCGAGAGAGAAGATACCCTACTTTGAGTTCGGCTGGCAGTCAAGGCGAACCCATAAACTGATGTGAATTTCACTTGAAGAGCAGCTACGAAGCTTCGTGGCCCAAACGAGTTGATGACCAAGCCACAAAAATTTAAGTAAAGTTGTAAATCGAACACCAAACCGAGTCATCAACCGAAAAAAGAGACAAAAAAAAAAAAAAAAAAAAAATTCCCAAAATGCGACCAATGCCAATTGGACAACTTTGTTGTTGTTGCAGCTGTCACTGCAATGTTATAGCCACACAATTGCTGTTATTTCCGTATGCAAAAATTTTCAGTTTTGTTGCCTCTGCGACAGAGGCGACAAACCAAATTATTCAAACAAATGCACATATAGGGTGCTCCCGATCGATATGAATTCATTTTAATACTGCCCACAGCTGCTGCTCTCCTCTGCAAAGGCTCGACACGTGAGTGGAAATATTTGCAATAGGCCAGCTCATTTATTTTATGGCCATAGTGAATGAGTCAGTGAATTTGCTTTTACAGCCATTATTCCAATTGCATTGCAGAAGTATTGAAGTTGATATGGAGCAAGTGCTTTGCTTTAAATGGAAAATTACAAATATTATGACTCAGAAAGAACATTTTGTTCGTTCATAACATTTATAAAATATTTATATTTATAAGTATTTATGGAATGGGAATATTCTATAAAGATGCAATATATGTATTTCGAATATAATTCTCTAGCTCAGTTTACTCTACTTTCAGCTTGGCTGCTCTGCTCGCTCATTTGAGTAGGTTTAGTCAGCCAATATTTTTGAGAATCTCCTTCATTTCTAACATGATATAATTTTTACTTTTAGAACCATTTACATTTTTCGACAATAAATAATATTCAAAACTCTTGAAACGGAACACAAAAGTCAAAGTCTGAACATTAACTTAATTTTAACATAAATCCGGCTTTTGATTTAAGAGTGAACCAAAAATCAAAAATTCCATTCGTATGCTGATTAGACACTAAAATAATAATTATAATTGCATTATGTATTATTAGCTTTAAATTATGATTTATTATAATTTATAAGAGGATTATTAGAAGACTAGAAAAAAATATTGCGAAAATGTGAGATATTAAAAAGTGAATATAAGTTGAAAAATGGTTCCAAATACACTGTAAGAAATGAGCATAATATTAATAAATAAAGAAAATAGATAAGGAATCGTAATTTTTAAACTATTATTAATATTTACTTTCTGAGCAGAGTCAAGAAAGTAAATGGACTGAAATTAATATTTACTAGCAGAACAAATTCAAGAACGTAAATTTATTTCCAGTGCTTACGTCAAAGATCGTACATATGACTCAAGAAAATAAATCTCTTTTAGGTCTTACGTCAAAGACTTTTGGTTACGCATTCCATTTACGGTTTTTTTTTAGCCCTACGTAGCCATAAATATCTCAAGATTTCGGCAAACATTGAACAATCCGACTGCAGCGTTATCATTGTCTATCTGACTTATGTTTTTCTCTTTGTGTATCTGCGGAGCCGAGCGCCTGTGCGCCTCTCGTCTCTATGGGCTGGCACGTTCTCCTCCACTTGACATTTGCTGAAATTGTTTGCTGTGCATTTTGACGCTCAACATCTCGTAGACAGTTTATGGCAGCTGGCAAACGCCTTTCAGCATTTGCGCTTATTTGACACAATGGCTGATGTGAGTATGAGTATGAGCTCGGCTACCCAACTCCCAGCCCTTAACTACTCCCCCACTCTACCCCGTAAAATGCAAATTGTACGCCAGCCCAAACTCTAGGAGTTGGGGGTGCGAAAAGGTCTTTGTTTACGATATAACAACTTCTCCTCTTTTTTTTTGTGTGTGTGTGTGTGTTCGGGTTGTCTTGTTATGAATTTCGTTTCCAGGAGATACTTACAGCACGTTTGTGCCACTTGGCTTTGGAGGCGCTGTCATGGCAACAATTTGTAGGCAAAATCAAACAAGCCACAAAATGTTCATGTTTCAGAACTGTTGGAAAGTTTTTGACTGCAGTTTCTGATTGTCCTGTGCATTCAATTGAGGTCAAATTCGACTGGGGAATACCAAACGGTTGGCAAGTTCCCCCTCCTCCATCACAGCGCTTACAATGCTTATAAATCAACTTTTAGCGAGTCGAGTTCAAAGTAGACTAAAATCTTAAGAAATATGTTTCCATAAACTAGTTACACATTGATAAACCTTTCGGGCTTAATTGCTGTTTCTCGATCAACTGCTTTGCTTCCTCGGCTGTGTCTCTTAGCAATATGTTTTCGGCTCTTTCGCTCGATCAGTTAACAGCTGTTCATTGGCCTTTTATCATGATATTGCGCACAGTCACCACTGGCTGCGTCGACGTCGACGTCGGCGTCAAGTTCAACCTGAACATCGATTAACGAAAACTCACGCCTTAGCGTCGATTTGACGTTTAGCTTAATGGCCAAGCATAAATTGTCAAAATTGTGTGTAGAAAAAAAAAACGAAAAAAAAAAAAAAACAGCAGCAAATATTGCCCATAAAATGGAGCCCAAACAGGCGAATCGCTCCCTAGCTCTCAGAGCTACCCCAAACACTTGGCGTGACCATAAAATTAAAGGTATTATTAGCATTGTCGTTGTTGTTGTTGTTGGTGTGTGATTAATGCTGGCAATAAATGCGAAAAACCCAATACAACAAAAGCAAATGAAACAAAATACGCACAGATGAGTCAAAGGCAAATGAAAACCGGGGCTGGCTAACAGCTCAATTTGCATCGATCTATATATATATATATTTATATATTATATTGTATATGTATAATTGAGGCCACAACGTGCAAAATGATGTATGCATTTTAGAGTTTCGCATTTCGAATTTCTAAAAACAATTTAATTAAAATTACACGTACGTGTCGAAGGCTGCTGCGGCTGCCCAATAGGGCTGAAATGAATTTTCATGGTTTTTTGTTTTGCTTATATATTTATGTATATATATATATATATATTTTGTTTTTTTTTTCGTTATCATAATTGTTATTGGCCTTTTGTTTGCCTGTCTGTGTTCAGGTGCGGCGGCAATGCTGACTAACTAAGCGAGGCGCCGCTAAGTCGCGTAATTAGTTAGTTGCGCAATTTGCCCACATTTGGTCAATCAGTCAGTCAGTCAGTTAGACAGCTATTTAGCTGTTCTAGCGCACAGGTGATCTAAGCCGACCTAGCCTGACAGAATTGACAAATTTCAAGTCATTGGCCAAAAATAAACACATCATTTGTTTTCGACTGTGGCCAAACACACATCCACTCATCCATTCATTCATGCATTTATTCATTTGTTTATTGAAGCTGATGTTTTCGTATAATTTGTTAATTTTAATTTTTTTTCCTTCGTTTCTTACTTTGATAATAAGCAAGTCAGCTGCAAAAACTCGTTCTATCCAAAATGATAAACAAAGCAGCCAGAGTGGGTGAGAGAGAGAGAGAGAGAGAGAGAGAGAGAAGCGCACCTGACTGCAACTGACTCTTGATAAACATAATATAAATAATAATAAAGAACTTTAGATGTAAACTCAACTGACTGCGCGATGATCGCTCAGAACTTTAAGAGCAGACCTAGGCCATATATACTGCTATTCATCTCCGAAACATATATCGATCTTCGATAACCAACATCGATCAGAAGTCATGTAATCTAAGCTCTCATTCATTTCACTGAAACGTATTTATGTGCCCAGACTTTACTTCTCTAAAATCGATCAATACTCATCAACTCTTTGCGCCTCTAACAAAATATATATATAAATACCCATCTAAGTAGGACTGTCGATTCTCAAGACTCATTATGAAAGTTGATAAAAAGTAAATTTCCAGCTTAATTGTAATATAATCTTAGCCTCTCATTTATTCTACCTACATATACGCAGACTCTCTCTGCTCTACAAACATCAGCTCCATACTCAATTATATCAGCTCCTTTTCCAGCCTTTTTCGAAATCTGTATTTAAACAGAATCAATATAAATACCCATCTGAACGGCTATTTGTGTTAATGTCGCATTTCTGTTGAAATTTGCAATGTTTGATCGCGCTGATCTGTGGCTCAGGTTGATTTTCTCTGCATTGTCGTCAATGGGGCCACCAAGATGCGTCAGCACAAATATTCAATATGTGACCGGAAATGCGGCAAAGTTCCCCAAGCAACAACAGCAACAAATGAAACAACAACAGCACTAGAGAATTCCCAAGATAACGGAGAAAAAGGTGCGTCAATGATTGGATAGCCCAGCAAATAATGAGCATATTTACTTAAGCATTTAGTTATAAAAACAAAAATCACTTTTCAAACCAGACCTCGCCAATTTCGACAATTCTCTGTAACAGTGACTAACAAAACTATTGCAACACGCCAAAGGTTAAAGGCGATTGGTTCCAGCTGACATTTAACACATTGTAAAATTAACAATAAGTACTGAATGTTTATGTTAATTTATATAACTCACAGTTTCTCTAAGGGGAATACTGAGAGACATTCAGCTATACACCTCAAATGACTTTGCCAACAAAAACTGGCAAAATGTGCGATATATAATATGGAAACCATCTAATATCGATTAACCATGTAAACAAAAAAATCTCCTTAAATGATAGCGTTAATAAATTAAAGAAAATTTTAAGAAATTGTAAGGAAATTGTTTATTTATATAAAAATAATATTTGTAAAAATTATTTGTAGTTTAGTTTCAAGTAGTATAGTTTCTTATTTAAATTTGAAACTGGAGAATATTTTTTTTCTGTAATTTGACAAATTTTTAAAATTAATAATCTTTATATATTGACTTGACTATTTACAAAAAAAAATTTTTTTTTTAAATATATGTATAGAATTAAAAATAAATTTATAATAAATATTGACTGCTATGAAAATAAAATAGGTTTAAATATTTGTATAGCATTGAAAATAAATTTATAATAAATAATTATAATACATTGAAAGCTTCATAGCAAACATAAACAACCATGGTAAAAGCAAATAGGGTTCACTATAGTCGAAAAAACTTGAATTTATGTTCGGCAAATCTGCTTGGCAATGCTCCTTTAAATTTGAATGCCACACGGCAAATTCGATGTGAAATTATGCATTGGCCACATATTCTGGACAGAGTTCAGTTATTTCTTTTTATTTTTTATTTATATATAATTTTTTTTTTTTTTTTTTTTTAGTTCTTTTGGCAACATCATCGAGTTGTTTATTTGGTTTTCATTAAAAGTTTTGCATTTTTGTGGACAGTTGTGACGTTTGTCACTGTTCAGTCAGTCAACAAGTTTTTCATATATATGTATATATAAATCTTTTTTTTTCATTCATTCTTTTGCCTAGCTAACAAATATGAAAGCATTTTTGAAAGCTGCCCCCAGAGGGAAAATTTGTATAAAGTATTCCCTTAGCCAAATATGCTACATATGTTTAAATTATGGCATGATGGAAGGTAAATTATGATGACGTTTGATGGTACGGAGTTTTAGTCTGGCTAATTTAGATTTTCGAAATTAAAATATGACTTAATAATGTGAAGACTAAAAATATACGGTTTTCAAATCTTCAAATGCCTGAGACAAGCTTTTAAAGATTTAAAAATATTTTACTCTTGGTATTTTAGTTCCTTTATATGAACCTTTTGAAATTAAATTTATGGACGGTTAAATTTACCTAAAATATTTTCTAGGATTTTGATTCTGTTCTGTTAATCGCTTTTCTACGAAGCTACTAAATGTGAAATATTATTAAAAATAAATAAAATATTTATTGTGGTAGGTGATATATTTATTTATTTATTTATTTTTGAATTTACTTAGAAGTTGTAAATAGTATTAATAATAAAAGATCAGGCCTTTGTTACATGTGATATATATATATATGTATAAACATTATAAATCTGAATTTGACTCAAATTTTAAAATTTCCATTGAAATTTCATCATGTCTAACTGCAGTCATTAATATTTTACAGAGTATCTTAATGCCTATTAAATTCCATATCAATATTTAGTGTAAATATTATAATTTTTTTTTTTTTTTCAAACTTACCTCAAGCTGGGAGTAGACAAAAAAAATATATATATCGTTGCGTGGCGAAATTTATTAAATTTATTTTTGCTGATTTTTTCTCAAAACTGTTTTTGACGTTTCCCAAATGATTTCCTGGTGAATCGACATACGGTGAATTAAACAATTTATTATTTATAATCGAATTTAATGCATTTAACAATTTAATTATTTAATGTTTTCACGTTTGAGGCTGTACGAAAATTGTATTTGATTTCTTGCTGCTCACATGCTGTTACATTATATATTGTATATATGCGTATATATGTTTGTATATCTACTTAATTATGAATTTAATTATAAACATATTTTTGCACGCGCAATTTAACAAATTTTGAGCTGAATTTTGCAAAATTTTGCTACAGTTTAATGCGTGTGTGTGTGTGTGTGTGTTTATATATATGTGAGCGTATTGTTGTTTTCTTGCAATTGCTAACTGAGATAACAATGCGAGCTGAGGTAGAAAGGCGTGGCGAGGGCGTTGCACATAAGCAAACGTCTTCAATTTAATTAAAGCAAAACAAGTCGATATGCGACCGAAACGACTATGTGACGCGCTAATACCCTGCAATTGAACTTTATGTATGCAGATGATATGTATAAAGATGAATTCATTCACTTGAATGTGAGTTGAAGTTGGTTAGTGATATATAGCATCTCAGATATGGTATGTTTAAGTACTTTTTAGCTGAATTAGACTGACTTTTTACCAGCAAGCATTTTAAGCTAGCCTAAAAAATATTACTGATTCAAGAGAAAATGGTGCAGGTTAAAAAATTACACATGCTTATAGACGTAAATCATAGATGCAAAAAAAAAAAAAAAAAAAAAAAAAGTTTTCAATTATATATAAATATATTTTATCATTTATTTAGTATTGAATATAATAGTGTATTCCAATAGGGATAGGGATCAAGTATCGATACTTTACTATAGATTTATCAACACTCAACTAGAATGCTATCAAGCGAAGGAGAATCAGCAGAGTCCAGTAAATAATTAAAATCAAATTTAAATTATGAATGTTGAACATTGATTTTATATATTTAAATTTTCTAATTGCCAATCATTTAAAATTATTAATTGAGCTCTCATGAACTTTGCAATCCAATCGATTGGCCATGCAGCGATAGGGTATTGAGATATTGCAAGTATTTAGGTGGCCATTGGGCATGCAGGCCGTGTATCTGACAGATACTTTTCACAACTAAGTACTATCCGGCAACAGTTGACGCGAATTCGCAATGCGAACGCAAAGCGAAATATTTGCGTTTGCGTTTTCATTCATAAAGTGCAAAAAACGAAAAAGAAAAAAAAAACATTTTTGTTCGCCTCACTAATGTCGACTCTGCACCAGTTTAAATGGGTCCACGTGCCGGAATTTTGGGCCAGGTGGGGATTGGCTCCCAGCTCTCTGTGTGTGTGTATGTGTGCGTGTGCGTGTGCGGTAATGAGCGCTGTTAAAATGCGTTAAATGATTTTTCTTCGCCTTTTTATATTTTTCATTAAGTTTTTTTTTCTGTTTTGTTTTGCACCTTTTTAGCTTCTTCTGTGCTTGGTTCGCTTTGCTATTTTTGCAGCTACTCGCCAATTTTTGTCTTTCTTTTTTTTTTCTTTCATATTTGCCTATGAATGAAGTTTATTTATTGTGGGTAACGGCTATTTGCTTGGCATTCGCTTTGCTTTGATTTTTCGCTTGCTTTACTGCTGCCGACTCGCCTTCGTCTTCGCCTCCATCTTCTTCTTGTCGAAGTCGAAACGCATTTTTGCTTTTTGGTACGCAGGAAGTTTTATGACCTGGCAGACAGCAGACGTCACTGAAATTTGCAATTTTTTTTGGCTCCAGCTCCAGCTCTGGGTCTGGATCTGCCTTTGACTCTGGCCAGTGGCCAACAAATTGTTGTTGTTGACGGCAAGTGAGGCGGAAAAGCGGCTACAAGCAAAATTTTAGCTAGGTGAGAACTCAAGAGCAGTCAACATCTTAACGAAACATATTTCTGCCTTTGTGGTTTTCGAGCTAAAAACAAAAGTGCGAATCGAACTCAGCCAGAAAATGTTCTTATAAACAAAAACTTTTTGCTTTTTGGCCAGCATTGGGAATTGTTTGTTTCAGTTGATTGGGCAGAGATTGAAGCTTTAAGTTTTAATAGAAACGAAATTTAATTATATTTCAATGCAGTTCATCACGCTCTGATTATAATGAAATTAGGCATAAAATTTATAGATAATTCATTGCAAAAAACAGCTTAAAATATTGTAATATAAAATATATATGAGTTAATCTAGATTTTCATTAAGAGCAAAGCAAAGAGATTGTGCTCAGAATCCATTCAAGATCTCGACATTCCTACAAACTTTATTACTCCAAAGAAGCTATATATCTTAGCTTATACATTTTAGACATATTCTACAAGTATAATAATTAACACTCTTTTTTCTATAAACACAAATGTTTCTTATATCATTTTTATTCAGCTTTTGGCAGTCTTTTTGTTGGCAACTCTAAACCAAATTAATTTAAAGCATTGTGTTCGCATTTCTATCTCGCTTCTAATCACAGTCCCAACCAACTTCAGCTCAGTTCTCCCTATACATGTGTATCAAACAATAAAACTCTTCAACTTCATTTCTCTAACCACTTATATCTGCCCTATATATAGTATTAACTAGCATATCACACGCTCTCGCTCTGCGCGCTATCTCTTTCTCCATGGAACACGTGAAAGATATTTAAATACTCTGTATAAGTATCACATAAAATATAACGCAGTCCGTCACTCGGCCAAGCATTTCGTTTAATCTCACGTAACAGAAATAATTATGAAGATCCACATACATAAATACATCGTTCTACAACAAAAAAGTAAAATAAAATAAAATGAAAAAAAGAAGCCAAACCAGCCAACGAATTACCTAAAACTTCATCTCACTTAACCTTGAACTTAACCATTAGCGCGAAAAATCAACTACATAATTTATGATAAAAACAGAAAAATAAAAAAAGTTGCCTATCAATAACAAGGTGCGAAATTTCATAATGCTTTCAAGCTGCGAATCTATTGAGGAATTGAGTAATCAGAGAACCTTCAACCCATATCCGATTCTTGGCACCTTTCTTTGATCAAACACAGATACAACTGGGGTATGCGGCTATGAGATACCTCGTAAATTATAATAATTTATATACAATTAATTATTTAATTTATATATAATAGTGTTTGGTAGTTAACTACACAAGTTCAAAAAGATATAACGAATATATCTATGTTCATTGTGAGCTTTGCGAATCTGGAAAAACTATAGCTTTTATAATTTTAGTACTAGCAACTATATTACTGTTATCGTTCTTTAATTGTTTGCAAAAAAAATTATATTTATACCAATTGTGGGCGTGGTACATCGATAAATGGATCTCACAGTATTAGGGATACGAATGAATATTCTGAAGTCAATATTTTTCTATTTTTATTTTAGTTAAAACATAATACTTTATACTTTATACAAGTCAAGAAATCGATGAATATTTTACTTATGGCCAAATCAAAGCCTTTCTGGTTTAATAATAAACTTAGTGTGAGTTTTCGAAGTTTATTCACGGACGAGAAGGTTCTAAGATAGTCAATAATTAGAAGAGCTCATTTTATGGGCAGAGGGTATACAAACAAAAATGTATCAATGTCATGGATGTAAAGTTTGTAAAATACTCTAAACTTAAGCGACTTCATATTCAAGGTACAGGGAATATAAACTCAAATGTATCGATTTAATGGATTTGAAATTTCTAAAGTACTCTATATTTAGGCTAGTTCATATTATGGATATAAACACAATGTATCAATGTAATGGGCAGCTATTGTATACAAATACAAGCTGAAATTAACACGCCTGTTATCAAATAAAATAAAAAAAAAAAAAAAAGTAGCAACAAAAAGTATACAAGCCATGGCTAAAAGGCGGAGACAGCGACGGAGACACGCGCGGCGTTGGCGGCTTCGTGTGTCAATTTGGCATGATATTTGCTGTAGCTAATGTTGTTGTTGTTGTTGCAATGGCAACAATGCCATTAAGCTCAAAGTTTTATTATCTGTACAAACGGCCTACATGACAAACAAAATAGAAGCAACAAACTGAGATTTGTGACAAGTAGCAATGAACCTTGTAAGGTCTCGGCTGCTGTACGTACATCTGGGTGCACATAATAGATCTCATAAATTTTTAATATATTTCATAGACTTGCTGACAGTTTGCCATTAGAGGCCGGCAGTCAACAAACTCATCAATTTATTTCTCAAATTTTAGATAATAATTGCACAGGCACTCGTTAGTTTCAAGTGCTTCTCAAGTGTGTCAAATGCGAGAAAAGAAAACAAATCAAAACTCAAAATAATAAATAAAATGTTATTTTGAAGTGTGTATCATGGGAATCGTTGTTTGTTCAGTGACCCCTCAAACATAAATTTTCGATTCTACATCAAATATTATATCGTAAATATATTTGAATATATTTTATGGATTTTATGTGACGAATTCGAATGCGAATGAATTATTTGTGCAATTATTATTCTTTATAATTAATATTTTTTTATTTTTAATTCAATTTATAGGGCATACAATATGTTTGTAATTCACGTACTTATAATCTCTTTTATATTTATTAAATTTAAAATTATTATTTTGTTTTTAAGCTGTTCGATATGTCTCATATCAAATCATATCAATTAAGCCTTTCTAACAATTTTAATTGCATATCAAATTATCTACATAATTACTTTAAGGCACGAGCACTTCATTATGAAAATCAATCTATACATATATTATATTATCATTCTTGCTCCATTTTGCATTATTTGCGTTATGTGTAGAATGTGTGGAGACCAAGACGGAAAAATTAAAAAAAAAAGAGAAAAAAAAAACTAAAGTAAAAGAAGAAAATAAAATAAATGACTATAATTTTTTTTATTTTAATATTTTACTGATAGAAAATACAATTTTATACATTCTTTTTTTATATTTTAATTTTTTTTTTTTTTATTTATTAATTTGTAATTTTGGTTTTTACTAAATGAAAGTAATATGTTCTCTAAAAAAATGTGAAGTTCAAGATGTCGTGCATGATATAAATTCATTACATGAAATGCAGTCTTTGATCTATGCATTTTATATTTATATTTTATGGTTATATATGTAATTTACACACACCTGTACCCCTCTACATTTACTATTTATTTTTTTACCCCTCTATCCATCGCCCTTATCTGTGCAGTACTCTAAAAATTTATTGTTCAATAATTTCACTCTTGGCAACCGAAATCAACAAAAAACAACTTTGCATTAGTTTTGTAGCTGTTCATGTCGTCGCTGTCGTCGTTGTTGTTATTGTTGCAATGCATAATATCAGTCGTGTTATTTGTTGTTACTAACATACACACACACACTGACGGACAGACACAACATAAGCTCACACACACACACACATATACACACTCTCCTATGGGGGCAACAAAATATTTCGCGCTTTTTCGTATGTGGCGCGCAATGGGCTAAAAATTTTCTGATTAACGTACTTAGTTGTTGTTGTTGTTGTTGTTGTAGTTACTATTACTGCTTGTTGTTGCTGCTGCTGTTGCTACTGGTCGTTGGTTTGCTCATTGGCTTCAACACGTTTCTTTGCGTTTTCTTTAGCGTTTTGTTGTTTTTATTTTTTTTTTTAGTGCTTTTCCAATTTCTTATTCACTTCATGTCTGCACAACGCGCTTCAACACTCAAACACGCACAGAAACACATTTAATACACACGCTCAGTGGTATCAACTTAGCGAGTACGCGCTGTGGCTAAGCTTTTGATTTTGATTTTGATTTTCAACCGCGCCGCCAACGTTGAGCGCTTGAAATCTCGTTACTAACTAAAATAAACGACGCGAGGCGCGCAACCAAACTGAATACAGCAGCAGCAACAACAACAACAGCAACAACAACGACGACGACAACAATAGCAACAACAACAGTTAAAATAAAATCAACGTTGTCGCAGCGACGTCGGCGTCAGGCGCTTGATTATGTGTGCGTATGTGTATGTTGTCGGTAACTAAAACAGACACTACTCACACTCATATACACACACACGCAGAGTTAGTAAGCGCGCTCTCAGCCACACACGCTCACACACATGCATATAACTTCACAAGAGCGCGACTTTGGCTCGAGCGCAAGTTCAAGTCGCAATGTTAGCTTGAGCCGGCTGCGACGCCAGCAACTGCAGAGTCAGAGAGAGAGAGAGAGAGAGTGTGAGCATGTATGAAGAGAGCACGCCAAAGAGAGTATTCGCATTTTTGTGCATTGTTTGTAACAGTGAATATCGAATGAGAATGGCAACTGGACACATAAATTAATTCTTGCTTAAAAATGGTTTTGTTTTCAGACTTTTAGCAATTATGAAAATATATTTCATTGCTAATTACTACACTTGAATTGTGAGTGCTCTTCGGTGACAGGTACAAAGTACTTGCACAGGTGCTGCGCATTGCTTAATGTTTGCAGCGTTTACTTGCGAAATGCACCGTACAATTTACTCATACATATTTGTAATATGTATATGTATTTACTATGTTAGAGCATGTTGACTTCGGTGTTTCGTTGTTGATCGACAAGTTCGAAGCGAACTTCAAGCGAAGCTCACGTCAAGCCGGCTATTGGGTGAGTGCTGCTCCACTTGTTGTTGTTTTTAAAAACAAAAGCAGAATTGGCAATGTTGCTGGCTGCGCTGGCAACATGTTGCTTCCGCTCTGTGGCCGCAACATATTCGTTCAATTTACATTTTTTCTCAGTCTGATGAGTTTTGCGGCTTCTCGTAAATATTTCGCTGTTGCTTTTGAGAATTAAAAATTCCATTTTCCTTTGCTGTGCCTGTGCCATTGTCAAAGCGTCTGCCATAATGCATATTTAAAGTATGCGCCGTGTTGTTGTTGTGTCTGTCTCTCTTGCAACTTTGTTTTTTTCGTTACCCAGCGGCCTCTGCTGCTGCCACTGTCGCTGCTGCTGTTGCTGCTGTTGGTGTTGCTGTTGCTGTTGATGACGTCTAATTTTTAACCGAACTCGTTTGCTTACTCACACACGAAATTATGTCAGGAATGTTGGAAGGCGGCGGCGGTTGTTGTCTCACGCAGTTGTTGTTGTTGGGCTGCGTTGAAAGTCTGTGATTAATTCTGTGAGAGCAAAAGCCGGTTAGCTTTTTTTTTGGTTTCCCAGACGCGTGCCAAAGCCGAATTCTTTGTTGTTGCTTCCCTCATTGCTGCTGCTGCTGCTGTTGTTGTTGTTTTTGTTGCAAGCTTTAAGCTGCGCACTTTTAATATTGCATTTACGTAAGAGGACGCAACACCTTGATTAATTGAAACTAAGTTCGATTATAATCATTTTTATTTGGAATTCTGACAAAACATATCACGCGATCGGGGTTTTTTGAACTCCCGTTTCGTAAGCCATTGACATTTGCCTGAAGCGTTCATTTTTCTTTTCTTCTGCTCATTTCTGCTACAACTGCACTTTTTAATTGAGTTTCCGCGAGCTCAGCGTGTTTGTGTTTTTATCTGACTAAACATGTCATCAGCACAGAATCGAAGGCTAAGCAATATGTCAACCAAAGCAGTAATATTTTTTTCGCTGCAGTCCCAAAGCAGAGCTCATCCAATCTTTCAGCCACGCGACTTCGTAAATTTCAGCGGAATTGACAAATTTTTAACAAGAAAATGCAACTTAATTTATTTTTTAACAAAAGGTCAGTGCTTGCTAAAGACACTCAATACCTATGTTACGATACCTTTGATTGAAATCAAAAAGTGCTTTACATATGAAATGTGAGCAGGGCGCAGACAGAACTAAAAAAAAAGCGACGTCATATAAAATGGTCAAAATAAATTATGCACTCAAGCTTAAAATATGATAGTAAACAAATTTAATTTTAGACAAACCAATAGTGACACTATTTCAGATAATTCAGATAATTTTATTTCAACAGCTGTTGAAGTTGTCTATCTTTTGTAGATCTTCAAATATTTTAAATCCCAGTTGCAATTGCTGAACATATTGAACATTGCAATAAAATATTTGACCTTGAGCTTAGATCACTCTCCTTATGCTATTCCATACATACCATAAGGAATTCATTATATCAAAGTATAATGGAATTCTTATTGATATTTCTTTCATTTGGCCTCTCATCTGGTTTCAGATTTTAAAAAATCAGCAAAAATAAATCAAGCACACAGTTAAGCCTTTCTTCAAAAAGAAAACCCCTTTGAATAGGTTTCAACAAATTTGTGTCCATATGTCACATCATGTCTACATTCATATCTATCATTTACTTATCTTCCGTCTGCCGGTGACATATACCTGACAGGCTGCGCCTGCCTGTACGTGAAATATGAGTAGACATTGAGAGATGTGCAGTGCAGCAAACCAAATGTCAATCAGCAGTCAAACCGCGACTGTTCAATAAAACTCCAATTTCCGATTTTGCAAAACAACAAGAAAGAAGAGAAAAATGATAATAAATTGAAGCAAGTTCTTCAAACATAAAAACACAAGACTCAACTGGAAGCCAAGCCAAGAGCACAAAATTCAATTCCAACATTGAAATCAGATACCGAGGCTAGGAATTGATTAGAAGAGAATCCGAAACCAAACTAAGGTAGTAGTAGCCATAGTGCGAGATGCGACGATAGAGTCCAACTAGAGCCGCTAACAAAGCTGTTGCTGTTGCCGTTGTAGTTGCTTTGAAACCCAAATCCTAACCGCAGAGCCAACAGACAGACGGACTAACTGTCGCTAACAGCCAATGGAATGTTGGCGCAGCGGCATGTCGAGTATTTTTCATACGTTTTGCTACAGAATAGAACAAAAGTGAATTCAATGTCAACAAAGGCGGAAGATAGTTAGGGTAAAATAATCTGATTTGGTTTTTCATTTTTGCCAATGATAGAATTGTGAGTACTATGTCTATGAGGGGGTTATACTAAATTATAAATATAAATATTAGATGACAATAAACCAAATCAAACCATAAATAGAACATATAGAATTGTTTTGAATACAAAACATATATCATCAGTAATTCAGTTATGTATTTATTAAATACATATTCTCAAGTCTATAATACAAAAAAAATTCTGAGACTTTTGCTACATTAACATGTGTTTACATGCGTCTGTTAACTAACAGTAGTCAATCCAAGTTATGTTAATTAACAATATAATAATAACTAAATAATATAAATATGTTAACTAAAAGCAGTGTAACACAATTATGTTAACTCAATGTTAACTAACATTTTTTACTCTGCCACACATTTTTGATCGCCAACAAACGTATCCCTCTCTAGCTTATGTAACGCTATTTTGTATAGCGTGAACAAAATATATATAGAATAATTATATTATTATAATGTTAAACTGAATTTACCTTTCTAGCCCTTGAAAAACAATTCGCTCAATCATCAGAAATGGCCTGTTTCTACTTACCATAACTTAGCATCTGATTTGACTCCTCATTTTCCAGCGTTACATCAACTTTTCTCAATGGAAATATTTCATTACATTTCATTTTGTAAATTGCATTTCATGCACAATTTAGCATCTTCAGCGAGCGAAATCCGTTCAATCAACTGGCCAATGTCAATGCCAATACCAATGCTGATGCCAATTCCAGTTCAAATAAGCCTCTTAGCCAATGTCAACTGCAACATTTTATCGCATTGCAGCGTATTTTTGCCGGCTTTGACTGCTGTTTAAATTAAATTCCAATTGAAATTGTAAATTCGATGGAAAATCCCCGAATGAGTACATTGAATTATTTGATTTGATTTATTGAAATATATATATTTAAACATTTAGATTTTTAAATTTTGATTTGATTTTGTACATAAAGTCGAGAGATTTAATAAACTTTGGTATTTCGTATTGTAGTGAACAAAGCGTAAACTTTCAATTGTATTATTATTTAACTAAGGGTAATAACAATAGTAATGTAATAATATTTTGCTTAGCTGTAGTTTCGACAAGATTTTATTGATGAAGCTTTAACAGATATACGGGCAAACGGTGGGTAATTTATGGGGCATAAATCAAAATGTGACGTATGTCAATCTCTTCTTTTTCTTTGAATGGATTTTCAAAAAATAAAAAGCTTAATTAGATGCGCAACATAAACTATACTAAGTATTTTTTTTTTTTTTTTGAATTCTTATCTAAATAATTATTATTAACTTTTGGAATAATCATAAATATTTCGATCACTTTGGACTGTTTAATCGTAAGCTTTAAGACTTCTTCTTAGGTGAGAGGCAAGTGTCAAAGTAAAACGAATTCCTTGCCGCTTAAGAGTTGAGCTGCTATGTCAGTTATCCTTACTATGGCTGCGATGCCATGCGAATCCTTGCGGTCGCACGTGACTTTGTGTGTATCTCGGCGGTGCGCAGCGTAATGCCAAAGATATCCTCGTGATAGCGATTCTCGTCCTGTGTGTGTGTGTGCGAGTGTTTGCAAAAGAAATCAAATAGAGTATAGAGTTAGAGGGCTCTCAATAGAAGTGTAAAGCTCATCATATTTGTGGCTGTCAAGAGAGCCAAGCAAACAAAATGCCAAAACAAACTAAGTGCTAAGAAAAAACTATTGAGAACAAGGAGCTACTGGCTGATACCCTGGAATGAAATTTTTCTCTTGCACTTTCTCCCTCATATAAGTTTATTAAAGCAAGTATATTGCAAATGTACTCAGTACAAAAACATTATTTTAAATAAAAGGCCAATAGCACTGCAATGAACTATCGATTATTAACTAGAATGTTATCGATACTTAACTATACTACCATCGATACTCAACTACAATGTCATCAAGAGACGAACAGTAAATGAGTAAATTTCAATTTCAATTGAAATATTGCCTTTCAGAAAATCTATAATTGTTACTTATTTGTCAAATATTTTCAACTTATATTAAAAATTTTTTTTTTAATTTTTTATTTTTTAATTTTTTATTTTTTTTTTTGCTTTTTTTACCTTAAAAATGTTTTATTTCTTTAATTTTAACATTTCATTATCTGTCAAAAACTAACTCATCTACCCCACTCGCTGTGCAAACAGAGTATCAAGCAGCAAAGCAGCTGTAACTGGCAACAAAACGTTTGCATTTTTTACAACTACACACAAATATTGTATTTATGCAGCTGAAGGAACTGCGAACACCGAGCAAAGTTTCGCCCGCTTTTCCGCTCTTAGTAGCTAAGGTCGCATAAAATGCGCATACGCCCCGTGGCCCCCGCTTGTGGCGACGGAAGCGAACTGTCTCACACTCACACTGGCACTCGCACAGTTGCTTTATGTTATTTATACGTGCAGTTTAAGTTGCGCCAGTTGAAGGATACTTACGCGCAATGTGAGCAAAAATGTCTCAACTTCCGCCTCGGTCTTTTGCTCCTTACCGGCAATGCATTTTCTGTTGCAAAAGCAAGAAAAGAAATAAATATTTTAAACTATATATGCGTTTATGTATGTGTGTGTGTGTGCCTGAAAACGAAGCACTTTGCTGAATTAAAGTTTTGTTTGGTAAACAAATAAAATGAGTGAGACGCAAATTAAGAGAATTAACGGCATAATTATAGAACAGCATAATTATATAAGAAAATAATTACATTTCAAATAAGGGAAATGTCGTTTACATTCGCTTTGAAGTTTAATCACTTGGTGTCTGTATATTATTATTATTATTATTATTATTATTATTATTATCATTTTCCTATATATATGTAAACTAAAATTCATATTAAATAAATAAATATATTGTATATATTATTATTTTTATTATAATTTATATATATTTATCAATTTATTTACTAAAAAAATATATAATTTTTTATGAATTAAAATATATTACGATATACATTTTTTTTTTTATACCCTGAACCCATTGAAAATGGGAAATCAGGGTATAATGGTTTTGTGAAAAAGTATGTAACGGGCAGAAGGAGGCGTGGCAGACCCCACAAAGTATATATATTCTTGATCAGCGTGACGAGCTGAGTCGATATAGCCCTGTCCGTCTGTCCGTCCGTCCGTCCGTCCGTCCGTCCGTCCGTCCGTCCGTATGAGTGCGTCGATCTCAGAAGTTATAAGAGCTAGAGAGCTGAAATTTGGCATGCATACTCGTGAGTACCATACGCAGTACGAGTTTGCTTTATTTTTTCGATAAATCGTCCGATAACTTTTTTATCGGGAATAATCGAAAAATTGATTTTGTTTTTTCAGCCTAATTTGAACATTTTTAGACCTGGAGTCTTCAAATTTGGGTTGTATATAAAGTTAATGGATATAAACGCATTTCAAGTACTAGAGACATGTGCTTTGGAATGTACACACGTATTCACCATATAATTACGCTCTGAAAGTTTCATTAAGATCTTATGTCTACAAAAGAAATTATTCAACAAATAAATTCTCATAATATTGCCCACACTGCAGCGCAGCCCAAGCGCAGTCGCTGCTTACTGCGCAGTTAGCAGAGCGCAGGCTTATGCGTGCGTGTGGATGCATGTGTATGTGTGTGTGCATAAAAGTGCAGAATGATTAGAATATCAGCTTAGAGGGTTCAGGGTATCTCCTAGTCGAGCAGTCTCGACTAGAGCCTTCTTACTTGTTTTTTTTTGCTTTTTGTATACTATGTGTATAGCAAGTTTTTTGTTTATTAAAATTTAAGAAAATTGCTCATGTAATTTTTAAAAATTATATTACACTACATTATTGTCATCAGGCATCCAATAAATATTCATTAATTCTCTGACTATATCACCTATAGGGCTCTCCCGATTTTTTGTTAAGTACACAGCACATAATTTGCTCAAGCAATTTCAATTAACATAAACCGCTTAGGATTAAGAGAGGCAGTCAAAGACATCGTCGAACAAAGTGGCTCAGTGCGAATGAATTGATATGAGAAGCACAAATTATTCTGACCATATGCCATCTATCAATACAGAATGTGTGTGTGCCTAGTAGTAGTAGTGGTGTTAGGAGTTGCCACACCCACCACAGCTGCTGTAGCTATAGCAGCATATGTCACAATAATGCACGTAATCAAGGGCTCGCAAAGAAAATAGAAAAACAGTCAAACAGCACACGAAATAATAAGAGAAGAAAACAGAAAAACGATGGCAAAACGACCGCAAAGCATTTGAAAATAAATTCCCAGTAGAGCAACGCCCCATTCCCGCTCCGGCGGGAACAGAAAGGCAATCAAGCCAAACGGAAAACTAGTACGAACTAACGTCGGCTCTCGGTCTCGCTCGCAACTCACCTGATGGTCTGATAAACATGCTCGGCCATTGTGACATCGCCGCAAACGTAAACATGTCCCCGCTCCAGCACAATCAGCTTGTACAGCGAATCAAATTCCTGTTCAATCAGATCCTGTACATATGTCTGCAAGCAAAGAGACGAGCAGAGAAAAACTTGCATCAAATGACGGGAAAGGTAAAGGACAGACCGCACGCCCCCCTCCTCCACCCGATTGACTGTCTGGACTTCTGTAACAAATATTTGCTTAGGCTAAAAAATCTGTGATGCGAACATTTTCTAATGCAATTTAAGTTACACAAGTTTAGGTACAAAGGAAAGAGTAACAATTAAATTATAAATAATTTAGTGAAAAAAAAAAATAGGATATTATGGAAATTAAATTTGTCTTTAATTTGTTTAAATAATACGTAAATATTTTGTAATATGTTGATAAATGTTGCTTTCTATAAATAAATAATTTGAATATGTAAAAAAAAAAATATATATATATATATATTTTCAATAAATACGTGAAATTTGCCCTTAATTTTGAAATTATATATTCATAATTTTTAAATACTCTGCAAATTTTTGATAAATATATTATTCCTCAAACAAAAAAATATTATCATATTAATGGTATAAAATAAAAATATATATTTGAGGTAAATACTTTTAAATAAATAATTTGTTAATTTTTTGTAAATTTCGGATAAATGTCTTATTCTTTAAATAAAGAATATGATCAATAAATAGTACCAAAATAAACATATATATTTGTGGTAAATATTTTTTTGGAAATAGAAAATAGAAAAATATGGAAGTGAAATTTGACTTTTATTTTTAAATTATTTAAGGCTTTAATATTAGAAGGCTGCATAGGTGCCAAATACTTAAAATACATTTGACCATTTATTAAAAATAAATACATTTAATTATGCCCTAAACCATATATATGTATATATTCTTATTCTATTGACATCCCATCATAAATTTATATGTATAAATTTCTTCTCCAACACTAATAAACTTTCTATTCCTCAGCTCAGACCCTAATTCAAACTTACCTTCGGTATATCTGGTTCCCTTGAGAGCGCTAGAAACACGCGATCCATGATTTGATCCTGCAACAATTGGGCCTTCTCCTCGGCATAGAGATCCACGTCGCGATTGCGACAGCCAAAGAAGAGCCAGAGCTTTGGCAACGACGTTGCGGTATCCACCTCGCGCAGCACCTGGAACTCCTGCCAGAAGGAGCGGAAAGGCGCAATGCCAGTGCCAGGTCCAATGAGCACCACTGGCCGACTGCGATCCGCCGGCAAATGGAAGCCCAAGGCGCTGCGGACGAACATATACAGCTCGTCGTTGGCTTTCAGGCCGGCCAAGTAGTTGGAGCAGACGCCGTAGCGCTCGTCGCCTTGGCCATCCTCGCAACGGTACCTGACAATGGCCACGGTCAGATGGATCTCATCGCTGACCCGACGTGGCGACGATGAGATCGAGTAGAAGCGCGGCTGCAGCGGCGTCAGATGAGCCAGCACCAGGGAAGCAGGCGGTCGACACGAAGGGAACTCCTCCAGCACATCCAGAAGGTGGGGCAGACGCCAATGACGCCAGTCCTCGTAGGCTGACGAATCGGTAACCAGCAGCTGCAGTCGCTCCGTGTCCGCATTGTCGTCGCAGAAGCCAGCGAGCAGCGTGAGCAGCTGCCTCGACGGTGGCGTGGTCAGATCGAAGAAGCGAGCCAGCAGATTGCGCAGCGTATCGGCGGGTATTTTGTCGTGCTGCTCCCAGCACTTGAAGATGCCGTTCGAGGTCTGCTTCTCCTTGAGCAACTGCAGCTGGAGCACCTCGTCCGGATTGTCCACTCCCACCAAACGCTGCAACAGCCCGTCCACCAGCTCCGCGCGATTTGCCGGAAAGATGCCCACATGATCGCCCGGCTCGTACTCCAGCCCTGGCGCACAAATCTCCAAGAGCATCGTCGTCTTGGCGCCCTCGCTCAGCTTGGTCAGATTGTGCGGCTGCTCCTTGATCTTGCAGCAGTGCACCTTCTTGTTGTGGTACTTCGACAGCGCCACGTCCAGAGACACCTTGCTGACCGACGGCACCAGGCGCACATTGTTCACGGTCAGCGATTCGTTTTGCAACGCCAGCGAAGCATCCGACAGACTCTGATCCGGGTCCAAGCAAAAGGTCTCACAGGCTAGCTGCAGGTGAATGAGATGAATATTAAATTTATTTTATTTTATTAATTATTTTATCATATTTTTTATTGTTTACTTAAATTTATTTGTTGACTAAATAATGACATTTAATTAGTGGATGTCAATTAAACAATTTATAATTTAATTCAAGATTTACTCTAAAATTTATTTTTTATTTATTTTGTATAAATAAATAAAAAAAAATTAAAATGTTTGTTTTTTTTTAATGTTATTTCAAATTATTTTACCTATTTTACTAAATTTTCACATTAAATTAGTATATTTCACTTTCTTTTTAATTTTTAAAGTAATTCTAATTAAATTTGAGATTTGGTAAAAAATTGATACATATTTTATTTTCAGGACTCACCTTGAACACCTCCGGGGCCCACTTGCGGAACGACTGCTCCTGGCCGCACATTTCGTCGCCGTAGGCAATCTTCAGCAGACGCTCACCGCCCAGCTCGCCCAGAATGTTGTCCACGTACTGGCCGAAGGCGCAGAAGTTCGGATAGGCTGACGAACCGAGCGCAAAGACGGCGAAGCGGACATTGGAGAGCGGTCCAAAGGTCTCGTCCGTAAAGGTGTCCGAGGTGGAGCCGCGCAGGGAGTCCCAGCGGTCGATCTTCTTGACTTGTTGCAGCGGCAATTTCATAAAGTCCTGCCGTGAGTTGGCCTTCATGAAGGACTTGGATGAGCTGACACCCATGCTAATCGCAGAGCGACAGGAAGATAGAGAGTGAGAGAGGGGGACGACAAAGCTAGTTAGAAATTGAAATGTTGCGTTTTCTTGCGTGCTCAGCTCGTAATAAATTTCACAAAAGGCGGCCAAACAAAAGGCGTGGGCGTGAGCCAAGCGCCTCTTGTTATCCCATGACAAAGGCAAAGGACACGGCAAAAAGATGGCAACAAAAAGAGCAACAAACACACACACATACACAAGCACACACATACACATAACTGACAGCACAACATTTATTACGCTTGTCATTTGATGTAGCCAAAGTGGGCAGAAAAAAAAGAGATACGAAAATAAAAAACTCAAGCAAAATGAGCACAAGGAAGAAGGAGGCCTCGCCTTGGACTGGGCTACGAAATGTGGAGCTGGGTTATTGGGCTGGAATTTAGATAGAAAACAAGGCAAGGCAAGGCAAGGCAAGGCAAAGCAATTGCTAAAAAGCGTAATCATCCGCTCGTCAGCAGCTCGTCAGAAGCAGCCGCAGCAGCAGCAACAGCAGCAGGACTAGGACCAGGAGCAGGAGCAACAGCAGCAGCCGCCGCAGCATAACACACAGCATGTGGCGTCTGCCTGCAGCTAACTGAAGATGAACCCCGCTGCCGCCGCACAATACGTCCATCCACACGTTGAGCGATGATTCAACAATGAACAGTGGCAGTTTTTAAAGAAGACAGCACAGAGAATCGCACAAATATCCGCAACGAGCAGCCACCAGGCCGCTGCCAGATGCAGCTGGCTTTGCCTTATCCTCGCCGCAGCAGCATCCAATCCACATCTCGTCTGTTGGCAAATGCGTTTAAAACTATTTGAGCTGCTGCTCAGCTTAGCTTTGGGTCAAAAGTTTATGGCTTTGGCGCGTCGTAAAAACCTGTTGGCCGCCCCATAATCAGCTGCCAAGTGTTGGCCATCCCTCTGTTGCTGCCTCTGCTGCCGCTGCTAAGCCGCTGCTGCTTACACGCTGTAAGAACTTGTTAACAGCATGCTGCACACAGCTGGCTGATGGCCTTAAGCCAGACTAAAGATAAAGAGCTCTGCATTTGTGTCAGCCAGCGGATGAGAAATGTGTCAATAGTTTTTAATAAAACGAAGACATTTTCAAGTCGTCGACACTATATAAAACAAAGAACAATTTTCAATCAATATTAAAGAATTATAAATTCTTAATCATCAAATTGAAAACAATTTATAAAATCAATTAGTTCGCACTTTATAAATATGATAGCCCACTATAAACTTACTTAACACTACACAATAAACTATTATTATTTTGTAACTTTTTTAAATTATGTAAATAATAGTAAGTTTAAAAAATAAAAACAAAATATCTATTAAAAAGTTCAAATAATAATTATCATATAAAAACAAACTAATTATAAATAAAAACAATTTTTTATTTCCATCAATAAAAAGAAATTTCGTCATATTATTTTGTTAAGCAAAAGATAAAGTACTTAATACAAAAACAAAACAAACAAAAATATTTTTGTTTCAATTCAATCCATTTATATATAAGAAGTTCAAACAATATCTTATCCCTCTCTAATATTCTCACATCTCATTTTTTTGGAAAAAATTGAGCTTTATAATCAAAATTATATTCAAAATTATTTTGACGAGCCCAAGGCATAAACCATTGATATTTAAATTATCTTAGCTCTATTAAAATAAAAGATAAAATAAAAATAAACGACTTCAATTGACATTTATTCAGTCCTCAATATTCCTGGAAATATATATTTTGTTTTCATTTTCATTTTAATAACTCAAATGAATCAGAAAAATTTCTTAGAATTACAAATACTTAATATTCCAATTACTTTTCAATGTCCTAAGTAAAGCTGGCTTTATTTAATATTACAATTATTTTACAATTGCCTGCGACAATTAATTATTAATAAATATTAAATTTTTCGATGATTTCAAGCTCGAAAAATATTTGTGTATGGTTTATTTTCTCCAATGGAAATATTTGAAGATTCCATTAAATTTGAATTTCAAAAAAAAAAATTGTAAATGCCAGAAAATTGCGAAAATTATCCCATTTATTTCCAGCTGTATTTTATAAATTTTTTATATTTTTATTTGTTTCTGCTGCTGTCAGCTCCACAGTGCCAAAGCTAAGCATGTGCAATTCATCAAGGTAGCAAAGCGTTAAGTTGCTCAGCTGCGTGCTGCCTATCAACTGAATCGCAAGAGCAACAACTGCAACAGCAGCAGCAACAACAACAAGAACAGCAATAGAATCAGCACACAGACAAATAAACAGAGAGACGCGCTGACAGACACAGACAGAGAAACAACGCAGAGTTATCCTTGATACACCTCGAGTATCGCTGTAGCACAGGATGAAGCTTAAGCTTCATGAGCTTGCGAGAACCCAAAAGTGCAGCTTGGCGTGAAAAGAGTGTCGTAATTTACAGCCGTGCAACAGCTAGAGCCGGTGGCAGGTGGCAAGTGGTGGGCAGCAGGTGGCACGTGGCACAGGTAGTGCAGCTGCAATAAAACAGCCGAAAAGGTAAACAAGGCAAGAGCGGAAAATTTAAGTGCTAACTACGAGCAGAGTTAGAAAGAGAGAGAAGAGCTAGCAAGAGAGAGAGAGAGAGGGAGAGAGAGACATACTGTGGCATAATTAAAACGCTGGCAAACCGTTCTCTAAATTGGCTGTTTCTCTTTCCGGACACGCCATCATAAATTCGCCCAGTGCCCAAAAGCGGGCAACACTATTTTTTCGCTCCTTGCCTTTTGCTGCCCCACTTGGGGCCAAGTGCCTCCCCCTGGACGAGTTGCGTTTGTAATTATTTTGTGCACTCGAAATGCTGTTGAGAAGTGCTGAAGCGTTTACGATACGAATTAAAAATGTGCGCCGTAAAGCCTTGGCACTTAGCTGATCTATTGAAATGTAGCTGAAGGAGAATTTGACTAAGTTTATCCGATTTACATACTATTAATTCATAATATTGATAGGATTATAATAAGATTTCGTGCATCTTGGGTGTAAATGTTTAGCCATTGCAAATATTTAATTATTCTGGAAAGTAACACAATTTGCATTTTAATTATTCATAAACAAATAATTGTCAATATAAATAATTACAGTAGAATCCGGCTATAGCGAAGCTCAAGGGACCGTCGTTATAGCCGGAAGACGCTATAACTGTATAAGTTTGCTAATAAATGTTTGTCTGAAGACCAGAATTTTCATGCTAATAACCATACGGAAACTATAAGTGACGTCGTTATAGCCAAATTGTACTATATAGAGAGAGATTAGGCTCTAATCCCTTCGGACTACATCCAAAAATAATTATTTATTAATTAGTTTAAGTTCTCTCCTTAGTTGATATTTCACAAAGTGTGCATATAAATATAAATAATTATATATTTAAATGATATATTAATATTAAATATTTAATATACGCATTCAAGTCTTGAATTCAGTATAAACTTGATGACATTATCTCCCTGAGTTGATGTTGATAATGCAATTTGAGTTACTTTAGTGGCGCATTATGTAAAGTAAAGTAATTGTGAGTTGATAGGTAGCATCATCATAAAAGAAGCTATGAGGACAGCTACTGTGCGATTCCCCAGCAGCAATGATGCTGCTAATAATGATGATGATTATGTCTAACTGGCTAAGTGGCACTTGTGTGCTCAAGCAGCGGCAGTTGCAACTTGCAGGATGCGGATGCTGCTTGGCAGTGTGACGCTGACACACTGACACGACACACACACTAACACAACACACACACACATAGGGCAAATAGATAAGCAACCTGTCCTGCTTGGCACTTGAAGGGACACTTACAAGCGTTGATGGCATAATAGACAGCAATTAAGTGAGTCACTTGAGCTGACAAACACAGGAGCTGCGACAGCGGCAGGGCTCAAGACAAGGCCGACACGGGCCAAAGGCCACTCTGATGACTGTGCACTTTTGAGCCCAGCCCAGACCAGACCAGCCCAGGCCGAAATGATGATGTGAAATGTTTATTTAATGTGCTGCGCACACAATCAAATTAACAGCGCACCACTTGCAAATGTAATGCAATTAATAACAGAACTGTTGCAGGGCGTGGCTGAACTAGGCGGGTCGCAGAGAAGGGCGAGAATGCGGAAGCGAACATTGAATTAAAGTTGGCCCAAAATGCAATTTGCATTTGCAGCTGCTGGCTGCTCGCTGGCTGCACTTAAACTATTTGTAAACTATTGGGCAACTAGCTTGTAAACTTTTAATGCCACTCAACATCTTGCCACATGGCGCACAACAAGCGGCAGCAGCAACTTGCCGGCGAAACTTTTCGCATTCCCTGACTTTAAGCACGAAATCAATTGAGGCAAACAATTAACAGGCCAAGCACAGATTCCGGACTCGGGCGGGCCAACCAATGAGCCGGAAGAGCAGCGTCCCATTCGAAAATGAAAGATGCCTGAGGGAAGCTCAGTTCAGCTGTTGCTGGCGCCCCGCCCCACGCCCCACGCCCCCTCCGATGCCAAATGATAGCTGATGGCTCATCTCTTAGCCAACACATCGAAATATATTCAATTGGCTGGCTAATGAGCAGCCACTTATCAGTTATTAAATCACAAATTGCCAGCTAATTAACGTCAGCCACTCTGATTTATATATGCATTAGCCAAAAAGGAAAATCCGAAGCGTGGCTAATACAATATACGAAGCTCATCTCGGAGTGCAATAATAAATCATATTAATTGATTTATGCTGAGTGCTTGGCACAATGGAAAAATCATCCAAAGGAACTTTTTGGGAAAAATACAATGAAAATAAAAGTAAAAATAAAAATAAAATGAGTGAATCAACAAGCGAAGAGAGCAATCTACGGCTCAGTAAACAGCAAATTATGCGTGTATTCATTTTACCTTGCTAATATTGAATAATAAATAAAATATTTAATATTAAAAGAAAAAAAAATGAATTCACGGGAGTCGCAAAAGGAGTCTATTCAAAACAGCCGCAGGACATTTTCATAACTGTTGATGCTTATCAGCCTTTATTGAATTGCCAAATATGCCAACATACATACATATGTGTGTATGTATGTATTTATATTGCTGTCAATATGTTTTAACAGTCTGCACATCTTTCATATGAATTTTCAATTTCATCTTCAAGAACAGCAGCTCTACCGTCGTATAAATTTAGACATGTGTGAGCAATGGTATATGTGAGTTTGTATGTGTGTGCGTGCGTGTGTGTTTGCACAGTAAGTTGTCAAAGCTGTCAAGCGGAAATCCCCTTTACATCCTTAAATAAAAAAAGCAAACAAAACGACTTTTAAGGCAGAACAACGAAAGAAATACCCTAAAAAACAGCTAAGAAAAGGGAAATTTTTAATAATGTAAAACAACATTTTTAGTATGACCAAAGACAGCTAAACAATTTTAATTTTTGACCGAAACTATAAAAGTTTCTTAAGAATTTAACAGACATAAAAGCAGCTCCCTCTCACTCTCATTCACTCTCCCTCTCTCTTTGTCTTGCTCAACCCCCAATTCATCATGCTCCATTTACATTTTCATAGAGTATAGCTTACTCATGTCATATGTAATGCCTACACACTCACTCACACTCACACACACACACACTCCTCGGAAATATCGAAATAACAAAATTATTGTTATTGTTTGGGCTGCGGTGCGGTGGGCCAAGGGAAATTGCGCGGATTTGGCGGCGCTCCCAAGCGGCACACTCTTAATGGTCGCGTGTGTGCGAGTGTATCCATGTGTGTGCGTGTCTGTGTGTGTTTGTGCTTTAAAGCATCTGCTGGCATGGTTACCAAAATATAAAATTCAACAACAACAAAATAAATAATAAAAATAAAAACGAAAACGAATTACGGCTAGAGCCAGCAATGCCAATTAATAATATGGGCATGAAATATGTGTCATCAAAATTGCGACCCAAATTCAACCAAAATACTTCTTGAAGAAATTAATTTGGCAGAGCCAAAGGCAAAATGTAATTAATTTTTTGTAATACTAAATTTGAGTGAAATTGTAAAAAAAAAAAAAATAAAAGTATTAAAGAAAATTATGTGGACCAAATTTAATGATAGAATTATATACAAATTGAATTCAGAAGTTGAATTTAATTGGAGTAGAATTTTCTCTTGAAATTTTCATTAAATTAGCATATGAGTTTTATTAGGCGGGTTTTTTTTTTCTCTTATTAATAGCACAAAAAAATTTATAATTAAAAAATAATGAATAAATACTGCTCATTTCCAAAACTAAAAAATTAAAATTTCTTTTAATTATTTATTTTTTTTTAATTAAAAAAAAATATAAGTAAATAAAATTTAAAAAATATTAATATAATATATATAAAAATTCAAGACAAAAAATATTAATATTAAATAGTATTAAAAGTTGAAGCTTAATAAAGTCGAACTAAAAAATACAAATAAATGCAAATTCTATTAAAAAATATATTTAAAGTTATTTACTATAACTTTTAAAATTTAGATTACTGGACAACATTTTTTAGCTTCAAATAAAAATATAAAATTAACCTGAAATGAACAAAAAATTGTACAACAAATTGAGATAAGCTTTTGAATTAAAAAAAAGGAGGAAATAAAAAACATTGTAGGGCAGATAATAAAAGGCAAATGGCTTACAAATTATGCAATTCTTGCTTAAAAAGCAATTTAGCTGCAGACCTTTTAGACACCCTCATTTATAAAACTGAGCCGTCTACAACAAACTTGAGCCATCGCAGTTGCCGTGTTGCCAATATTGAGCAAGCAGCCAGCCAAATTGATTTATATGAAATTTATGCAGAGCGACGCAGTTAGCACAAGGCAAATAAAGAATGAAAAAAAAAAAAAGGAAAAAAGCGAACGCACAATAGCCAACAACGGGCGAGGTCAAAGTTAAAGGCATGGAAATTTATTGGCCCAGAGACTCACCTGGAATCGTGTAGGCCGTGCTCGCCCGACTCCTGTATGCGCATGGCATACAATTCCTGTGAGAAGAGCTGTAAGCACAAAAGTTCACATTTGATGTCATTAGCGCTGGCTGAGCTCAGACATTAATTAACTACTTAGCCGATGATCAATGGTCAGGCACTTATGCTGAAACTCACCTCGCCATTTTCCGGCGGATCTCCATTGCCAAAGGTGGAGGCAACAACAATTAGCAACGCCTCGTGCTCAATGGAGGATATATCATAGTCGGACATGCAATATATCTAGATGGGTAAACAATTTAGTCTAGCAGTGGGCGTAATCAAACCGGGAAACTTGCTTCAACCAACACTTTTCTGGTCATTAGTAGCTTTGACCTGGTTAAAACACGCAAACAGCCTAAATGAGCTAGCTGAATGGTGAATGGTTGAGTGTGCCTGTGTGTTTGTGTGTGTGTGTGTGTATGTGTGTGTGTGGATGAGTGTGCCTGTGTGTGTGTAGTTTGTCACAGGTGCTATCTAGTTTTCCAAACGATAGACAGCTGCTTTTTATACCAGCATCCGCTTTCACACACACACACACACACATACACCCACCTACCTGTGGACTAAGCTGCCAAAAATTTACCTGCCACATTTTGGGCTTATGCTAATTTGTGTAATATGGCATTTTGGTATAGGTCGCAGGTTGCTGTTTATTTTTATATGGTCCAGAGTGCTCTGTTTTGCTTTAATGTCAAATTAGGGCTGATATTTTGTTGAAGATGTCGTATGCTTAATATTTGCATTTTAATCATTTCAGTACAAATTTAAGATCAAAATTATGAATTTTTGAATAGAGACTTGATTGCTGCTTTAACTGTTAATGTATATAGTTTTAACTTAAACTCACCTGCGCATTGAACGCATGTCCCAGCAGCTCACACAATTGCTTGGCATATTGCTCCGATTTGCCCGTCTCGGTGGCATATAAGACTGTTGCCTTGATGCGCTTCGAGAGAGCGCGTCCAAATAATTTCGATGTAAATTTTACAGCGCTGCAAGCAAGAGAGAAAGGCGGCTTAAATGACTGTTTGTGTGTGTGTATGTGTGTGTAGTTAACTAGCTATGCATATTCAAGTAGCTCTTTAAAGAGACTCAGGAGCAGAGCTCGCTCACAGCGATGTGGGATCTGTTTTGATTGGCATGCCATATAATTGGAAAATAGTCTAGAAATATGGCATAAATTGCTTAAAGGATGTATGTAGCACACACATACTCACACACACACACTCACACACTTTTATTGCACAACAGCAGCAGCAGGCGTTGCTGCCATCGTGTTTCTCGAATCCAAACAGCTTCTATGATTTGTTCTAGCTGAGCACATGAAACTTTAATGCAACGTCTAAAAATGTGAAATAAAACGAAAGGGCAGGGCAGCATATAGAGCAGCTTAGCTGTTCGATGTGCCTCTGCTTGACTCATACAATTTACAGAGTCAGTTTTGGCTAGAGCCTCATGGCTCATGAGGCCATTGTTGCTCAACTGCTGTTCGTAATGTATGCCGAGCTACTACTTAAGCCTAAGAGAAAGACTGTGTAGGTGTTGTGTGTGTGTGTGTGCTGCTGCTTATAGGCAGTTTAACTGTAATTCAATATGGCTGCCTGGCGCACATTTCGTTGCATACTTTTGTGCGCAACATAATTTGATTTTTCATAAAGTTGTCGATGTCAGCACTGATTTAATTCCATTTCATCAGTCGACGTGCCGAGCAGAGCGCGTGTTGAAACAATTAAACTTAATTATAAAAGCGACACACACACACACACACACTGTGTATGTATTATGCATTTTGCAATTCATTTAAGCATTGATAAAAAGTTCACCCAAGCTCGTTTTAAATGCAAAGCGTATGTAAGAGAGTGAATATGTGTGTGAGAGTACCTGTGTGTGTGTGTGTGTGTGTGTGTATGTATAAGCATTTGCATAAATAACGATTTAAGCATGTTAATTGACAACTTTTTAATGTAATTCATTTTTACCATTTTGACAGTTAACAGCAGAGCAATAATCTGTAAATATATCGACTATATATATATATATATGTATAGTAGGTTTTGCGAAATAAAACTCAACTCGCCTGCCGAACGGTTGAAATAAATTAAAATATAATTAGCTTATGAAAATGTGAAAACGAACGTCAACAACTTCATTAAATCGTAACGATTTAAAGTGCACTCATTAAATAATTATTATTTTGTTTATTTTATTTTGTTCTTTCCAATACATTGAGCAACAATCTGTAGCTGTTGATTAATGCAATTTATTTTTTATATCTGCTCCAGCTGGCTATAATTGCTGATTGGTTAACTGCATTGGCGACTAAACAAAGCATTGGCAATGAGCTTTCAGCTGAGTTACAGTTAATTACCTGTTCTGGATACCTTACGAATATTAAACAATGAAAATTGAATAGCTTAAGCCAGATTGATTACTTGAATCTTGTAGCAATTTGGTGAGCTGTATAATAAGATATTAAATAATAAATGAGCTAAAGCTGCAGTTGAGTTATGGCATCCATACGTTTGAAACATGGGCTTCAATTAACAGCAGCAATGTAATATAATATGTATAATACATAATTTATAATTGAAATGAAATGAACACCTTGACTAATGGCATTAATGTCATTTTATAATCAAATCAAAATAAAAATAATTTGATAAACATTTTTCTCTGTAATTAATTTATTTTTTTTATATTTGCGCATTTTATGTTTTTATTCATTTTAATTTTGATATTTAATTTAAATAAAATTTTTATTATAAAAATTAATTAAAAGTTTTGTAATAATGCAATTCATATTTTATAAATTTTTTTTTTATTTTTTTTTTATTTTATCTCATATTGCTATAAGCTGCTCGATCTGCAATTAATTACTAAAGCACTTAGTTTGCTCATTTGTTGTGGGTAAACACATGATGCATAATAGCATGTAAAATCAAATATTTAGCTTATCAGAAAGTACTTGGACTTCCTTTGAGTTAAACAGCAAATTGAACTGTTACATGGGAAGCCAATCACAAAATGTGTAGCAAAATTCGATAATAATTATATTTAATAATTGAGCCAGAGTCAATATTCAAATGGCAGCTGTAAAACTAATTAACAATATGTTAACACGTGACTGGGCCTAAGAGTAATAATAGTGCAACTATTTTATCAAGCTGCAAAATTTTCCATAAAGTGAATATACCATATACAGAAATGTTTATTGCTCGCTGCAAATTTGTATAATCTTCATTATGTTATGCAGTTAAAATACACAATGGCTCAAGCTGGAAAATCAGCTGAAAATGCATCAAATTTTCCAGGACAGTTGACAGCGAATGGCCAGCTGAGCCGAGGCAAGAGAATGAAGACTGGCAACTGGTAGCAATAAACCAGAATCCATGTAATCTACTTAAGAGCTAATCCCTGCTGATGCTGTGTCGTGTGGCACGTCACACACACACAGACAAAGGCATACAAGCACACGCATACGCACACAATTACATGATTGGCACAGAGAAAAAGTCAAAGGTCGCGCTGTTTAGGTAAATGGTAAGTAAGCGTACTTACCGAGCGATTTGTTTAAAATTGAATTTACGTCTTGGCTTTTTGCCTTTGCTCTCGCCGCGTCCCTTTTTCCAGATGTGAGTGCGCCAGGCGGGATCCTGATACTCAAACGACGGCTTCAAATAGTACAGCGCCATCTCCTGATGAAACACGGGCGTTATCGAACCAGATAACGGCGGCACAATCCATATCCAATCCGCTGGGCAACCATTGCTAAGCGACCAAACGAGACAAAGCGGAAAACGGAACGGATGAATATCAAGTAATTGTTATGGTCGCCGCTTTGTTTTTGCTTATTGGCTCTAATTGACATAACGCCACAGAGCAGCAGCTCCAGAGCCCCAGTTAATGGCTAATGGCACCGCCTCCCTTCCAACCCTCGCCCTCCCCGCCAACCATTGCCTAATTGATGGCAGCCAAAGAGATGGAGATACGCAGCGCTGTGTGTAGCATTAGAAAATGCAAATTGGCATTAATTGAAATACGGCCAAGTATTTTTAGCCCGCCAACAGACTGGCTTAAACCAAGAGCGTATTCTCAGCATTGGCTCATCTAATTTTGACTGCCGCTAAATACAGTATTTAACTTTAAGTGAACACGATTAATAACCCGATTTAGAAGTGTAAACACACGGAAACCAGGCTTTGCTTCTTGCCGGAGGCAAAGTAATCTCGATGTAATCGCACAGTGATTAACTTTGTCAATGACTTTTTGATTCGCTGCTTTGATTACTTGGGAAGGTTTGGATAAATATGTAACTTAAAGCTTAATGTATTAAATGAGTTTACTGTATTTAGCTATGAGAAGCAAAAGAGCATGCAAGTGTGGTTAAATATGTTTAATAGAAAATATTAAATTTAAGCAATAGCAATGGAATTGAACTGAATTCAAATTAAAATAAATAGATGTTTAAACTCCCAGGCAAAATAAATTTTAATTTATTATTTTATTCAACGCCATTAAAGTTTGTTAGTTAATTTAAGAGGTTTAAATTTTAACGAGATATCATGCAAAAAAAAAAAAAATAATAATTTTTTCTTAATAAAATTTTTAAAAATAGTTAATTATTTTTTTTTTTTATGAATAATATGTTGCATCTAATTTTTGCAAACTTTTTAATAAGTTTAAAGTTTACAAACAATTTAAATTGCATTACATTTATCAAGTCAATTGAATATATCACTTAGCAACATCAAAAATATGCAATTTGCATTAAATTTAATAAATAAAATGAATATATCAATTGACAACGAGAAAATGAAAAAAGTTGAATAGCTCTAAAAGTTTTATATAATTTTTATTACTTCGACGAAAAGTACTTGATCACAAATTATAAATTTAACGCTATAGCCAAAACAGCCAGAGCAATTAATTATTTAGACATTTAAAAAATTATATTAATAAATGACATAAATCACAACTGATTTATTCAATAAAAGCGTAAAATCAACTGTGACCAATTAATAATTAAAACGGCTTAACTCCTGTCACAGTGCCGAAAGGTGTTGGCTAATTTATGGCACACGGGAGCAATAAGTGTGACAACAGTTGCGCCATGATAATTTATGGAAAATGATGGGAACAACTGCAGCAAAAACAACTGATAAGGCCAGCTCCTCGCCGTGGCCTGCGGCGTGTAAAGTTCCTGACATATTCGTGCGGCATTCGTGTGTCTCGCGTGCAGTTTACATAAAACGACGGCGACAGCAAATTGAAAACAATAAATAAAATTCGCACCTGAAAGGTGTTTCCCCTATGCCCAGGCCGGAAGTCAAATAAAACACGTTAGGCCATAAACATGCGCCTCGCATATGCCATAAGGGACGCTCGTAAAGCATAAATAATGCAATATTGAGTATACGCCCCGGGTGCACGAAACTCGATCGGTTTTTGGCTGAAGCGAATTTATGCTTACCGCAGCTTCGACTCGTTCTCGAAATGCTTCATAAAACTCTCGCTGGCCGTGTGATGATCCACAATGGTCACATTCCGGCTCTGATACGAGTGCAGCACGGCTATATTCATTTCCACCACGGCCTTGTCCTTCCACAGCGAGGTCGGCGTACGCGTATCCAAGTTCATTTTCAGCGCCACAGTCTGTAAAGGGAGATTGGGGTTAGTAAAAGTTAAATGTAGGTATGGATTATTTAGCTTGTACAGAAGAAACATATTGAAGTATTACTTTATATATTGTTTTTTTTTTTTTTAATTGCGGCTTCTTATTTTAAATGAATTCTCTATTCCTCACTCTCTAGATCTGCATATGTTATACATATCTTCTCAATGAACCCTCCTCTAGTTCTGCAAAATCTCTCTTACGGTCGTACTCTCTCTCTCTCTATCCACGTCACTCTCTATCTCTCTATCTATCTCTCTCTCTCTCTCTCTATCCACGTCACTCTCTATCTCTCTCTCTCTCTCTCTCTCTCTCTCTCTCTCTCTCTCTCTCTCGCTCTCTGTTCACCCTTAAACTGATGCGACATTGTTAATATTCAATTACAATTTTTTGGTTTTTGTGGCCAAGAGCTGATAATTGCACTGCCTACTGCCACGCCCACTCGGCAACAAGTTGCTGCTAACGTTTGTTCACACGCCCATTGCGGTCACTGGGCTTTGGTCTGGTCTGGTCTTATATCGATTTTGCCTCTGGCCATGCTATACAGTGGCCATAATTTAGCTAAAATTTCAGGAAATGGAAAACTTTTCAATTTTCCAGCAGAACCGCGAAAGGGAAAACATTTAAGTTTCAATGCAGACGAAAAACAATTTCTAAGTTTTTAGTTGCAATTTTACAAAATTAAGAATATTATAAATTTATATATGATAATCCGGATTGATTTATCAAAATCTATTTTCAGTATTAATTTCAGCATTTAATATTAATTTTAATTATGAAATCTCTCACTCAAAAATACCTAATAATATTTTCATCACATATAATCCAATGTGCATTTAGAGCTCTTAACAAACATACATAGATATCCCATTATATATATACATATATATTTATGTATATACATATATACAACGTAGATATAGTTGCCGTGAACTGCGCATTATGTTGTCATCAAATTGAATCATGCTAATGGCAAGTGCGTGTTGAAAACTAATTATGCCAGCCAAATTGAAAGTGCGAATTCATCAAAATTCGATGCAGTTCGAATAACTTGAATTTGTTGCCTCGCAGCAATTAGTGCTCATGTTCCTGTTCGTGTTCGTAGCTGAGTGCCGGCTGCATGCAATATTCAATGATTTCCCAATTCAGGCAGATAAATGCGATTTACTTTAAGTGCGCTCGAGCGACTTTTAAACGCACACATTCCTTGGCTCTCAGCTGCCATGACAACCCAAGCTGTACACACACACATAAACTGTCTCGAACTTGCACAACAACGAGTACACACACACACGCACTCATATGTGCACACAGCCTCTGAAATATTTACCAGTGAAACGCTTTATGCCGTTTAAGTAAACGCGATAAAGAGCCCGGAGAAGCAGCGAAAGTGTTTCGCACGCCGGAGATTAAATACACTGAAGTTTATGTGATATCAACGGGATTTTTTAAGAATGACTAGATATAGGCTTAAAATTTAAGCTTCATAAAGCCCCTACACAAATTTCGAAAAATTTGATTTAAACAAGTAAGAAGGCTCCAGTCGAGACTGCTCGACTAAGAGATACCCTGAACCCTCCAAGCTGATATTCTAATCATTCTGGACTTCTTGTATGCACACATACATACACATGCACTTATAAGCACGCGCTCTGCTAACTGCGCAGTAAGCAGCGGCTGCGCTTGGGCTGCGCTGCAATGTGGGCAATATTACGAGAATTTATTTGTTGAATAATTTCTTTTGTAGACATACAATCTTAATGAAACTTTCAGAGCGTAATCATATGGTTAAAATGTGTGTACATTCCAAATCACAAGTCTCTAGTACTTGAAATGCGTTTTTTACAAATTGGGGGCGAATGGGGCGTGGTATCCAAAATCTCTAAAAATACAACATCTTTGTGTCTATTAACTCTATATACAACGCAAATTTGAAGTCTCCAGGCTTAAAAGTGTTCAAACTAGGCTGAAAAAACAATGTCGATTTTTCGATTATTCTCGATAAAAAAGTTATCTGATGAGTTATCGAAAAAATAAAGCAAACTTGTACTGCCTATGGTATACACGAGTATGCATGCCAAATTTCAGCTCTCTAGCTCTTATATCTTCTGAGATCCTTTTGCTCATACGGACGGACGGAGGGACGGACGGACGGACGGACGGACGGACGGACGGACAGACGGACAGGGCTATATCGACTCAGCTCGTCGTCCTCATCAAGAATATATATACTTTATGGGGTCTGCGATGATTCCTTCTGCCTGTTACATACTTTTCACAAAACCATTATACCCTGATTTCCCATTTTCAATGGGTTCAGGGTATAAAAAGATTTATAATATAACATTAAATGATTTATTTTTTATAATTATTAAGAAAATACAAATCTGTCGAAAACTTGGCAAATAAAATAAAAATAAAATCCAATTTAAAAAAAAAAATAAAAAAAATAAAAAACACTTTGTTAAAATATATTTTAAAAAAAATAAAATGAAAAAAAATAAACCACTTTTATATTGCAAACGATGTTTGTTAACTCAAAAATACTTTAAGATTTGTATATCATATCATTTTACTTTCTCAAATTATTATTTATTTATTTTATATATTTATTATTTTTTCTTTTTTTCTTTCCCACTTAGATTGATAAAATCCTTGCCTCTCTATAAAAGATGCACCTTCACCTACTCTATAAAGCATCTTTAAAGCACTTCACCTAGTCAAGTGTCTCTCCACTAAAGGTAGAGTATATGAACATGATCTATAGAGTAGCCGTTGCCTCGTTTGCTGCCGTTTTACATACAATTGCACACCTCTTGGTGTATCCTTTTTTATTAAACAATATTAATGGCTGGCTAAGGGGTGGGGGAAAACGTAAAATATCCTTATGGAAACGCGACCATTATGGTGTGTAAAATGAAATAAATGCCGGAACATGGAGAGCGCACGCCGGCGACAAACACATCAAGGACATGCGGCAAGGACAATCCGCGCACGCTATCAATAACGCAATTACAATATATATATATATATATATGTCTATGGAGGCAGCTTTAATGCTTTAAGGCGTCGACAACTTACCTCCAACATATTGCGACGATTTGTGTCGCATAAATTCCGGCAGCCAATCTCTGTGGACATGTACCAGCCGCTGAATGTGGTTGCCGTAAACTGAATGCCGCCCACATCGAACAGCATGCTGGACACGGCGGGCAGGGCGTACCAGCGTAAGCTCAATTCAGTAAACCACTCGAATCTGTGGAGCAGCGAAGAGATAGAGAGTGTGAAAGAGTGAGAGAGACAGAGTGAGTTGAGTAAAAATTGTTATTTGCCATGCGGATGCGAATCCTTTAAATACACTGTGTCATAACTAGCCAGCCAGCTGCTTTGTTATCATAACTGTTAACACACACACGCACGCACACACACACACTCTTACTTGGGATGACTCAACGGCACTTCCAGTATGAGCTCCGGCGGGTAATCAAAGTAGTCCGGATCGTGACCATTGGCCGACACCACCAGCGGCAATATGTCCCACTCGGTGCCTTTGCCCTTCCAGCCCAGTTTGGTGCAGACCTATGCATGTACATAAAAAATACAACAACAGCAACAACATGAGTATCGAAGCCAACATAAAAAGTGACATATGTACAAATATATGACATACATTCGGGCCGTTTTTGCATGCAAATACATCAACGACCCGGCACTGTGCACATGCGAGGACTCAGCACATCATATCCTGACAGCATACATATGTGACTCTGTGAGTGCGTTTGTGTGTGTGTGTGAGTGCGGATGTGCGTGTGTCAGTATTTATTGACAGCTTTGTTATTTGTTCGGTTTTTTGCGTATTTAAAATACGATTTATTACATGAAGTTTGTACAACTTTTGTGCCACGCCTTTAGACAGACACACACACATTTATTCAACTGTAATTTGTTGTGTTATTGTGGATTCAAGGGATCTCTCATCTTGTTGGTTTTACCAACAACATGCGGGCCAACACATGCTGAAATATGTATGTACATATATCTGCATTAATACATATATGTACATATACGTATATTGATAGGTAGATTATGGGCAATAAATAAAGGCTAGCAAACGATTGTGGAAATTGCTTCAATTTCCATGAATAGCCCAGCGGCTGTGCAACATTGATAGGCCTAGCCCGGCACTCGTGGGAGGCTCAAACTGTTGGAGTCTTTAGCCCTTTATGCAGAATGCTATATAATTGATTTCTGCACGGAATGACATTCACTTTAGCTCAAGGTAGAGTCAAATTAATATTAATTAAATATATATTCCAACTACTTCACTGGAGCTCAAGGCAAAGTCAAAGTAATATTACTTAAATATATATTCCAGCTAGTCTCATCAAAATATTCATCTCTATTAAAACCCCGAATTACCTCTGTGAATTCCACATTCATGGGATCGCCTATGATTTTGCCGTCGGACTGCTTATAGCCAGCATAGGATATAAGCTGATTGTTCCATATACGATAATCATGTCGCGCATCGGTGCGCTGGGGAAATATTGTAATAGCAGATCTGCAAAACAAAAAAAATAAAAAAAATAAATAAAAATATTATTAAATAATATATACACATTATCTAGCTAGTTTAATACAAATGCATCTATTCATTATTTCGGCTCGAGTTAAAATATTCATTTATTCGTTATTTTAGTTCGAGCCAAAGTTCGTCGAACTTAAACAACTTTGGCCACATAAGCGGCTTTCGAGGTTCAACAAAGTCAAAAGTGCAATTGATAGTCCGGCCGCAACACTTAGTTTTGGAATACCAAAATTTGCAAATATTTGCCAAGCCTCAACGTTCGTTCAGCTCATGGCCAATTAGCGCTGGCCAAAAATGTTTGCCTGCCATTTCGGCCGAAATGCTAATAAAACGATTTGAGTGGATTAGTGTGCGTGCGTGTGTGAATGTGTGTATGTCAATGAATATATATATATATATGTATATGTACATATCTATGCATTTTGCATACATTTTCCAACCGGCATAAACAGCATATTTAAAGACACGGCAAATTATCTGAGGCTTAACAATTTTCACGTTACGCTCAATATGGCAGATCAGAAATTTGTGTTCGCTAATTAGTATAAGCTGGCAATGAAGCGGCGGGCAGGTTAATTATTGCAAAATTTGCCAATAATTGAAGCGAAATTCAAAATAGCCAGCGAAAGAGATGCAATTTGATAGACTACAAAAAGAAAATTCTAACTCTAAAATGATAAAGATATTAAAAGATATAACATATATTTTTAATTAATACGAAATGAAAAAAAAAAGAGTTATATAAATAATACTTTTAAATTATATAGTTTTTTTATTATAATTAGAAATTTTTTTTTATTATATTTAATTTATTAATAATACCTATTTTATATTATCTAAAAATCTATTTTTAATTAAACATATTATATTTTAAGCATATTATTATTTAAAGTATTTTTTTATTATATTTATATATATATAATGTTTTTAAATACATTTATTTCAATTAAAATGAAATATATTTAAATAATTAAAACTATTATATATATTTTCAAACCAATTTTAACTTAGGCGTAAATAACAAAATAAATACTCGAGCTATATGTTCTCTTTAATAGCTCGCGTAACTATAAATTTAGCCTCAAGCTAACATGAAAGTGAATTGCATAGTTCAAATCATTTGTTGACAAATTATTGTGATTTATAATTCTATAATTATTTGATGATATTTGCACCTCTTACCTGAGATTTCCTTTGTTAGTTGCATATTTAATGTGATTGCAAATGGCCTCAAACATTCCGCTCGTTGTGGTCACATAACGACAGTCAAAGACCTGCAAAATAGTATCCAACAAATGTATTTAATAGATTTCGGCAAATATTTAAAGATTTAACCAAGTTAAAGCGGGGTCTCTGATTTCGCCTTGCCACAGCAGTTGTTGGTGCAATCAGAGCTGTAGCTGCAACTAGACGATGCCCAGTGCAAAAGTTCAAATTAACTAAAATATTCATAGCGTTTTATGCCAAAGACAACAACAGAAAGAAACTGAAAAATGTTTAGAAAGAGGCATACATGACTTTTAGATGACCTGTAATAAATAAGATTTGATAGGTAAAATCGAAAATTTATTGTTTATTTTAGAAGATTTTTTCATTTATTTATTTCTTTTTTTTTTACTTATTTATTTATTTTTTTTTTTTTTTTTTTTTTTTTTTTTTATTTAATTTTTTTTTTTTTTTTTTTTGTTAGAAGAGAGCACAATGATTGCAACTTATCTAATATTTGGCATTTATAATATTAGTAAATAATTATTCTATAATATTTACGCTCTCTCAAGACTTGCCTCTCACTCTATCCTCTATTTCCAGAACTTTTATTTAAAAAATAACAATAAAAAATATATATAGATAAAAGATCAAATATGTTTTGTAATATCTCTTTTCCAATTCTTTATTGAGTATTTTAGACTAATTATTATAATAATTTAAACAATAAGCAAACATAAATTTAATTCCAATTCCCTCCTAAATTCCATCATATTTTTACAGGGTATTCACAGCAGAAATCGCAGTGGAGAAAACACAGCAGCTAAAACAATTGTACAACATGAATTTTAAGTGCGGCCAAAGTTTTGCAGCGCCGCCGAACACAGTAAACTCTAAATGAAATCAGTTTCGGTTCAGCTCTCTGTTTTGCCATGTTTTACTATGTGCTTTGTTTTCTTTTTCATTTTCATTTCCATTTGGTTTTTGCTGCTGGATCATGGGGCGTATGATAAATGTGACGTAATACGCTTAGTTTGGTTCATTCAGATTGTCGCCTTTTTGTTTTGGTTTTTGTTTTTGTACAACGAATGCCCTTCAATTCAATGAATTCGCTTGAATGCATTTTCTGGATATTCTCATTTTAGCAGCAAAGCACACACACTCACGCACACACACACACACATACCTCTTTATTAACTCTGTTGTTGGGGTAATGTTCACACCTGCTGTCCGGTTTATCACCGACAGGTGCGAGTACTTACCCTCGGCTTTATTTGTGATATCTCTGCTAACCCTCTTAAATATCTAAACACCCATTCTCATTTCATTATTTGGCTTCTCTTTTTCTTTTTTTTTTTTTTTTTTTTTTTTGTCATTTTAGCATTTGATTTTCTGCCGTGTTGAGTTTGGGTTTTTGGCTTTTTGTAATTAAGTTTGGAACCCTTTTTCAAGTGTTTTGCCCATTGGCCATTCAGTTATGCATGATGCGTGCATTTAATTTACAGCAAACTTTTTGTTTTTCAAGTGTTATTGGATAACTTTTCCGAAAAGTCATGGCGTAAAATGAATTTATCATAGCAAACAAAACTCTGTGTATGAACTCCAAAATGTTTATGCAGCATCATTTTTCTGAAAGCCAAACACACTGTGTGCCAAGTCCCCAGACAGAAGTAGAGAATATGTTAGTTGGATTTGGCCAACCAACGTGCAGATATTCTGTAATATTTTCTTGTATGTTCTTTGTTTAAAGTGCTGTTAGCCTAAGTAGAATAGTTTGTATGTAATATTTGGGCAATTCTAGAATAAGGGATTAGAATAGTAATTTAAAGAGTTTCTCTGGATGTATATTCTATGTAAATAAACTGGCTAGCAGTAACCGCAGAGCCACAAGGGAGGCTGATTAACTTGAAATACTATTGCAAAAGCAGAATAGATGGACTAGAAAAGAATAGCTTAGGATAGGGAAAGAAGAAGCAGAATTTAAAGCTGTATATGCTGGCTTTCAAGTACAATCATTAGTTAAGCCGAGAACTAAATGGACCGTATAGAATTTAAAGCATGACTATAAACTAAATTATAGAATATTTATTTAAAATGTAATGATAAGAAAAAATGATATATGTAAAAGTTTTTTCTTTATTTTTTATTTACATATGTTATTCTTGCATTTTCGATGCAAAAATAAATAATTTAAAAAATTGCCCAATATTCACAAACAGTTTCTCATATATTTTTCATAAATTTTGACTTCACTCTAAACTATTGCAATAATTTGTTGTTTACAGGGTATTTAACTGCTTATGCTGCAATATTTGTTTAGCTGCAACTATTGCTTCGAGTGTACCATATCTGTGTGGACATAAGCAAAAAAAGGCCAAAAGACGAGGGGCATTAAATATGAACACAGTGAATACATTTTTAACGTTAAGTGAATTTTCAAGGTGACTTCAGAGACGCCAAATTGAAAAGCTGAGGATGTTCTAAGGCAGAGCACATATGTATGTGTGTGTATGTATATACATATGTAAATTATTGAGGCGTGAATGCAAATCTGTTCACACATTGCTGTGCACACACGGGCAATTCGTAATGTCAACTACTACTGATCATTATATGAATACATTATTTATATATATATATATATATTTCTTTTTTGTATCCATGAATCTCTCTCTGTCTGTGTATGTGTGTGTGTGTGTGTCAGACACTGAAATTTTTGTAAATTAAGATTTACAATGATTTGCATTTCAAATTTGCGCTATGTTCTGCCTTGTTCTCTATCCCTCTCCCATCTCTTTCTCTCTCTCTCCCTTTTTCCCTCTCTTTCTCTTTGCTCTCTGCCAGCTGTCACTTGCTGGCTTTTTTATAGCCTTTGGGTGCGCGTTTTACATTTGTCATTTTGTTGAAACACGCATAAATCTTGAATAATGTTTCACAGACTCTCATACAGACTCTCTGTCTCTCTTCTTCTCTCTCGCACACACACACAGACAATCAGTGTGCTGTCTTCTGTGATTTGTGCGCTGACTAATTTGCTCGACTATTCTACGTATCTTTCAAAATTTCTCTAAATTACACACATTTGCCTAATGTGTCTTGATGAATTATGCTGCTAGCTCTGGGCTAATATTGCATTTATTGTTTGATGCACGAGGCGGACTAATGTGTTGCTTAGATAAGACTCAAATGCGAAAAGCTGTTGAAAATTGAATTTATAAATAAATAGTTGTGGAGAATTGTCAATGTGACATAATGTATATATATGACTACGAAAGAAGACTCTTGCGAATAGGAATAAATTATTAAATAACAAGAATATATGATGCACAAGCCTGGACATACAAATAAAGGCTAAGGCAGTAGGCCAAGCTATTTAGCTTATCTCTTGGACATGGTCGTACTCTCCTTTTCATGCTTGAAATTTTTTTAATATTTTTGTGTTTAATATTATTTTATTTTTTATTTTTTGTCATATTAATTTTTTTAAATTTTCAGACAATTAAATAATGATCATCGCTTTTCGGAACACTGTAAAAAGCTGTTTTTATTTTTTATTTTTGTCATTTTCATATTTATTTTGAAAAATATTTATATAATTAAATTAAATCATATAATTAAAAATAAAAAAATATCATCAACGCTTTTTGCCTTTAGCTTAAAAAAGGGTGATTAATTTTATATTCATTTGGACATTACTATCTGGGATTCCATTTTTACTTTCCCCAGTTCAAACATATTTCACGTTTTTCTTTCATAGTTAATAAAAAACACAAAAAAAAAAAAAAAAAATTGACAACTGCCCACATTTTAAAGCAATTTCAACTCGCCACAAATACACTTCGTTCTGAGTAATAAATTGTTCATAAATTTTACCTGGCTAATGCGAGGTAATAAATCAAAGGCGAGACTCACCTGCAGCTTTGACCACTGGATGCGGCCAATGCAGCGCGAAGAATTGCGCCAAGCTAATTTGGCGCCATAAATTAGCTCCGTTTCGGTTAGTTGATAATGTCCCGTTGTCTCGATGCTCTGTCGCACCTGTTTCCAGCGCGTCTCATGGGCAGCCGAAGAAGAGCTATCAATGGAGCGGGCGGGCGAGTGTCAATTGGTAGCAGATATTTCATTGCGGTGTGAGTGCGGACTGTGGGACTTACCGCTTAATCGAGGTGAAGTACTGATCCAGAAAGTCCTTGGCGTGCTCCAGCACCAAATCCACTTTGCGTGCCTCGACGGGCGCGTTGCCAATGTTCATGATGCTGCTCGTACAGGTGGCCCTCGAACAGGACAATATCTAAGGAACAGGCAACAGGCGAATGTAACGGCAGATGTTAAATAAATAAGTCATAAGCTTGGCACAAATATGACATACGGCAGTGGGTGTGGGTGTGGCTGTGGCTGGGGGCGGGCAATTTAATTAAAAATTTAATTGCTTATCTGGGTAATTAAATTTTTGATTGCTCATTTCATTCGCCCTAATTGTAGCGACAAATGAAGATGAATGACAGAGCTGACTGAGCGGACAGCGCTCTGTGGAGCTATAAAAATATAAGGAAAACACTGCCCCGACCCCGCTCCCCTAGCAGCCCCTGCCCGGTAATATGGCAATGGAAATGAAATTAAACAGAAACGGCTCAGAGAAACACATGGAGCGATAGCAACAACAACAACAACAACAACAACTGACAACTTCTCGCCTTGAGCTGTTTCTTGGGCAACAATTTAGCTGTTGCTTCTTGCCCTTCATTCATCCTGCCTTTGCTGCTGGCTGCGTTTAAAAAGCATTTCACTGTCAATTGCGGATGTTGCTTTCCCTTTGCTTAGCTTCTGCCTTACGCTCACATTTTCCTTCTCAGCCAGCTCACAGTCTTTGCCCCTCCTCCTCTTTTTTTATGACGCATGTCACTGTAATTATACCCTGTATGGGAGCGAAAAGGGGTATATGCTCTGCAGGGATGTAATATTGAATATGATTGAGGCTCAGTACTTAGTCAACTATTTCTTACTTATGTTCTCTCTCCCTCTATCTCGCCTTTTCTATTTCTCTCTCTCTCTCCCTCAAGCACATTCGCTATCTACTCTCTCAATCTCCCTATTTATCTATCTATATCGTTTTAGGGTCTGTCTCGTAATCTGTAGATCTTCTCTCTGTCTCTCTTACTTTCGCTATATATCCCTCTCTATCTTTTTCTCTCTCTCTCTCTCTCTCTCTCTCATTCTCACTTTCACTCTCACTAGCACTTTCTCTCTGTCTCACTCTATCACATTTCGAGAGTATTATCAAGTCTTACCTCATCTAGTCAACATCTACCTGCCTCTTCTCTATAAATCCACTCTTGCAATCCCTCCTCAATTCATCCTACCGCCACTGACAGCTGCCCTGCTTGCTTGCTGCTGTTTTGTTTTTTCATTTTTATTCGCTCTTACCTGTCTTTACCTTGGCTTAATTTGCTCAGCGCCAACGCCAACGCCAATGCCTGGAAGCGCAGTGGCAAAGCCACCCGCGGTCATAATTAGTTTGTTTTCACAGGCAGTTGAGCTTTTGAATTGGCTGGAGAAAAGTGAATTGAGACTCTCATAAAAGGTGCTCAAGAGAATTTACCTGCAGCTTTTGTCTGCGGCTCGGCGACTGTGACAATCACATTACACATACGCCACGTGAGCACTTGAGAGATTCGCTGAGGCAGTTGCGAGACTTGTTAAACTTGTATAATTAGGGCGAGAGTTGAAGATTTTGAGAGCTCGTTCTTTATCAACTTACTTCAAATTTGTATATGTGTATATAAATTAAATATTAAATTAATTTTCATAGTTAAGTCTGGTTGACTTTGAAATATTGTTTTTAATAACGTTTTCTTTGAGCTCACCTGCACCTAAACTAGCTCTAAGAACCACAGAACTAATGGCTACCCAGGTGAGTCATTACTTATAATGTTGGCTCTGTGGTTATCCAAAGGCTTACATGATATTTTCTAGGCTGTCATACAACAGCTCTCTATGAAAAGAAGCCACCTTTCCAGCTGGTATGCTAATATGCATGATATAATTAAATTTATATGATCTATGGGAAAGATAACACATACAATTAAGGGGAATGGTCAAACAAGTTTTGACCACTCAAGCCCAAATTTTTAATTAAAACCAAAATACTTTTAACCAAAAGTAAACTGCACCCCATTCTAATATATGGAGCAATATACATATGTAGAGCCAGCACCATTCCCTCAGAGGTGTCATTGGTGCTGTGTGGTACATACGCAATCCTGAGAAAAAATACTAATATAGCCTGGGTTGGAGATATAGTACGCACATATCACTACACACCGTACTCCCATGCTCATCGGATGACCTTACCACAGAAGAAGGCAAAAATAACTCAAAAGAATCTCACTTACTCTCCTAATTTTCATCTCAATAATTAATCATACATACAATTATTGTCTATTCGAGCTATATTCATGAAATTTTCATGTTCTTACATTTATATCCACAATTTGTCTCTTAAGGCCAATTTATGCATTTATTTACTAAGCATTGCCCCACATTTTTCAACCCTTTCCAGCTGCTCCAAATTCGCTTAGAGTCGCATGATAAAAAGACCTCACGGTAAATTCAAGTTGTTAATTTATGAGCCCTTCAAGCAACTTAACCACAATAAACTGCAAGCACCAACCACGCACACACACACACACACACACAGAGAAAAAATTGCCGAGTCCTGCCACACGGCTGTGGCATAAACTTTGCCAATTTTCACTCAACTGCGTGGGACAAATTTATGCACAATGCAAACAGCAGCAGCAACCACCAGATGCAAACAAACTAACACTCAGTCAAAACACACTCATACACACACACACACTTACACTCACGCATGTGGTATACATGACGCAATTTAATTGCAGCCACTTGAAAATTATAGTTCTAATAAGTAAAAGCAGTCGTTGACACGCCCACACGAGCTGCAACTACTCGCATACCTCATTTTGACAGTGCAATATGTTTTCCACTTTTCCAAGCTTAAAAATTAGCTTTTTCCATATCAAAGGAGAGAAAAATCTCATAAGTCAAACAGACCTTTTGGCTGCGCAGATTTGAAGAAACCTAAGGAGTGGCAAATGAATTTTTCGGGTGCCCGCAAATGCAAATAATTGCGAGAGTGCTGCTCCTGCTGCTACTGCTGCTCCTGCTTCTGCTGCTGCTGCTGCTGCTGCTGCTCCTACTACTGCTGTCGTTGCTGCCACGCCCATTAACTGGTTAACAGCCACACACACGCATCCTCCCCCTCCCCTTCCCCTTACCCACGCTACCGAGAAACAACAAACAAAGTTCTTCCAAATTGTTTTATGTAAATATAAACACAAAGCAGCAACAACAACAACAGAAGCAACGCGACGGTCGCAAACGCGCCGGAAACGGAAATTGTTGCAGCTGCAACGCGTCAAATAAATACACTCACACACACACACACACACATACACATGTAGTGTCTATAATATACTAATATTTGAGTGCGCTTAAAGTTTGGCGTACGCCTTAGCAGCCGGGCACTGGTGGACGTGGTATGGTGGTTGCCTGCAATTACTTTGCTCTGGCGTGCGCCAAATTTGCACTTTTTTGTTGCAAATTTTTCAAGCTTTTTTCGCATTTAAAATTTATGCGCCGCTTAAGGAAAAAGTTTTAAAAATTACTGCGGGCTGCTGCAAGAATCAAAACGAGCTGCGTATGGGTTTACTTACTAAATAAATGACTCTAGACAAAAGTAAATGGTTGAACCCAACAAACATGAGAGAGAAAACTGCAGGCATATCAACATTTAGTCTTCTTAAGCATACATAAATTATTGAGCAACCTAACGAAGTAATCCGAATTAACTATGCGTGTTTATTTGCCCATCTCTGTCTGTATATGTGTCTCTCTGTCTGTCTCCCTGTCTGTCTCTGCCTACTGCCTAACAAAAGCAAGGAACGATGAAGAGCTACATTAGATCATTTAAGTTGTCTATATGTATGCAGCAGTATCCATTTCGTATTTATATCCGAGTCGAACGAAGCTTCGGGCATTCAAAGCAGCAGAGAGTGCTCCCATTGATCACTTAGAGCTCAACTGCAACGATCTCTACCTGGCGTCGGGCTGAGCATTTGAGAGCGACTTCGTCATTGAGTGAAGGTCGCCCTATATAAAGGGCAGCAGCATTTCTTCAGTCAGTCAGTGCCGTGCAGTAAAGTAAAGTGAAGTAAATTGTGATCGTTCAGCTAAGCATTAAGGACTTAGAGCAAATAGAGAAAATACTAAGCAGAAATACTTAGAGGAAATGCTTAGAAGAAGTTCTCAGAGGAAAGACTTAGAGAAAAGAGTTAAAGGAAAAACATGGAAAAAATACTAAGTGGGAGGGATTAGTATAAATTCATGAAGGAAAGATTTAAGCAAAGATAAGGAAATACTCAAACAAACACACAGAAGAAAGGCTTAGAGGAAGTTCTTAGAGAAAAGGAAAGGAAGAAATAGTTTGTATATTCCTGTCTAACACGCCTCCTTCTGACTGTTATATAGATTTATTAAAATTTATTACATCGTAATTCCCATTTTCAATGGTTTCATGATATTAAAAAAAAGTGAATGCTTTAATATCATTTTGATTTATTATATTCGTTCATATTATATTACTCGCTTCAGTATTTTCATTTCTAATCGTTACAATTCTGAGCATTCACTAATTTTTCCATAAATAATTAAACATTTTTACATTTTTTTCTCAGTTTTGTTTTGACAACATAATTAACACCTTTACAAGCAACTTTTCAGTCCAAACCCCCATACTTTGTGTTTTTCCACACTCCTACTCCAAATTGTGAACAACTATTTCTCCGAGTGAAATTCCAAAAATATTAGCAAGAGAAACTCTACGCTTGAATTAAACTAATATTTTGAATATTATGAAGAACAATTGAAACAAAACAATAAAGACAAACAAAGTACATTTAAAAGAAGAAACTTTTCCCGAAATGGTGGAGGTGAGAGAAGGTTGAATGGGAAATACTCTGTAAATGGCTTAAGTGGCTTAAAAGTGTGTTTACTTGTGACTATTTAGAACATGTTAACTAAGAGCTAAATATTTGTTTAACAATTTCCAAGCACATGCTTAGTTAGCTTTATTCTAATTCTTTGTGTATATTTTCAGCTATAGCTTAGCAGGAATTTTAACTTGAATTTTGAATTATAAGATGAGGCCTCTATATGCGTTAAAATATAAGAACATTTATAGAAAACTAATAAATAAATGTGCCATCAAATTTTAATGATGCTTAAAATTCTTTTTATTCAAATCTCTCTAGAAAGCCTTGAAAGCTGCTTGTAAAACTTACCCCAGCTAAACGATGCTTCGCATAAATAAATTTTAATTACCCGAAATCTCGGCTTTATGTTGACTTTTTTGTTTGCACTCGGGCATAACTAAGAGTTTAAAGCTCACATATGGTTTTATGGACAAAGCAGCCATAAAAGTTGTGCGGGATATAGTTTGGAGCGCTTAGCATACATGTGTGTGTAAAGGTGTATAGGTGTGTGGGTGTGTGTAGGTGTACGTACAACATTGTGGGCCATTTAATTGACGGCATGTTAAGACATTTGAGCTGCGAATTCCAGTCGGATGACATAAAGTTTAATTTCCTTGAAGGGGAACGCTAACAACTATGAAAGCAGCAGATTCAGCTGCTCTTCCACCCAGTCGCTTATTATAATTAGCAGGTGGGCCGGTGGGCCAATGGAAATTTGCATTACAAGTGGCAAGTGGCAAGTGGCAAGCCGAGTGTTTTCCCAGGGCAACTAAAGTCGAGGGCGCTACTTAAACAAAATGGCGGCAAGCGCAAATATTTTGCATTGCATAATTTTATGCGCATCGCGCGTTAAAATTCAACTGATGGCAGCTGCAGCAGGGGGAGGCCGGCCAGGGTGCAGTGGGCATGGTCGAGTGTTATGCAATGAAATTTGATTGCAGAGAAAAAAATAGAAACGGATTCGTAGCGCCATTTCCGACGCCTGCTGTCGTCGCCGCCACCGCTGACTTAATTAGCCAGGCAACTGCCGCTCGGGCTTGAGTTGGCTAATTGAGGTTGGTTGCCAACTTTAGTGCCAACACGTCGCGACGTCTTTTTGCAGCTGCTGTAATGCGGCGCACCCCAACTTGTATCTGTGATTCGGCTTAATGGGTTTCAAATCGCAGTCGCAGTTGCAGCTGCAGCATCTCTTCGTATATTTTTTTTTGCCTGCCTAATCAGGTGCAGCCCTTGAATTATGCGATGGCCGCATTATTCGTTAGTTTAATTTAATGGCGTGCGAGTAATTAAGTAATTTTTATATGAGCTTAAACTTTTCAAGGAACGCAAATAGCGCAAATGCCGTTAGTTGTAAAGTTGGCCACAGGTTTAAGTTGAGTGAAAACTATGTTTCGCTGCTTTGCCCAGCTAACCGCAACAGGGATTACTAAAAACAACAACAAACGACACACACACACACACGCATGCATTAAGGGACTTTCCAGCTACTTCATTACGTTGTGCACACTTGGCTCCAAGCGTCAATGGGGTCGACAAATGCGAAGTCCTTTTAATCCTGGACCGGGCACGCACAACTTTTACATAACAAGCTGCAGTAAACGTTAAAATTGCAGGCAACAAAAATAACACGCGCAAACAAACAAACAAACAACCACACACACAGCTGCACACCCACACAATTACATAGCCAACTAGCAGCATCATGAGTATTAAATAACTCCTGGAAGTATGCAATGGTTTCTTCTTCTTCTCTGCGCTTGGCATTCGAGCGAAAAAAAACTTTTTTACGCTCCACACAAAGGGAGAGAGAGTGAGAGAGAGAGGGGAGAAAACATACTGCGAATTGTCTTACTGCCATTTTTATTGCACATTCCCATTCATGACGTAGCCAAACGCGCAGCATCTTAGTCCGAGCCCAAAAGACACGCCCCAGCAGCTGAGATGCCCAGCTCCAGGCTCACGTGCAACAACTAATTATGACTTGTATGTGTAACAGAAACTCAAATTGAAACGTGACCTACCTCGCGTCCCTTGCTGTGCAGTGTGTCATACACCTCCGGCCGGCCCTCGATGTTCTTCAGGCGCATCGGCTTCCGCATCAGCAAGCTGCGTCCCTCGTCGTCCAAGTGCATGAAGCTGTGCAATGGAAAATCAATGTTCAAGACGATGACAATGAAATAAATTTAATTACGTTTTTAGATTGAATTCGTATTAAAAAGTAGCTGAACTAATTTACTTAGAATTTATAGCATTTATAATAAGAATTCAAAATATTAAATATAGTATGAAATTCAAAATTATATATGCTATAATCGACTTTCATGAACTTTAGTAATTCATTGGTTTATTATGAAAATTAAATATTTTATTTTTAATTTTAATTTATATTATAAATTTGCATAAACATTGATATCTCTCTTAGTAAAAATTTACAATATGTCAAAGCTTTGTATAGGCGTAGCTTGAAATAAACTGTGAATCTGCGATATTTAACTATTTTGTTAATATTTGATTTTAATTTTTTTTTTTAAGTGCTGGAAATACATAGGCAAAGTCGAAGAATATATCTCAAAAAATCTATAATAATGTTTGACTTGAATTGAGAGCTGAGTTACTCTAAAGAAAGCAATTTATAAATAGATCCAAGTATATAAGAAAATCTTTGTGACTATAAATGATAAAGCTACAGAAAAATCTATTATAAATATAGATATTAAAATATAAATATATTATAACTATAAATAAATTATAAATATTTTTTATATCTCTTTCATAATTGAATCGCTATAACTTTGAATGAATAGCCTACACCCTGATTTATTCGAAATATTTTATAAATATTTCTTATAACTGCTCTGTGAAATTTGTATTCATTTATTTTCGCAAACTCCCGCCAAACTCTCAACTTTCTTGAATATAATACAAACTTGGGCTTTCTCCCTTCCGCCCTATTCATAGCCATTAGTCATTCATAACAATTTCTAGTTCTTCATTCATTTTTTATCTATAATTTGCAAATATGATTTATGATATGTGCAGGTGTGTGTGTGTGTGTGTGTAGGTGTGTTCGTCTCACCTGCCGGCACGCGAACGATGATCCTGTGACATTTTTCGCGGCTGCTGTGCGTTTTTGGGCGTTGGTGAAAGTTCGCGCGAACTTTTGCTGGATGCCGTGCCACTGCCTGATGCACCGGCCGCACTCTGGCCCACACTACTACCACTAACGCCACCGCCACCGCCAACACCACCGCCACTGCCACTGCCACTGCCACTGCCAACCCCATCATCCAACTCCACGACGATGCTGGTGTTGGTACCGCGTCTCTCGCGTCCCGGCTGCGGCGACGATGTGGGAATGCTGGTGCGCTTGTGGTGCTTCAATGGCGTGCCGCCAACGCCAACGCCAACGCCACCGCCGCCGGCAAGAGCACTTACTGCGCCTGCGGTCGTGCCAGACGCGCCTTTGCTGTGGTCCACTTCATGGCTGGTGGTGGCAGCGACGCCGCCAAGATTTGTGCTCAAGAGCTGCCCATTGCCGTTTAGTGCTGCCTGAGTTTTGGCTTTGATTTTATTTGGCTCGACGGGAGTTGCCTTTGGCGTGGGCAGCGGCGATTGCTGTTGTTGCTGCTGCTGTTGTTGTTGTTGTTGTGGCTGCGTATTTGTTGTACGCTTGATAGTCACAAAGCGCAGGTTCTCAAATATCGATGTGAAATGCTGCGACATGTTGTTGTATTTGGTTTGGTTTGATTTCGTGCAAGACTTTTTTCCACTTTTCTCCTTTTTTTGCTCTCTTCTCCTTTTGATTGTTAGCCTCGTTTATTTAGAATGCAGCCAGCACAGGTGAACTTGAAACCCTCTCGAGCTCAGCACAACTTTTGATTAAATTCTCTTAAAGAATGACGAGAAAAGTAAACCAAAAAAATTAACAACAAAAAAAAAAAAAAATCAACGAACTTTAAAAAAAAAAAAAAACGACAAAGTTCAGCTTTGCTCTCTGGACAGCAAGCCACAGCCAATTGGTTTCCAGTTGTTGGTTTGTTGCTCCTCGAGTTTTTTTCTGCAGATTGAAAACTTTAAGCGAACATTAGTTGAGCAATCAGCAAATCAAACAAATGGCCAATATGAGAATGCGAAATGAGAGGCATGGCTAAAAAGCTTACATTTAATTTAGGCAAATAAAGCAAATAATATGATATACCACAAATTATGCAAAGCCAATTTAAATATGATTTCAATTAAATTGTTATTGAAATTTGCTCATTATTATTGTAAATTCACGATATTTATTATTTAATAATTTATATTTATTTTTAATCATTTTTCATTTACCAGTTCAATTAAATTTATTTATATTTTACATTTTTGGAACATTTTTAAAATTATTTATTAATTATTTTTTATTACTTAATAATTAATAATGATTTTAAATAATTTTCCATTTACCAATTCATTTTAATTTTTTATTAGTTAAACTTTTGTTTTTAACATTTTCAAAAATAAAATTACTTTTAATTTTGTAAATTTTTAAAGTAATTTGCAAACATTTATAAACAAATACAAATAAAGTGAATAAAATTATTAATAAATTATGTTTTTATAGATTATGATGTTTTTAATACGAAGAATTGACAATTTTATGTCTGTAATTAATTTTACAATTTTATGTCTGTAATTCAAATAAATTATTAATAATATTGAATTAAATTTTTATTAACTGACTCTACCAATTTAATTTGAAATATCTTAAATATTTACATATTATTGTTTTAACATAAATATTTACAAAATATTATTGAATATTTTTAAAAGTTTCATATCACATTTAATAAAACTAAATTTGTAATTAAAATCCACCAACAATTATAACACTTCATACTAACTAAATGACCTGTTTAATTCGCGTTCTACTTTTGACTTTACGCCTTTACGTCTGTGGCAATTTGCTGAGAAGCGATTTACATCGCACCAGTTCCAATTGGTTCTACGCACTTAGCCAACCGCTCAATTGAACACCTAACTTTATTGGCCGAGCTGCCAGCTGGATCCCTATCTACTTAACTTGCAGTTGTTTCACTTTTGAACTGCTGGCAGAGTGAGATGAGAGAGAGGCGTGGCGGGGCGTGGTGTGGTGTGGTGGGGAACTCAAAGTCAGTGCGCAGCCCATTAAGTTTGAAATCAAGCAACGTACATTTACTTTTCCAGAACAACAATTCCCGCAACTATAACTCAGCAGCGAGCGCAATGTCCTTTTCCGCCTTTCCTTTGGAGACTTGCAGGAGGCGGCTGCCAAGGCTTGCGAGAGCGTTTCATTTGCCTTTGGCTAGATAAGTGTGCTGCTGGCTGCGCTGGCTCTGTCGACACTTAGTAGCAATTAAAAGTATCTTTATGGCAATTTCCCGGCTGATGAGCAGCGCCAGCCACAAACGAAATTTCCGCTCTTCAGCTGCGGCTTAATTATGTGTGTGCGGCTGCAGCACAATGTAAATTGCTTAATCAACAACTGACTGCGACTCTGGCTCCTCATGAACTTTTCAATTTAGAACACCTTAAAGCTAGTCGAGGGCCGATTAATTCACCATTCGCCATATACAGGCAACAGCTGCCGCACAGCCGTTGTTTTCGCTAAGCTGTATTTGAAAGACTTGAACCTTAACCTTCGCATTAACAGCATTCGAGTGGGCTCTTCACGCCCACTCGGCGCCAGCTGCTGAAGTTTTTGAGGCAACATGCGAAATTTTCATCAGAATCCTTTTATTTTGTTAACTCATTCGCGCCAGCTTCCGTTCAGACAGCCGCAGCTGTTGCCTCCTCCGCCCGCCTCGCCCGCTCACCCAAAAGCAAATACAGTGCATTATCAACAGTTGGCCAGGTGAGAGGACTGGGCAGCGAACCAACAAATATATTTATTATACATTTACATTCATATATATCAAGTTCTTAAGCAAAAGCAGCTGACTTGTTTGACTGGGTAGCATAATTTTATTTAAATTAAATGCAAGTACTTTATACGGAACTCTGTCGATGTGTAGCTCTCTAGCTTTTTAACTGAGCAGCTTTAACTTCTATTTAACAAAATTATTTTTTTACATATAATATTCTTAGATTTTTCCAAGTAAATTTCAATACGTTATACAAATCCACAGAACATCTTCTCAAGCGTACTTTAACCAAACCCTCCTCAATTTCGTTCCTGTTTTGTGTTATAATTATAGCAACCTAAGCAAATGACCCGTAAATAATTCAACTATTTGCCAACTTGGCATTCTCTGATCACATCTACTCTCTGCCGTCATTAAATTGTGTTACATCAAGTCTGTTTAACCAGTGCTTTGAATCAATCTCAGAATAAATACCCTTATTTTTCATGAGGCTATAGAAATTTTGATTTGGAATTTGCAGCAGACCAGATAAAATATATATATAAATATAAATATATATTGTACATTATTTTTTTAAACGGAACTCTTTATTTTCAATAAATGTTAGATATTCCAGAAATGTTTTTTCTATGCAAAGCTAATTCTAATAACTAATAATCATTCAAAATTTCATTCATTTGTTAGTTGAATATTGTGAGCTAATCGTAGCTACTCTGATCCGAGTGTATGGAAAAACAGCACATGAAGAATAGCATAAAAACTTACATACACCCACACAGACACACACTCACCCACACAAATACACAAAATGATTGAACGACATATTGTTGACCGCCAACAGAATCGGTTGACTGAATCGGCATCCATTGAACAGAACTCAGTTGGCCTTTGATTTGCAGCTGTAGCGCATTCAATAAGTAAGAGAGTATATTGGCTTTGTGTAATCTCTGGCTTGCTTTAGTCTGTGTGTATGAAGACAAATCAAATCATTGCTTTTATAGAAGCTACAGAATGATAATATGGAATATAAGCTTGTATTTGCACTTCTCTGTGTGAAGTATCAAGATTTTGTGGCAAATCGATATATCATTTGAGTATTCATAACTAAGTCGTTGACAACGATGAAGGTAGAGCTTTGAAAATTTCGCAAATATATAAGAATAGAATAATACATTAAGCTTAAATAATTTTATTCATTGATAGCATGGTGATTAGAATAAATCCGTCCCTAACACAGTAGAAAACTTTAGAGAAAGACTTACCAGAGGCTAAGAGTTACCATAGTCTCTATACCATATTCTATACTCTCTGAACTTTATAACCTAATCAATTATTTTTTACATAAGCATTTCAAAGGCGTATTAATTCAAGCCCATGGAACACCTGCAAATAACTTACAGATGCACCTCTACAGAGAGACTTATCATGAATAAACTTGCTAAATTCGAATGCAAATAATTTTATTCAAATGACTCTTAACTCTTTTTTTGAACTGTGAATGAGTATTATGCAAAATAAATAAATAAATAAATAAGTAAATATATTTAAATAAGCTCCACTCTTTTTGAACTGTGATTGAGCATTGTGCAGTTGGTTGAGCCCATTTGACGAGCTGTTTTTCTGCAACTGGTCCATAAACATTTCATGCTGGCATTAAAACAAAGCGAGGCTAAACAGAGCTGTTAGATGGCGCCATTATTATTTAGGCTTGACTCGCATTTAAATTCAAATCACACGCATAAACATTCGCTTTGATTTCCTTGTTTGTTTGGAACACACCCACACACACACACACACATAAATAACAACAGCTGTCTCTTTCATATTGTATTACTCTGTCTCTCCCTATCTCTCTCTCTCTCTCTCTTTCGCTCGATTTGATTTTTATTATTGTTGGTTTGGACGATATGCTCAAGCAAATGAAAATGATGAACCACAATTTGGTTTATTTTGTTTTGGTTTTGTTGCTGAGATTGTTGTTGCTGCAGTTGCTGACTGAGCTAATCAATCAATCAATCAATTAATTGCCCGCCCTGATAGACTCGCCTCTAAGTCTATTTTTATTGCTGATAGCCAACAGTTGCTGCTATTTTCCTAGCTGTTGGCCATTTTGGCACTTAGTCAAAGTGATTGAGTGTGGCCAAGCCAGTTAGTTGGCCATAAAAGACAGCAGCCGAATGGGTTTTACAAGCATATGTTGATGGTCAGCATTGTTTAGGGTGACCCAAAATGAGAGCAATATAAAAATCAATGCTAATAGACAAAAAGACTTGCGATATTTCGCTGCTTCATATGGAAGCTGTGAATATGACGGATGAAAATGTCGTAAACTAAAATAGATTCAATTTAGAGTGGTATTAAAACAATTTACAAATATATAACTATAGAAGCACCTTCTCCAATGAAACCCTCAATTTACCATGACTTGCACGTAGTGCCAATAAATAAAAGTAAAGTAGCCAGCTCTTTCTCAGGCTTCAACTTATGTAAGCTATTTGTCTAGCCAACCAAATTGAAATACAATTTCAATTGTCAAAGAAAAAAAATAATAATAAAGGTTACTTTAAAATTCAATTCAAACGGCGACAGTTGACATACTTAATGAAATTATCATGTTTTATTTTCTCTAAGCTAAAAGACAAGAAAACAAGTTTAAAGAAATATTTCGATTGTCAACGAAAAAATTAAAACCAAAGTGAGCTCTTGACATTTATATATGGTTTTTAATAAGGATGCTATTGCAACAGTTTCTCATAAACAGCTATAAGGAATTTCCCTTAAAAGACTATTCTCTAGATAGTCAACCTCATTTTTTACATCTTCAATATAATTGACTTGTTTCATTGTAAGAAATGCGGCATGACCTAACAACTTAATAATTCATTTCCTCTTCCGTGCACAAACTGTTTGCTCAGCAAAGCAGCCAACTAGCAGAAGATATAACCAGTTACGGTTCAGCACGTATTCCAAACCACTTAACACAGCCAGATTTCGCAATCATCGTTTCAAATCCAATCAATTGCTTTAAAATAAACTCAAGTGCAATCAAAGGCGACGGCGAAACAAAAGGACAAAGGCTCCAAAGCCTGAATGCTTTTCATATTATCTCAAATGACAACACAGAACCAGAAAAAAGGGGGAAAAACACAAAAGAAGAAATCGAAATTCCACAAATACAAAGACAAAACTGACAAAAAAAAATATACAAAAAAATTCTCAACACCAGCAATGCAAATAAGCAGCAAGAAAAGTACAAAATCTGTTAAGAAAAACCATTTAAATGTTTGGGCCAGAGCCAAACAGCGAAAGCAGTTGGTTTCCAAAAAATGTAGCATACTTTTGCGGGCGGGTCAGCCATAAAGTGTTGGCTGCTCACACACACACACACACAGTTATACTGCAAGCCTGCCAAAAGTATAACTCAGTCCACAGATCGTTTTCAGTTCATTTTTCTTCTTATGCAAATACAGAAATTGTAAATATAAAAAAAAAAGTAGGAATAATAAAATTTGCACATATGAAGTGCGACGGACGTCTGAAAATAAATAATAAAATTGTAACTTGGACATTGAGTAGGACTAGCTCTCTATACTCCTCACTATATACATATATAGTCTAGCCTTTGCTTGTGGTTCGGCAAGGTAAACGCAGTCTGGGCGACTCTAAACTGACTAACTGAGTAATTCACAGCTGACGCAGCTCTCGGCGGGATTAGCATATGAAAGGATATGGCGTGCAAAAGGTTCAGCCTTTGAAGGCTGCCAGCCAGCCAGCCAGCCAGGCAGCTCCTGTTATTTACAAACGGCATTAAGTATGCGTACTTGCTGCTGGTAAAAAGCATAAGAAAAATAAAAATGAAATGTGGGTGTATGTTATACAAAATAAATATTCACACTTTGTTTGGGCTACGCATTCTTGGATCATGTCAGTCGCAGCTGCGCCTGTTTTGCCTGCCCGGTCCCTGTCAATATTTATATATTGTTATTTGAAATTGATATGTAAAAGCTGACTCAAAGCATTCATTAAGCCCCACAAACATGGGGCGTACTCGACTTTGAGCCGGGCAACGGCATGAATGTGGCATAAATTACGAGAGAACATCAAATGTGGGTTTTATGAAAGCCAAAGCACAACGTGTATCATGTAGTAATCTATAAAATGGGCGCTAAATAATGCATGAAAGTCAATCATAAAAGGGATAACCCATTCGGGAACAACATTCAACAAAAACTCTTGAGTTTCATTAATTGAGTAAAGCAGAGCTCAGCTTTGTATATGAGAAATAAAACATACATATTTGTATATTTTAATTAAAATAATATTTTTAAATACAAATATAAAGACATTGGTATTTCATTTATATGTATTAGCTGTTGCTTTTGAATATGTTAATATGTTAAGTTAAAAAATATATATATTTATATATACATATGTATACACATTCGTATATAAAAATAAATAAAACATTCAATGAATATGTAACTGGAATGATGTTAAATAATTCCAGGAAATCTTTGAAGCATAAAAATAACATTTGCCGAAATTATTTTTATTTTGAAAATTTTCTTAAATTAATTCCATGAATACAGATGAGCTAATAGACTTTTAATTAATATAAATCAAATATTTAGTAAATGTTATTTTATTAAATGCAATTTATACACTTATAGATTAAAGAGCAAAAAATTATTTTTATTTATAATTTAAATTATACACAACGAAATTTGTTATAAATTTTAAAGAGCAAAAATGAGTATACATTGTCATATCTATTTATTTATTAAGCTCTTATGAGAGATGAATTCAAATATAAATAAGTAAAGAGCGTAAGAGCTAATAATTAATTCATCATTTCTAACATAATCGATAAACAAATTTTTTTATATTTAATACATAAAAAGGCAGTTAACCGATTCCTTTACAACAAATTAATAATTACTTGAATTGCCTTCAAGACTTGCTTTGCTTTACCTTGTAAAGCATCTTAGACTTGAGCTTCACATTATTTTATTTAAATTGTTCATATATTTACCTAGTCAATTCTAAACACATTATTTGCTGATTGCCAATTTGAGGCGACAAGTAAATTGAATCAAGCCAAATGCTGACCGCATTTTGGTTTTACACATGCTAAAATAATATTTGCTAAATAAACTATATGCAAATATTTATGTTAACAGACAATAATGAATGAAATTGTGGCTGGAATGCTTATCATGATTTGTCTGCTCGTCTGGTAGGTAATATGCAAAAGAAATGTTATGACAGTTAATTTAAAAAAGCTGTCGTCAGCAGTTCCCAGTGCAATCTGAGCACAAAACTATTTTTCATTTAAAGTTTAAGGCGCCAATGGCACTGAAGGAAAGCATTTTTAATTTGAAAGCGACGCAAGCGTATGTTAATAATAAACGAGAGCAGGAAAACGGCATAGAAAGGTGCACACACTCACAAACACACACACACTCACAAACACACACACGTACACACATAGACACACGGGGAGACAAAGACAGCGATGTGAAAGTAAAAGCCAGCAACTGGAGCAAACTTTGCTGAGTTCTCCATTAAAAAAAAATAAAAATAAAATAAAATGTAATATGTGCTAATTGTTTTTCAATTTATTCAATGTCATTGAATGTGCGAGGGAAAAATTAAGTTACGAAAAGTTGACTTGACGCCACTCGACTCAAAGTTAATTGTGTTTATAATTAATTCAAGTTGCAGCTCTTTGCTAAGTGTTTTTGCTGACAATAATTTTGCTATTTCCGCAGTTAAGTGGACGCTTAACAATATTATAAATGATTTATTTATATCTAACGTAATTAATATTATTTTGGCTTTGAAAAATAAATGAAACCAATTGTCCAGTCTCTGTGCACGGCCTAGGCGTAGGCCTTTTGAATGAGGTCTAGACAAATTCGATTTCAATTTGGGACTCATTTAATTGGCATTGGGTACATTAATCAATGGCTCTTTGAGAATTATTTGCACACTTTGGCTGATTATTGTTGCGCAATAATTATTGCGACAATAAGTACTCAATTATAATTAAGTAATTTATGGTTCTGATTGTTATGCAAAGCACTTGGATATAATAAAATAAAATTGTTGAATTTTTTTTTTTATTAATGTTTATTGACGCGAGGTACACTAATAACCACCAATTATTTATAGTAATTTGTAAGCCATTCTGTTCATATATTTCATCAGTTTTTTTTTTTTAATTTACCTATTACGAAATAATTATTTGTTTTTATCTATTTCTGTTTATCTTAAAGCTTTCCCAAAGTAAAATATATTAATTTGATAAAATTTTAAGTAACTGAAACTAAAATAAAGTACTCTTCATTAATATGTTTCAATTCATTTAATATTTGTATGCTTCATATTGTATTGTATGTATTTTTATTTACTTTTATTTATATTTAAATATATTATTATATTTTTTAACTAAGTTTTAATGCAATTATATAAATATTTATAATATAAAAGTAAAGTGAAAAGAAAATACAATCCGCACTTTTTTTTTTTTTTTTATTCTTGTGTTATTTTGTTTAATGTTTATATATTTTGTATTTTATTTTAACTCAATATACAAGAGGTAAAATATCTAAAAAATAAATTAAAATAATTACTTCAAAAATTATGTTACCATATTTAACAATATATTATGGCTTTTAATTTAAATAGATGTTGTCAATGATTTCAGATATTCATTTCTATTTACCTTTCTAATTTATATTAAGAATAGGCGTTTAACTCTCAATTTTTACACACAGCTAAAATTTACTTTATTTCTTTGCATGTTTATTGATATTAGTAAATATTTGGGTATTTTGATTAGTTTTTATTTAAACATTTTTTATTATTATAATTTAACTTTTTAACCTTTTGTTTATTATTTCTGTTAATTATTTGTTTTAATTTTCCTACACTGCACTCACAATATTAAGTGTTAATCTACATCATTTGATTATCAGCTTGGTCCACATATTCATTTGATTTTATTTTCTAGGTTCTCAGCTCGATCTAACGAACTCAAGCGCCGCGCGGTAACTGAAGCTAAGGCAGCAACGCAGCATCCTTAAATAGTAGTCGCTTCCTTTCGAACCGTCACACGGTCGTCTTCCGAGTCAACAACCAGGCAGCATCCGTTCACCGTTGGTGAAAGCTTAGTGCGCAAATGGGAAAATCAACAATGGTTTGTGACTCGGCTAAAGCTCTACACTGGAATAGTTGTTTTGACGGCGGCGCAAGCAACAGGTGAGAGACTTAATCATGCCATTTCTCAACAGCTGCAACAGGTGCCTAAGAAATAATCTGTTTTGAAATAAAACGCAATTGAATTGCTTTGTTTTTGTTTTATTATTATTTAAAAAGTGCGATTTATTCACTTTTCGCATGCCACACAGACGCATTTCTCGCAAATTCTCAGCTGAAAAATGCGTCGAAATTCTCAGTTGATTTCAATTTGATTTTTTCAAGATTCATCAAAATTAAAAAGAACTACAACAATTAACCTTAGCATAAGTGAACAACAAAAAAGTTGTGCTTAAAACTAGCCTAAACTATATGAATAAATATACCCTATACATGCCCCCAGACATAAACAAATCATCTAATATAGCCAATTAATTGCCATTTATAAATTTGATATATCCATTCTCACGTAACATATTTTAATATATATATATTTTTCTTTTTTCTTTTCTATTTTCTTCTTTTATGAACAGATTAAAATTGGAAGAGCTTACAAAAGTCCCGAACAGCTGCGATGACTACTGAGGCTCGACGTGGTGATAGGCTTAGCTCTCCGCCGTGTGATAGCTGGACAACGGTTGAACGGATCTTCCACTGGGAGGACTTTCCTCTTTTTGCTTGCTCGTTCTTGCTGTTTCGTATGGCTTGTCCCCATGCAGTGCAGTTGCGGTTGTTGCTGTTGCTTTGATGTTGAAGATGATTTTGTTGTTTGGATGATGTCGATGTTGAAGTTGATGATGTTGTTGTATATATATGTATATATATACAGGTATACAATAGAGAGACAAGACATTAGTATAAACTTGTTTTCAATAAATTAAACAAATAACAGGCTTTAAAACTAGATCTTAAAATTAATTTTCTTTAGAATACGATAAAATTGTAAAACCAAAAAAAAAAAAAAAAAAAAAATCAACAAAAAGAAAAAAGAAGTAAACAAACAAAATAAAATATCGTCCAACTTTGCGGCCATTCATATTTCATTTAGGCTCTGCTCTGTAGCCTAATGTTTTTGTTTGTTGTGTGAATTGTTAGCTTTATCTTTTTGTTAATATTGTGGTTAATCGCTTGTTGTGTATTATACAATATTCTTCACTTCTCTATTCGGTTTAGTTCAGTTCAGTTTTGGGATAAGTAGAGTTCACATTTTAATTTTGATTGCACTTTCACTTTAGACCGTCTCTTTAATTGTAGTCTTTGATTCACTGATGTTATTATGGATTGGATTAGGAATTTTTTTAGTTGCTTCTACTTGCGTAGGTGACACTCCTAAAACCTGAAAAGATGTTCCGCAGATGCTTCCACTTATAGCCACCAACACATTGCTACAGTGAGATTTAAAATGGAAGATGACGAGATCTGCAGAGCAGGCGCGAGATGGTCTTTCCTCTGAAGATCCGTGCGCTATCCTATTGAATTAAATGGACTGTCCAGCGCAGCTCGCTAACTCAATGAATGTCATTGCAACAGATTATGTGATCCGGATAGCAGGCAAGGGTTTTCCTTCTAAAGATCCTGCCACTCCCTTGAGGACTATGAACTGGACTGGTCCAACGTTGATCGCTAAATCATTCAATTTCAGAGCGAATCGCATCCATTGCTTCGATCTCCGATCCTCTGCATTGGGCTGTAGCCACGATTCGTGCTGCCATGTAGCGCTGATTGCCGAGTCCCTGTTGACTTTGAGCATTTCCAGCATCAGTAGTACAGCATTCACCTAAAGCGCAATAAAACCGACGCGGAGTTCCATGATGCTGCCACATGCAGATCAAATGATTCAAAGTGTTCCACGGTGTTCAGCAAAATTGAGTGTTGTGACTGGACGTTGTAGGGCTTTGATGAGACGTTTAAGTGCAGATGACACATTAATTGCAAATCCATTAGAATGTGAATCGACGATGTGTTGGGGGTGTACACTCCGATAAAGACAGAGCTAAAGAGAAGCGGGATACCTGAACTGAGATACAATCGGAAGGGGGGACCAGACTGAATATTTATAAAAATATTCCCTTTAGAGAACTACTCCTTTCAAAATAAAATCTATATACAATTAAACATTTCCTGAATTGAACGTAGGGGTACGCGCAGTTTGGAAATCAAATATTTACAATGGGCGAAAGGGGGCACGCTGAAGAGAGATAGGGAGAGTAGAGAAAGAGATAGATGTAACAGCATCAGTTCCGCGAAAGAGACAAGTTCTGCTTATTAAGAGCCGAACAGTTTTCAAACGGATGGCTAGTTGATTTGTTGTGTCTTGTTTTTAATGGAGTGCTTGCTGAGTGGCGCCCTAGCCACAACGCTCCACGACTCCACTACGGATTGAAGTTTAATTCAGAACGCCTAATAGACTAGCTCTGAGGCTTCAAATGGCAATCGCAGCTGCATTTTTGCAATCAATTTGAGCACCATCTGCGGCATAGGGTAAACTGAAGGTATCTAACCATTCTTTGCACTTCTCAGTGCTATCAAAGGCCAACAGATTTGACACATAGTCGACACTAATGTTGGGACGATAGCTGCAAGCAATGGAAAAAATAAGCTTTAGTCCAAAATATTATAATATTTATGATTCTTTCACTTACGATTTAATAATTACGCGCAGTGCTGCCTTGCGCTCGCGCTCCAAGAACCATTCAATCATATGGCCTGACATGAGCGGTGCCTTTTTATACAGCTCAAAGAGTTTGCAGTAGTTTCCCAGCGACCAAGCGGAACGAAAATCTAGAGCATGCGCAATGGCAGGATTCTCGCGCTGATCAGCTGTTATAGAACGCAACACCGTTGTAATGTCTATAAAAAAAGGAAATAATAAATATATAATGATGTACACATTTATCGATAATTAATTATCTAATTATGGCATTGGAACTAATCATATAACACGAAGATGAAACATCTGTTGTATAGTTAGGGCCATTAGTAATGGAGCATGCGTCATAGCATTCAGATGATTCATTGGAAAAAAAAAGTTTAAGTATAAAGTATTAATCTTTACCCAAGGTATTTTTCGTGAATATGTAATAGATAATGCGATAGGCTGTGAACTCGAGTGAATTGCTGCTGTTGCCCAATTCCAAGTAGAGCATCTTTAACTGTGTCTGACACTGATTAAACTCTTCGTGGTCACCCTTCTCCATGGCAATGCGCGCATGCGTCTCATATACCTCAACGGTGAATTTATCGCGTATACCTTGGACCTGTAATGCAAATAAATTAGTATTGAACCAAATTATTAACTAACTCCTGGAACTTACAGTGAGGTCTTGGCGTATGGACTTCAACTGATCACACGCATAATGATAATCCTGGTTGGCTCGCCATTTACTCTTTACATTGGCCAACGAGTGGGTGAGCACCTCAACGGGGCGCACTTCGAATGCTGAAGGCGCTTTGGTCAGACGCAAGAAAGACTTTTCTAAATCCCTACATGTGCCTACAATATGCAAATCGAGTAAATCTAAGCCCGCAGCTCCCGCACCAGCATCATCCTCGTAGAACATGGCCGACGATGAGCGAGATGCTGCCGCCGAGGCCTGCAATCTCTTCTTGTGCTTGGCCGTGGTGAGACCAAACGGTGAGCTTACAATTGCGACGACAGATTTCTTAGCCGAGCCACCGCTCGTCTGTGAGAAACGTGCCGCACGCTGTTGCAAGCGCGCTGTGTCATCATCAACAGCACCGCCAACCGACGACGAATGCGTAGCATAGAAATGTGGCGTCTTCTTTTTCCCTGCAACGGCTGCAGCGGCGGCCGCGGCACGCTTGTTCCTCTTCATTAGCATTTTCTGCTGTTTCCTGGACATATTCGAATTGATGGGTATAAAATCGCTGCTCAACGAATCATTCGAGCCTGTCTTACGGAGCACCTTGCGAGCTGGTGGACTGCCGGCACTGCTGCTACGCGAACGCGATTGAGAACGGGAACGGGAACGAGAACGGGAACGGGATCGAGAACGCGAACGAGAAACTGGTGAGCGCGAGTAACGTTTCCTATTATTATATTTCGATGTCGAAGAAGTGGACGATGTGGGCGAACTGCAATATATGAATTTATGATTAATACACAAATTAAAATTAAATTCACTTGTGGAAATTTTAAATATTTATTACTTACCGAGAGCGACTCCTGGAATAGCGCGACGTCTGCTGTTGGTGGTGTCCGTGGTTGCCGTTTGCAAATTTATTAAAGGCATTCGCCTTCTGCTTAAAGTGATTCACATTTTGCGTCTTTTGACCGGGCTTTTGTGGTGTTTGGTGCGATTGTGACTGTGATTGCTGTTGCTGCTTTTTGTTAAAGTAATTGCTGCGCTGCGGCTGCGGAGGCGTCACATTGCTGAGCACCACATCGATGGCATCGCGCTCGCTATGCACCGTGGGCATGGGCTCATTGTCCCAATCACGTGTCCAGAGTTCGTTGCGGTTGGCAGCGGCAATAATTTTACCCTTCAGACATATATCAATTTGATCCTTGTCCAAGTCGGTGGTGCACTTGGAATAGCATCGCGCCACATACTGATTCAACGAATCTGGCCACGAATCATTCGAGGCCATCTGAAAGCTATTATTGGGACGTTTAAATGCTGCTGCGGCTGGTGTCAGTTGTGGCTGCTGCTGCTGCTGCTTTGGTTGTTGGGGCTCCAAGACCGCTAACGGCGATTGCTGCTGCTGCTGTTGTTGTTGTTGTGGAGCAACAACTGCTGCTGCTGCCGCTAGAGGTGTTGGTATTAAGGGCAAAGGGGGTGGTGGCTTGCTTAAGTCTGGCGTCGGCGGCACGATTGGTGCGGCGAATGGATTTAGAGAAATACCCGGAAAGGCAGGATGCGACGCTTCATAACCACTATGCTGTTGCTGCTGCTGTTGTTGTTGTTGTTTGTTCATGCTCATATTGTTGTTCATGTTATTGTTATTGTTGTTTTTATTATTTCGCTTGCGCTTCTTTTTGTTGGAATTGTTGTTCATGTTATTATATTGATTAAGCTGCTGCATTGCATGTTGTTGATGTTGCTGTTGCTGCTGTTGTTGTTGCTGCTGCAGCGGATTTGGTGCATTTGCCAAACGTTTTTGATTCAAATTCAAGTTGAAGCGTATGCCACCAAAATTTTTCTGCTGCTGCTGCTGCTGCTGCTGTTGTTGTTGCTGCTGCTGATTTTTATTACCTGACTGAGCAGGAGGTGGTGGTGGCGGTGGTGGTGCCGTAGGTAGCGGAGGTGCCGCCAGAGCATTACTAAACCCAGGCGGCGCATTCGACGAACTAATAGTCGATGTTACCTGCTGCTGCTGTTGTTGTTGCTGCTGTTGCTGCTGCTGATAGCGCATATAATATTGATAGTATTGTTGATATTGTTGTTGATAGGCGGCTGCATTGCCACCATGATGCTGCCACCATGCGTAGTTGTTCCATTGCTGCGCATTGGCAGAGCTGGAGTTTTGTTGTTGTTGTTGTTGTTGCTGCTGCATCTCTTGCAGCTGGGGTATTAATGGCGACGGTGCGCTCATCGCATCGGACATTTTTTCGTACCGTTACGTATGGTATTTACGTATTATGTTTGAGCACTTTAACCTTTTGGAACTTACCTTTACATCAAACTGTGCGCCTCACCCTTTTACGTAGCAAAACAGAAAATGCAAAAATTCAAGAGAATGTGATAAACCCAATTGAGGAATATGTATTGTAAAACATCTGAGCATGTGTGCGAATGTGTACGTGTAAAGGCATGTGTGAGCGTGTACGCCATTTTGTTTTTGCTTACCCAAGAATCTTCCAGTGGCCTATATAATTACAGTTGTATAATTGCCTCAAGAAATGATGGAATTAATAATTACACTTGCATAAACTAACACGCAAAACTCAAATGATTGCTACACATAGAAGAAAAAATATTTTCTGCTGTCGTACACAAAAAAATAGAATTGTTAAATCACGTCTACACAATGTGTGCTCTTTTTTTTCTGACAAAGGCAGACAAAAACATCGATGAAGTTTAATGACGATATCATAGCCACAAAGTTGACGAGAATAATGATCGAGTACATATCGAGAAAAAATTTTCATGCAACGAGTAGTATCGAAAAAAAAAAATACTTATATTCGAAAAAAGCGCAAATAGCTGTAATAGCCATATATAATATTTATAGTGTTATTTGCATAAACAATTCGTTAATTATGGCCTTCACACGAACAAAGCACGCAACTCGAGATCAGTTGCCACATTTATTAAAAAATGTACCTGAGGAACACCAAGAACCAATCAAACAAATGTGTCTAAAAATGATGTCGCACGATGCCTATGGCAAACCGTAAGTTTTCCCAAATGCAAAATAAAATTTTGTTAAGTTGACGTTCCACCATAGTTACCAATGGACTTCACGAGACTTCGACTTGGGTGCGCCCTTGGGTCGCGGCAAGTTCGGACGTGTCTACTTGGCACGCGAACGGCATTCTCACTTTATGGTCGCCATGAAAGTGATGTTTAAGGAGGAACTACGAAAGGGCAATGTGCAACGCCAGGTGCTGCGCGAAATAGAAATACAATCGCGTCTCAAACACCCCAATATATTGCGCCTGCTAACCTGGTTCCATGACGAGTCTCGCATTTATTTAGCACTGGAAATCGCCTCTGAAGGTGAACTGTTCAAACATTTGCGCAATGCACCGAATCATCGCTTCGATGAGCCGCGATCAGCCAAGTACACCTATCAGGTGGCCAATGCACTCAACTATTGTCATCTCAATAATGTTATACATCGCGATCTAAAGCCCGAAAACATTCTATTGACGAGCACCGATGATCTGAAGTTAGCAGACTTTGGCTGGTCTGCTCATACACCGCACAACAAGCGAAAAACGATGTGTGGCACATTGGATTATCTGCCGCCCGAAATGGTCAGTGGACACTCCTATGATGACAGCGTCGATCAATGGTGCTTGGGCATACTGTGCTTTGAGTTCCTAGTGGGTAGTCCACCCTTTGAAGCTAGCACCTCTGAGAACACGCAGGCTCGAATCAAGCGTTTGGACATGCATTATCCATCGCATCTGTCGCCGGGCGCCAAGGAACTTATTTCAGGAGTAAGTTGATTCTTTGATAAATAGAGGACTCTATATGCCAACATTTACACAATTTTCCTTATATATTTTGTCTTAACCCCTAAATACAATATTTGATATTTTTTGTTTAATTCTTAAATCAGCTCATCCGTCGCGAGGGTCGCATTAGTCTGATAGATGTTATGACAAATCCTTGGGTGAAGGAGGGAATGGCAATCCGAGCTGCACAACTCCAGCAGCTGAGGAACGAGCGTGGTAAAGAAAATCAAGCCAGAAATTAGATAACCCTCAATATTCTACATGCCAATCAGGTCCATTTTAAATATGTATTTTTGTAATTCATTATGCCAATTGTTAATTTAATGTTTAAATATAAGCACTGATAATCCTGTATGTAAATTAGACTTTAAAATGCAAATTGTATTATTAAATATTTCTGTCTCATTGTAACTATATTAAAATTAAACTTTAAATTAATATTGAAATAACGAATTGTTTATATTTAATAATATTTAAGATTTTATTATAAAAATGACCGAAATTCTATCGGATCCCAATTTAAATTTAACACTCAATCGATGAAGCCCTAAAAAAAGTCTTTGATTATCGCGTGTGGCAAACTGGTTTTTCGATTGACAATATATCGAGTACAAACTCGCATGTAGCGAGGAGTATCGATGTTAAAATTGGCATTCGAAAAAAAGCGCAAATATCTGTGACGCTAAATTGAAAACACAAAAAAGGCAAATATTTATTTTGCATACGTTAATTTTGAAACGATGGCATTTACACGAACAAAACACGCAACTCGAGATCAGTTGCCACATTTATTAAAAAATGTGCCCGAGGAGCACCAAGAACCAATCAAACAAATGTGTCTCAAAATGATGTCGCACGATGCCTATGGCAAACCGTATGTTTTTTATAATCCAAATGTGTTATGTTATGTTATGTGAAATACCACTGCAGCTATCAATGGACTTCACGAGATTTCGAAATGGGTGCACCCTTGGGACGCGGCAAGTTCGGACGTGTCTACTTGGCACGCGAGCGGCATTCTCACTTTATGGTCGCCATGAAAGTGATGTTTAAGGAGGAACTACGAAAGGGCAATGTGCAGCGCCAGGTGCTGCGCGAAATAGAAATACAATCGCGTCTCAAACACCCCAATATATTGCGCCTGCTAACCTGGTTCCATGACGAGTCTCGCATTTATTTAGCACTGGAAATCGCCTCTGAAGGTGAACTGTTCAAACATTTGCGCAATGCACCGAATCATCGCTTCGATGAGCCGCGATCAGCCAAGTACACCTATCAGGTGGCCAATGCACTCAACTATTGTCATCTCAATAATGTTATACATCGCGATCTAAAACCAGAAAACATTCTGTTGACAAGCTCAGATGATTTAAAGCTGGCGGACTTTGGCTGGTCTGCGCACACGCCCCATAACAAGCGCAAAACATTGTGTGGAACCTTAGACTATCTGCCGCCTGAAATGGTGAAGGGAGAGTACTACGATGCCAGTGTGGATCAGTGGTGCTTGGGAATATTGTGCTACGAATTTTTGGTGGGCAATCCACCCTTTGAATCGAACAACTCGGAAATAACTTATAAGAAAATAAAGCACCTGGATATGCATTATCCATCGCATATGTCAGCCGGCGCAAAGGAATTTATTTCGGGAGTAAGTGGATTGTTAAATATCAAGAGAATTAGTAGTTAATATGATAAAGCTTATATTTTAATTATTTTCACTAGCTATATTACATTTTTGGCAACAACAATGCCAATATATAAACTTTTACAAACAGTTGTAACTATAATAATCCCTAAACAATGCTATACATGTTTTATACATATTTTTTAAATCAGCTCATACGTTGTGAAGGCCGCATCAGCTTGGTGGAAGTCATGACGAATCCTTGGGTAAAGGAAGGAATGGCAATACGAAATGCACAACTCCAGCAGCAGAAGAACGAACGGGGCAAGGAAAATTTAGCCAGAAATTAATCCAGAGCTTAACGTTTTTGTATACCATTTTTCGCATTTGTAAATTAATATTAAAATTGAAAATGTTTCCAATTAACAACTTAAATTACATGCCACACCAAATGTATGGGTTCCATCAACAAGGTGCTTCACGTTAAATCCAACGTGAGTCATAAATTGAATATTCTCGTTAAGATCGACTTGGTAAACTATTCCCATATAACCAGTACTGCATATTCTCGCTTTAATGATTTTCTCATCGTCTATCTCGTACTGGCCGCCTATGGTAACTTTTAGATCCTCCCATTCAGTCATTCTGGCCATTACAGCCAGCACAATGTTCTCACTTATGCGCTGGAATATTGATCCTTTAATATTCTTGAAGTTCTCTCTGCGTAAGCATATTTTATAGACGGATGAAGTTAAAGCTCTGCAATAAGGCTTACAGCTTTAGACCAATTTCTGTGTAATCTTGTTCACTTCGAATCCCCACACCAAGTTCATGCCAATTCACCTCCAATTTAGGAACATCGACAACCGCTCCCACGGAACATATAAATATTTCGGACGGATGCTCATAATAGGTATAGCCCGACACCATCGAGCCATTTATAAGGGGTGCAATCAGTTCAATCTTGAATGGATCAAACTCCAAAGCGGCCTGCACCTCAAGCGTCAGCCTATCGTCTCTAAACAGTAATTATAAAGTACAATTAGTAATTATTTCATTAATTGATTACATTGACTCATTGACTTACTTGTTCTCCTCGTCGTGATTGTAAATGGCCCGCAGCATGGACAACCCCAAACCGCCGAAAATTTCACTACGCATACCGAGCGTACCAAATAGGCCGTCGGTTCTGAACGCCTGCGACAACTGGAACATACCCAACCGTTCGCTAAATTCAAAACCTCCCACAACAGATTTAGAATTGGGTTTTCCGGCCCCGAAACTATACAATTTGAAATCTTCGCCCAGCTCAGAAGTGCAGTCGAAACGCCAAGTGCCCAATTTATAACCATTTACCAAACATTGTCTGGCCAATTTACCAATAAAATTGTAACTCGGCATGTCTCCATCTAAATAATACGGACCCAATTCCGTCTCCATATCTGGATCAGACTGTGTGGGGCCTGACGTACTGTGCTCTGACCGATTCTCTGATCTCGATTCTGGTGGTTGTGGTTCCTCGCTATTTCTTCTGAGTTTGGGCAAGCCAAATGACTCTCTGATTTTATCGTGACGCGCTTGCCATTTGGATTTAGACATTTTGACCATTTAAAAACAGTGAATTTTAATTAAAAATATCCAAAATAAAGAAACTTGATTTTATCCAATACACAGCCAAAAGTTTTTGTTTATCAAAATTTTTTTCTTTAATTCAAAGCACACTTTTTCAAAATTTCGAAAACTACTAATATAATTCATATTGGTATAATAGCTCTGATTGATCTTCGAAATGGGCTAAAATATGAAATTATGAATTTTTGGTAAATTATTTTTAAGTATAATTAGCGATGTAGTATATATATATATATATATTATATTAATAGTTTATATGCATATATATTAATATTTATTGTCACTTCTACGAATTTCAACATTTTTCATTTCATTACAAGATATTTTACCTACTCATCTCTGTTCTGTTGTAATCAACAATTTGTAGTTACATTCTGTAAACATTAGACTCTATGTCTGATTAACAATTGATACTCCACGAAATACCAAATTTATGGTTGCTTTTGATTGGATCGTCGAGCGATAAGCCGAAATGGTACATAATCCGTACACTGTCGGTGAAGGATTGCTGGTAAACAAAGGCTAAATATCCTTGAGATGTTATTTTGGCTTTAATCAGTGCGCTATCGTTGACCATGCACTGGCATCCAATTGAATACTCCACGTTTTCCCACTGCGAAAGCGAGGCCTTTACTGCAATGGCCCATTGATCGCTCAAGCGCTGAAATATAGAGCCACGTAAATCTTGGAAGTCCTCACTGTAAGCGGGCGACATTAAAACTGAGGATTCAAATACAAATTGTGAATAGAGCACAAGGCTTACAATTTAAGAGCGAGTTCGGTGGATCTATTATTATAACCCACACCAAATGCATGTTTTTCAAATGATTTCTCCTCAAAATCAAAGGCCGTTCGATATGCCAGCATAAAGTTCTCGGCTGGCTGCCAGAGAGCGTAACCCATGATCTTCTTTACATGGACAATGGGCGCGATCACTTCTATCCTGACAGGCGAACGCTCAACGCCACACAGGAGGTCAATTTTGTAGGCAGTTCTAAGTGACAACAGAAACAATTACATGAAATAAGTTACGTTCACAGTTTTTATCTACATATAATAGTAAAATACTCTAGCTGTGAATAGAAATCACATCCACAGTTATATACCGCATCCGTTCCACCTTCTACTTACTCTGCACGATTGTATAAGGCCCGCAATATGGCCTCCCCACCGATGCTGTCCGTTCTTTTCTGTAAACCAATCGAAGAAAAAAACTCATTTGTCAGCCAAGCCTGTGACATGGTCAGAAGTCCAAGCTTCTCCTTGAATCCCACGCCACCCGTAATAGTTTGAAAATCGGGCTTAGCGGACCCAAAACTGTACATGGATAGCTCTTCTTTAACTCTGGTAGTGCAATCGATGTGCCACACCCCGATCCTATAGCCGGTGATCAAACACTCCTTGGCCCATCGACCGATATGAAAAAAAGTCGGCACTTCCCCTTTCAAAGGTACGGGCGGTATTATCTCATATTCCGCCTCATGGGGCTCTTGAGCAGCATCTGCTGGATCTGGTTCTTGGGCTGATTCTGCAGGCACCTGTCGATTTTTTTTCTTGTTCCATGCAGTTAATCTACGTTTTTTGAAGACAGACATATTTTATAATATATATAAAAATAATAATAAGTAGCCGCGAATTTAAAAAAATAAATAAATAAAATAAAATTTGGATAAATAATTTAATTATTTTTAATTTAATTTATAGTTAACATAATAAATATGAAGTATTAATCAAAGATAGGCTTTTGTATGTTACAAAAAGATTATACTATATGGAAAGAAAACTCATTCAAGTCCAAGATCAAGATCAAGAGCGAATTTCTTCTTAAAACCCAGTCCAATTAGATCCGATAAGAAATCTAGTAAAAATAATAAAGAATACGCAAAAAATCTTTACCAGAATGTATTTTATTAACAAATGTTTTGAAAGTTACGCCCTCATACTCCACGAAAGACCAAATTTATGATCGCCTTTAAAAGGATCCTTGATTGCGAAGCCAAAGTGGTACATGATCGCTATGTTATCGTTAAGAGTCTGTTGATAGACCATACCGAAGAAGCCATCATGGCGGTATTTCGCCTTAATGATGACATTCTCGAATAATGTAACCTGTGCGCCGATGGCATACTGCTTCTCCTCGGATTTATAACAATTCACCTTGGCGGCAATGGCAAATCGATCGCCCAGCCGCTGGAATACGGAGCCACGTAGATCCTCGAAGTTCTCACTGGGTGCGCATAGCATTAAACGTATTTTGTTGCATTTGAATGTGGAATGCAGGGAAAACGAAATACTTACAGCTTAAGACTCCATTCGGTGCTGCCATTGTAGAAGCCCAGGCCGATCGCATGCTTGTCAAAGCCTTTATTTTCAATATCGTAGACCGCGCGGTACGCCAATAAATATTGTTTGAATGGGTTCAGAAGCACGTAGCCCATTAGTTTGGGCTCCCTCAGAACTGGTATAATCATATGAAACTTAAATGGAGTCACCTCGTAGCCGGAGTGGAGCTCAACCTTGACACCAGATCTAAATGAAAATTAAATAAAGAAGAAATTTCGTCTAAGTCAAAGTAAAATGGTCGATTTTTATAGGAAAAAATGGACGGATGGAATTACGAAACATATTTTCATCTCGTACCACTTATGGATTTAAATTTACATTTTCTTAAGAGAACGGACGGACAGGTGGACATTTAAATGGGCCGCCCGCATAATGAAGAGATAAGAGAGGTAGAGAGCGACAGAGACAAAGACAGCAGATAACTACATCGACTCAGCCCATTATCCCGTTGAAGAATACTTATACATGGCTTGTGGGCACTACCATAACTGTTCAATTTCAATGGGTTCATGGTATAAACAAAATATAAGCAATCTACATGGCTTTAGTGGAATATTGAATATACATTTCGACCTACAGGTCAGACTAAAGTACATTCAGACATACAGCACGAATATAAGGCTATGGTATGATATGATATACTCCTATGTATAAGCACATAGGTATATATTCGACCTTCTGCTTACCTATCGTTCTGTTCATATGCCGCTCGTAGCAATGTATTTGCCGTCCCACCATACAGTTCGTTTTCCAAACCCACCATGCCGACGAGGCCGTCAGTCATCCAGACCTGTGTCAGGCTGAGATTCCCCAGGTACTCGCGGGCTCCCACGCCGCCGAAAACGGTTTTGAACTGCGGTTTGCCGGTGGCAAAGCTATACAGGGCTAGATTATCGCCAATGTCCGTGGTGCAATCGAAATGCCAAGCACCGATTTTATAACCGTTCACTAAGCACTCTTTCGCCAGGACACCGATGTGAAAATATGTTGGCATTTTGTCGGGAAGAACGGGCGCAGGTATAATCTCCTCATTGAGTTCTTTATCACTGTCATTTTTATCATTGGCGTTGGCTCGATCCTCGGGAGTCATTTCCTCAGGCGGTAATGTTGGAAGCAGTTTCCTCTTTCTCTTTAGTGTAAATTGAGTTTTGTTAAAAACAGACATGTTTGTTAATTAATTCGTCAATTCACTAAAAATTTAAAAAGTCCAAATTAAAATTGTATATTTTTTGTTTATTTGAAAGAATCATTTATTTTTGATATATTTTTCAAATCAGTTTACTACAAAGACGAAGCATAACGAATTTTTTATTGAAAATTAAGCTATACATAATTATTTTATTTATTTTTAATTATTATTATTTTTTATTTCTTATAGTTATGTATTAGAGGGCACAGCTATGAATTTGTATTTCCTCTAGCTTATAGCTAGATATTTTAATAATAACTTTCAAAGCTTGAATCTAGAATAAGGATCTACAATTGAAGCAAATACGACTCGATTAATTAAAAGATTTATTTTTTTAAGAAGCCAACATTCTGTGAACTATTTATTCACTTCATATTCATTCTTTGTTTACCCTGAACCCATTGAGTATGGAAAATCAGAGTATAATGGATGTACATATGTAACGGGCATAAGGTTGCATTACAGGGGGCGCGGTCGCTAGGGGATTCGATTCAGCCCTGCCCATTATATCTCCTATGTAGTTAAAGCAAGTATCCAAATATATTTCAAGTTAAATATAGATTTATGTGCATTTTATGATTTCTTTAATTGATCAATTGATCTCATATTGATAGTAATCCAAAAAATATTAATATATGAATTTATTTAATTCAATTTTCACACCTTTATGTATGAATAAATTTTTTTAGGCAGGACACAATTACTAACAAGAGTTGAACGTTTAACAACTAATCACAAATTCAATGAAAGCAACAAATGTGATAGTGATATGGACAACTGCTCTTAACACTCCAAGGAGAGGCCAACGCCGAATTTGTGATCGCCATCGGTGAAGTGCTTGCAATCGAGCACCGTCGATATGGACATGGTGATGCCATCACGCAACTTCTGCTGAAAGCCCAGGCCTAGTTCGGCATTACTGTTAATTTTGGCACGAATCAGCGCATCACCTTCCAAACGATAGACCATGCCTATGCCAGCATTGATATCTTTAAATAGTGAGTCTTCAACCTCCGTTCGCGTGGCAGGCTGGCTGAGCTCAATAGCGGCGTCTATTTGATCAGTTGCCTTATGGAACAGCGAGACCAGCCAGCCTTTAGCATTAATTCTTTAACAGAGTTGAAGAGTTTTTTTTTTAGTGTCTTTATATACATATATATTTGATTATTGAAATCAAATTGTTTACTCTGCACTTACAGTTCGCCATGCAAGGTTGTCTGGTCATTGGTCCAGCCCAGGGCAACACTCCAATGCACATTTTCGGCGTTTATATCGACGTCAGTCGAAGCGCCGGCCAAGAACCCCTTGTCGCCCACCACCAAAGACAGACCAATTATGGGATCACTCTTGATATCACATTTACCTAGTATGTTGAAAAAGTCTTGGGCATATCTTGCCAAAAATTTGCCACTTTTATCGCTATATAAGCAATAATACATTTGGTATAGTAATTGAATCAACTTTCAGTGGATTCTGAGAATACGCACCCTGATGATGGTTGAAAACGGCCCTCCAATGCGAGCAAGAGGCCCTCAAGCAACTTATCTTTGTGTGCAATTTCGCCATAGAGTAGATTATCCGTGTTCCATCGTTCGGTGAGCGTAATCCCATAATCCTCAATATTATATTTGCTTTGCAAAGAGCCCATCACTTTGCTGGCATCCTGGCTGGCAAAGCCAGTCGTAAAGAACTCGATGCCAGAGCTAGTCATAGTTTTGCAGTCGAGCTGCCATAGGCCAGGATGATAACCACGCTTGAACAAATCGCGGGCCAGTTTGCCCAAATCAGCATAAACAGGCGGCGCCATTTTTGGCCAAATAAATAATTTGTATAATTCAAGCGTATTATACGGTTTCAAAATTTTTTTACAGCTGTGTTGTATCACCAGAATTTCTTTGAATATGAAAATGATTGAGCACTGAATTGTTAGTCGTTGTAGAATAAAATCAAGTGAATTGTGAGGCAACGTATGCTACGGCTACGCTTAACAGTACTAATATTTACCCATCTAAAGAAATACACTTTTCACAACTTTCAAAACTCAGTGGAAACAATCAAACATGAAACGGCTGAGGCTCTATTCCCGCCCACTAACAACGGAATTGATTACTGAGCAAGCGAGCAAGCATCGATAACAGCTTTCGATATCGCCGATAGGCAGACACAGGCTATAGCTATAATCGCATTAGAAAATAAAGTATTTTAGTTTTAAATGCACACTACTAGTGTTATTGTATTTATTTGACAAAGGTTGCTTTCATTCTATCTGGTGCTGTTCATTACTCACTCTCTGTGCAGAAATAATGCCGAGCTTTTTTTACACTTTGTTTTTTGTTGTTTTTGTTTTTTAATAGGTAAATTATGTATTTCACTGTTTGCCAACAATAAATATGTACTTAGCTATGCACTAAACGAGACTACGTCCAACGATCGAACGGACTACAATCTGATCCGGGGCCGCAGCAAATGTTGGCAAATGCTTTGCTAAACATGAAGATTCGTGTAGTGTAATTTTGTTGTTTTGTTTTTTCTGTGTTTTATTGTTGTTACACTTTCAATTTGTTTCTCTTGTTGCTGTTGTAATGTTATTGATGTTACTATTTGCTGTTGGTGTGTTTAGTACTGTATGCATATTGCTGGCAGCGCATTCAGCTTTTCATCTGGAACTAACTTAGGCTTCCAATTCGAGGCCAACGCCAATCTTGTGTCCACCGGCATTGAAGTTCTTGCCATCGACAAGCGTGGACAGGGTCAAGGTGATGCCATCGCGCAACTTCTGTTGATAGCCCAAGCCCACCTGGCTGGCATTGTTGACCTTGGCGCGCACGCTGGCATCGTCGTCCAATTGATATTTGGCGCCAATCGAGAACTTGGTGTTGCTGGTGCCGCTGGCCCACGACAGCTGAACACCCACATCCAACTTATCGGAAGTCCGTTGGAAGATTGAGCCGCTGAATTCCTGGCCGTCATTCCTATTTACCAAAGTAATAAATCCAAATAAAAAAACAATATTTAAAAAAAAAACATCGACGAATTTGTACTTACACGGCTGTGTGCAGGACAAAGTCCTTGGTGGAGTAGCCGAGGGCAAAGTTGTTGGTGGTCAACTTGGATTGTTGTGTATCGAAGGCAGTTTGATAGCCAGCCAACCAGCCCTGGTAGCCCAGCACAGCAGATGCGTTGATCAAGGGACCCTTCAGGTCAATGTTGACATCCGAATCGGCCTTGACATTCTCATGACCGTACGAAACCTTGAACTTGCCGTTCTTGTTGCCCGACTGTGGTGCGAAATTGCCCTCGAGGGACAGCTTGAGACCCTCCAACAGCTGATCCTGCACAGCAACCTCAGTGAACAGAGTGTTGTCTGTGTTCCATTTCTCCGTCAGAGTAAGGCCATAATCCTTGACCTTGTACTTGGTTTCCAGGGAGCCAAACACCTTGCCCGATTCCTGGTTCGAGTGACCAGCTGTGTTGAATTCAATGCCTGACGATGTCTTGGTCTTCAGGTCCAGCTTCCACAGGCCAAAGTTGTAGCCTTTGCTGAAGATGTCGCGAGCCTGTTTGCCCAAATCGCTGTATGATGGAGGAGCCATCTATTGAGTGTGAAATAATATTAGTAAATACAATTCATATGCCGTGCATTGAGTATATTAATTCACAAATTTCATATGTCGGGCCAACGATTGCGTGAAAGTACAGATTAAATTCGCAACTTTTATCTTATCTAACACTCTTCTTCTGCAGTAAATATTTCATGTAAGCAAATATTGTCATAGTTAATACCTATTTAAATCGCTTGCATATATTATTATTGCCATTTCCAAATGAAATGAAGGGATAGAATCAAATCCAACTTGCTCCCCTTCTTCATTCTTGCTGAATTTAAAAATAAACGCACAAAAGGAAAAAAAAGCTTTACAACAAATTTTTTTTTTTTGTACTCTGGCTAAATGTCAATTTCACAAAATCAAAGGAAAGTCCAATTAAATTCGATTTCAAGGTGGACTGCGGCCAATGAAAAGTGCATCTACAAGTTAAGTGTGCCCAAATTTGGCAAAGAAACTGCAAACTATCAGCTCTCCGCTTTGCTATGTTTAAGTACTTGTGCGTGTGTATGTGTCTGTGTGAATGGGGGGTCAACGCACGTCTGCTGTGATTGGACGAGTAAGAGCAAGAGCGTGCGAAGCAGCTGCGAGCGATCGTGCAATTGATGACGCACAGTGCGCCATAGTCGATTGAAACAGATTGCAAACAATTTCAACATACACAAATTAATATACATACATATACAAAGCGCCGTTAGCAACCAGCAGCCTACCTCTTTTCGTCTAAAATTATTCTTTATAATATTGTATGTCCAATAATTCTTGCCATAATCAGCCATTTTTAATAATATAATTTTATACAAATTTTAACTTTTTTAATTACTTGCAAATTAGTTTCTTACCATACGGCCTACTGTGCACCATATTTCATGTCTCTGTTTACATTTTGTTGTTGTTAATTACAGCAAATCGTTCAATGACCACTTGACAGACATACATACACATACATGTATGTACATATGTATGTACATTATATATACGTATATACCAATAACTACACGTTACATCTTTGCTTTGGTCTCATCACTACCTGACGCCCCATGCAAACGCAAGCAACTCACAGTGGTGGCCGTAATAATGGTGCATGTGCTAAAACAGCGTCAAAATATGAAAGGCCGACAATCAGGGAAAGATTTATATTATTGGCTAGATTGGACAGCGGCCAAACGGTGCGGAAATGACCAACAACATAGGCAAAGTAGACGGTGTGTGAAATCATGCGCTTTCCCGGCTAAGAGAAGACAAGAATTCTTCTAGCAAAAACTATGAGCAAATTTTACGACAAAGAAATATGTATGTATGTTGTGATGTAACAGGGCATCAGCGTGGAGCATCTGAATATTTCAGTATACATTTATATATAAAATATGTATGGACTAAGCAGGTCAGGTAGTTCGTGAGCCCTAATCGAAATTGCGCTACGACCTTGACACAATAATTAGTATTTGAAATTACCAAGGTACATGCATTCGAAAATTACTAGTATGTATGTAGCTAGAAAAGTAAAGTATTATTTGCTTAAGTCGGTTGTCAATGTGTGCCATAACTGCGTTTTCATCTGCGGGCTGTGGGCGTGAGCTATTACGCAATACTATCCAGCAAAACTAATCTTATATCCAATTGCACCAGTTGAAAGGTGCCACAAAACAAGCGAATAATCGATTTTTTTTTATGACGTCACTTACACACCCCCATCCGCAATCAAATAAATATAAAAATTGCTTCTCTTAGTGCTCACATGACCAGCGGCCAAAAAAAGCAAACAAAACAATAATAAAGCAAATAGAAAAAGTTTAACAAGCTGAAATTGATAAAGCTCTTGAGAAAGATGCATGTGATACAACTAGAAGGAGACCAAACGGTTAATTCCCATTTTATCAAAACAAATTTTAGCACAGTGCAGCCAATATGTCTGTTACGTAACAGGAAAGAACACTGTTGCCGGCAGCTGCCATCGTTGCGAACTAACTGTAAAACTCTTTTCTATTAGTGTTTTTGTGTATGTGTGTGCCGGTTGCTTTATTCGTTTGAATGGTCACAACAGCAGTATCAATTAAAAGATATTAAGAATAGTTAACACAACAGTATAAACACGATGGGAAACCCTTTCCGCGTGTCGTGTATGTGTGTGTGTTTGTATATGGATGAGGGCTTCGTGTCTACTTGCAAAATGTTCATTTCGAGGTTATGAAATCACTTAGAACGTAAAACGAGATACATTCACGGATTTTCATGCATATGGCTTCACTGTTAACAAGAGCTTAATTGTACAGTGACTTGGTTAAGTTCTACTTACTTTTGATAAGTTGAATTAGCTTTTAAAGTAATGCGAAACGCAGGAACAAGACGAGCACGACCACACAACGTACACCACAAAATTGATTTGCAACTGAATAGCAGTGTGACCAACGAGAAATGTAGAAAAACGCGATTGTGCTTTGTACGCGTATATACTAAACCAAACTATTTGCAGAGCAACTAACCACTAGTGGCAGAGTACATGGATTATTGGTTTGTAATAATATTTCTTTCTACATGCACATGAAATGTAAACTTAAATGTTTTAAATTTCACCTATTTCTTAGACTCAGATATTTTTAAAAAGTATTTTATATGATTTGCATACCACGCGTAAGAGGGAAGTGGCAGTCTTGTTCAATAAGTATCGATACTTTTTGAATGTGATCTTTGGCGCCATAACAGTGATCGTTTTCCCATTGAAAGTTAAAATAGAAACCCTTCTTGAGCTATACAATATGTTAAATTAATGAATGTTTTAATAAAGTTCCAATATACGAATTATAATTTATCAAAAGAAAGATAGAAATGCATCTGCCCCTCCAATACAGTGAGCAGACTACTCACTATTTATATTATTTTTAGCCACAGTGCAGGCTCTCTGAAAGACTAAGAGCTCTCGTTCTCTATATGTACAAATAAATTTAGTATAAATCTTGCATTTGGGAGCGGGAGCGGCTGCGAAAACGTCATGTTGAAAGCGCGCCTGGAACACGACTCAGTCTACGGCCGCTGCCTGGCCACATCGGAGCGAGTGGAAAGTGGCGAAGTTGTTGTGGAGGAACTGCCCTTTGCATATGGGCCAAAACGTGACAGTGGAATTGTTTGCCTGGGCTGCTACAGGTATTTGCAGTTTGGCGAAGACGGCGATTCGCTGGATCGCTGCGAGCTCTGCGACTGGCCAATATGCAGCAACTGTGTGGATGACGCAGCCGATCACCGTGGCGAGTGCGAGGTCTTTGCCGCGGCACGTGTCACATTCGCCGGCAACGTCAGCGAGGATGGCGTCTGTCCACAATTGGATTGCATAACACCATTGAGGTTAGTTTGTGGATGCCAAAGGGGTGTTGGCTGCGGGGGCCACAAGTCGCTGCCGTTCAAAACCAAACAGAAATCTTGACAGTTGCAAACATCACAATAGAACTACAACGCCAACCGACAGCATCAGCAGCTGGCAGGGTAATGCTCGCTGCTCGGGGCCCGTTCATCTTTGAGTCTGTGCCAAATTATACAAATATTTACAAAAAAGATGCTATGCGCACCTCATCATAGCGCGGTCCATGTCAGTAGCCACTATGACAGCGACGCCAGCACTCGATGTCAATCGCACGGCGGTGGAATGGAGTCCCATCTACGGACGCTATCTTACGGCCAGTGAGCCGGTTAAGCGCGGCGAACTGCTGATCGAGGAGCAGCCCTTTGCCCTGGGTCCCAAATGTAATGGATATGTGCTGTGCCTCAATTGCTACAGACCTGAAGTCCACGAACGTTGTGCCCTTTGCGGCTGGCCCCTATGCGGCCCTTGCAGCGACGGAGAGGAAGAGGAGGAGAATCAGCATCTGCAACTGGAGTGCTCCGTGCTGAGGGCGGCAAGGGCGCGTTTCTATGAGATGTCAGCCGGCAGCAAATATTGGCCACAGCTGGACTGCATCATGCCACTGAGGTGCACAAAAATAGATGCTAAAAGCAGTGCCAACTTTTGACACACATAAATCGAGTTTTATTTACATATGTGCTACAGCAAAAGTTCTGCACTTGTGGTAGATCAGAAACTATCAGCCATAGAATACTCGGGCGGGCTCTTGAAGGAAAATGTAATTTGATTCTGTTGGCTAGAGCTATTAACAGCTGTTAAGTAGCTGTTAGCTGATCATGTGCCGTTAAACAATTGTTTGTGGATTCTATTCTTCTTTATAATAATAATATATGTATATGTATTTAATGGATTAGGTTTGCTAATTTATTTATAGCTAACCAGGCATAATCTTAGTTGATTTATCATTTGACTAGTGCCAACATTTTGTTTTTTTTTTTTTTTTATTAAATTCCTTTTCGTTTACTTATATCCGTCGTAGAGTACTGCTGGCGAAGGAGGCACAGCCGGAGCGTTGGCTAAATGAAGTGGCGCCCATGGAGCATCATGAGCTGGAGCGGCGCGAGAATGCGGATGTCTGGCATGCGGACCGTGTGAATATTGCCCAATATCTGCGCGGTCCGTGCAAGCTGGCGGACCGCTTCAGTGAGGAGCTCATCATGCAGGTGGTGGGCGTGCTGGAGGTAAATGCATTCGAGGCACGCACCAGCCAGGGCTACCCCTTGCGCTGCCTGTTCCCCTACACGGGCATATTGGCCCACAATTGTGTGCCGAACACGGCGCGTACCATTCATCCCAGCGAGGGCTACAAGTGAGTGGAGCTCGCGGTAGTCAACAGCTTTTAACTTCCATTCCATTTCCTGTAGGATTCGCTTGCGTGCCATGGTCGCCCTGGAAGAGGGCCAGCAGCTGCAGCACAGCTACACCTACACCTTGGACGGCACAGCACAGCGACAGGCGCATCTGCGCGAGGGCAAATACTTTGTGTGCAGCTGCGAACGTTGCCTGGATGCCAGCGAACTGCAGACACATTTCTCCAGCCTGAAGTGTGGCCAGTGCACCGAGGGCTGGCTGCTGCCCAAGCAGCCAACGGGTATTCCATTTGCTTTTCACACATTTCCGATATACATATATACTGTGACTAAGCAGTGCCCCTTCTCTCTTTGCAGTCGTGGACAGCAGTTGGAGCTGCCGGTCGTGCGATTACAGCACAAGTGCCGAGGATGTGCGGCAAATTGTGGACGCACTGCAGGCCGAGGTGAATGCTGTGCAGGCTCTCGACATGGGTCCCAAGCGTCTGGAGGAAGCGGAACGTTTGCTGCGCAAATACAAATCCCTGTTGCATCCATCGCACTACATTGCCACCAGTTTGCGCCAGCTGCTCATCGAGATGTACGGCCGTGTGCAGGGCTACGAGATGGTCCAGCTCACAGACCAGCTGCTGGAACGCAAGGCGATTCTCTGCCGTGATGTGTTGCGTGTGCTGAACATCTTTGAGCCGGGCCTGAGTCGTGCACGGGCAATGAATCTCTATGAGCTGCATGTGCCGCTAGTGCTGCTGGCCAAAAGCGGCTTCATAGCCAATAAACTGAGTGGCGGTGAGTTGCGTGGGCAGCTCGTGGATGCCATTGATCTGCTGAAGGAGTGTGTGGCGATCCTCCAGCACGAGGATCAAAACTCCCAGGAGGGCATCCTCTGCAGTGTAGCCAGACAGGCGCTCCAACAGCTCACAATCAGCGTCGAGGGCCTGGGCAGCGAACTGGACTAGAGTGGAAACAAAGCAATTTGTATTTATTCATATGTTTATTATTAGACTTTTTGAAAACTATACACATATAGTCGAAGATACGCACATGTATTGATTTTGGCGGCCGTTGGGACCATCAGAAGGAAACATATAAGATAAAGGATTTGTAGGACGCAGCTTCTACACTTCGTGGCTGAGCAGCGCCGCGCCGTGATTGCGTGTGGCGTCATTTAGGCTAGCGCGGGGCAGAAGCCAAAGCATCGGATGCCCTGGGCCAAATACTTTCGCCAACATTTGATATCTACGACTTTTTGACCAATATGCACCCTTTTGCTCTCTCGTCTCGAACACCGACTCATCGTACAATATGACGTTCAGCTGATCCAGCATTATGAGGGTCACAAACAGACCAAACAAAGTCGATTCCATCATCAAAACTATGGTATGCATCCTAAGTAAGCAAGGCATTATTATCTACAGAAGTAGTTAAGGTCTGGATTTACAATTGGGTCTCAATTAAACTCAGACTGCATTCCGTGCACGGAAATATCCAAGAGACGAGTACCAGCGCCACGGAGTAGAGACAGAGAATGCCCACATAGAAGAGAAACTGTAGAAAGTACTTCTGATTGCACTCGCCCACACAATTGTTAATGCACGGACAATGATGATCCATGCGGCGTATGCATCGCTGGCATATCGTACAATGATGGGCCTGTGGTGGCCTATAAATCTCGCAGAGCGTGCACAAAGTCCATTCAGTACCACGGCCATTGCCAGAGTGTGAATCGGAGAAGTCAAGCCGCTTGGCGGGCAGCGATACAAAGCCCGGATCTGAGAAAGCTGCTTTCGAATGCGACATGCCTAGCAGGAAGACAACCGTATTGAAGAGCACAACATGTAAGACCCCAATACTAGAAGAACGAAAAATATATGAAGGTTTAATGGTTAAAGCAGAATAAATGGGAAAATACCTTAGTGGCATTGTTGCCGGTATTATCCAGCAAATTACCACGTAATCTGCATAGATAACGGCGCCATAGGTAGCAATCAGGCAGATAATGCCACAGGGATCACGTACGAAAACCATATCCAATATCGATCGTCTGTGTTTGTGTATGTTTGAGAGTTCGTATTTGATTTACAAATCGAAGCTGCCTCAGCCGAACCGACTTAAAACTTTTTCCGCTTCATTGATCTGCGGGGATATCAATTAAATCATTCCAACTCTGGGTCAAGGTACAAGTTAGAGCGATGCCTGGACGGTCAGGCTAATTTATTTCCGAAATTTATAGATAAAATATATATGCATAAAACGCTAATGACAATGAATATTGTGGGACTATCACACATACACAGACTCAATGGAATTTATCAAACGTCTTCTACACATGGCTTATGGCGTTCTGAATGCTTTAGCTTAGCGCAGGGCAGTAGCCACGATATCGGATGCCCGGGGCCAAACACTTCGGTCAACAGCTGATATTTAGGTAGATTTGGCCGATATGAACCTCTGTGCTGTATCGCCTCCACCGCCGTCTCATCGTACAATATGGCGTGCAGTTGATCCATCAAAATAAAGCTCACAAACAGTCCAAAGAACGCCGATTCAAACATTAATATTAGGGTATGCATCCTAAGTAAACGTGAGATTATTATGTACATACATTGCTTAGCTTTGGGTTTACCATTGTGTCTGTTTTACAATCTGATTGCATTCCGTACACGGCGATACCCAAGAGCCGAGTACTAGCGCTACGGAGTAGAAGGAGAGCACAGCCACATAGAAGAGAAATTGCAGAAAGTACTTTTGGTTGCCTTCGCCCACACAATTATTAATCCATGGACAATGATGATCCATGCGTCGTATGCAGCGCTGGCATGTGGAACAATGATGGGCGCGTGGTGGTCTATGAGCCTTGCAATGTGAGCACACAGTCCATTCGCTGCCATGGCCCTCGCCAGATGGTAAATCGGAGAAATCCGGGCGATTGGTTGTCAGCGGTACAATGCCTGGATCTGTGAAGACTGCTTTCGAATGGGATAAGAATACCAGGAGCACGATCGCATGGAAGAGTACAACATGGAAGGGCGCCCAGATACTACAAGAACAATATATGTTGGTATAGATAGATACGGCAGAATGAAGAGTAAATACCTCAGTGGCATTGCTGTTATTATTATCCATTGAATGACCACATAATCTGCGTAGATAACGGCGCCATAGGTACCAATGAGGCAGATAATACCAGAGGGATCAAGTATGAAAACCATATCCAATATTTTTGTGTCTGTCAGTGTATGCCCGAAATTGAATTACAAATCGAAGCTGCTTTAGCCCTGACCGAGCCAAGTAATACCAACGTAGCTACTCCGAAGTAATTTAAATCTTTCCGTAATCGCTACAATTAACATGTCAGATGAAAATGATAAGCGTGGACTTGAAATCTCTCTGAGCTGCATTTCCATTGAGCTGCTGCAGGAGTGTATGAGGATCCTGCAACACGAAGAGCACATTCATAGGAGGACATCCTCGAGAGTCCTCCTCCCGACGCAGTGAGTCGGACTAACTAGGACGGAAACAAATCGGTTTGTACTTATTCATATGTTTATCATTAGATTTATTGAAAACTATACACATATAGTTGAAGATACGCATATGTATTGGTTTTTGTGGCTTCTTGAGACCATCGAGAGATTTGCCTGTTCAATAGAAACAATTCGCTTAATTCTCAAATTGGATTCTGTGTTACACATAATTGCATATTAAGGCGTTCATTAGATCAGTTTCACTTGATTATGCTGGAATGACGCATGCCATTTCATTTTGGGGCAATTCAAAGTTTACAATATAAAAGTGGAAAACATGATATTATGTAAGGCGACTTTCATATGGAATTTATAAAAACGTATAAACAGTACAATTAATTTGCTAATACATATGTAAAAAGAATATACATTTCAGTACAGACTAGTTAGTGTTCACGTTTTATTGCTGCAGTTAGAAAATTGCAAGTGTCATTCCAGCAAAAATTGAATTGCCATTAAAGCAATACGTTCAAATTAAACAATAATAAATATAAATTTAAGCAAATAAACAAAAATTACAGTCAATTAGTTTTCCTTCCTCTGCTTTTTGCTTACAAACAAACTAATTAGTTTAGGTCTTATAAATAATACGAGCTATTACCGCACACACAATTAATGTTAATGTTTATTTGGTATATGAATTTCTTGATCTCTTAAATGCTTGAAGGTCGTACTTATTTTTGATTTGCTTACTTGCTTTTTTTTTACACACATTTATATATTTATATATAGCTAAACATCTGATCGCTACGTATGCTATGGGAAAACTAGTTTTGTTTAAAAAAATATTGAGTTTCTGTTGAGTATGTTTTGGCTCGACTGATGCAATCAATTATTAACTAAAGTGTTAATTAAATATTGGAATCTTGTTTGTATATAGTATATACAAATAAACAAAATATAAATATACATACATATACATAGCTTTGGGTCAAGGTAAGAGAAAGGGGAATAGCCGGGTAGGTGGTATAGCTTTCTTGATAAAAAAATATAAACACAAATACATAGATACGTAAAACATAAAACAATGGATTTTGTGGGACTCTCACGCACACACACGCATATAGAACAGAAACATAATACATACAAAATAATAGAATTTATCACACGGCTTCTAAACATCGTGGCTGAGCAGCGGTGTGTCGTGATATCGTGCGGCGTGATTTAGACTAGCGCAAGGCAGAAGCCACAGCATCGGATGTCCACGTCCAAACACATCGGCCAACAGTTGATATTTACGTCGATTAGGTCGATATGCCCCCTTCTGCTGTATCGCCTCGACAGCCGTCTCGTCGTACAATATGGCGTGTAGCTGATCTACCATGATGGCAGTCACAAACAGTCCAAACAGCGCCGACTCCAACAGCAAAACGATGGAATGAATCCTGAGTAAACAAGGCATTTTTTAATATTATCGAACTTTTGGATTTGAGACATACTTACATGCGCAGCTGTGTATCAATTACATTTTGGCTGCATTCCGTACACGGCGATACCCAAGAGCCGAGTATTAGCGCTACAGAGTAGAGGGAGAGAATACCCACATATACGAGAAATTGCAGAAAGTACTTTTGATTGCGTTCGCCCACACAATTATTAATCCATGGACAATGATGATCCATGCGGCGTATGCATCGCTTGCATATGCGACAATGATGGGCTCGTGGTGGCCTATAAGTCTCGCAGCGTGTGCACACTGTCCATTCGCTACCATGGCCATTGCCAGATATCTGTTTGGTGCTGTTGTTGGTGGTGTGCAAATCGGAGAAGTCTAAGCGATTGGCGGGCAGCGGTACAATGCCTGGATCTGAGAAAACTGCTTTCAAATGCGACATGCCTAGCAGGAAGACAACCGTATTGAAGAGCACAACATGGAAGGGTGCCCAAATACTAAAAGTGAAGGAATATATATATAGTATAGATATAGGTATACACAGTGGAGTCATTAATAGAATGAATGGCAAAATACCTTAGTGGCATTGTTGCCAGTATTATCCAGCGCATAACCACATAATCTGCGTAGATAACCGCACCATAGGTAAAAATCAGGCACACAATGCCACAGGGATCACGTATGAAAACCATATCCAATATCGGCCTTTTTCGTCTGCTTGTGTGTGAGTCCGTAATTGAATTACAAATCGAAGCTACCTCAGCCCTTGCCTCTTTCCATTTAACGAGCCGAGTAATACTTTTGTTGCTACACTGCAGCTCAGCTGCTGGCAGCAACTCTCAGCACTTTTCACTCAATAATTTTCACTTGTCTTGGCTATGTAGTAATAAACGTTACTTAGTATTCCATTTAAATCTGCTTGAAAGTTTCATTTATTTATTTGTTGCTATTTTTCGATTCCAAATTTTTCACCCTAAGCCCCGTAGCGGTCATACACGATACAATTGTCTGCCAGTCAGATGTGATCGGTGCCCACACACGATACATTTTGTTGATTTGATGATAGGCTTTGCTTTGTTCACATCACACTCCATTTAAGTGTAGATTTTTTGAAGTTTAGTATACAAGTCAACATTATTTTTTGTATTTTATTTATGAATACAATTGAGTATGTCTGAAAATTAGATGATAATCGTGTGACAGGAATGACGTGCTGATATCGAAATACCGATATTTAATAAACAATATCGAACGACATTTGGTTGCCACTACACATCGATATTTTCATTAGTCATTTTTTACACAAAAGCAAAAGAAAAACGGTGCAAGTGATTATTCAGCAAATTTTTTGATGTATTTTGATTTAATTAAGGCAAATTACAAAAGTTTCTAATCAAATTATAAGAATAAGAGTGCGTTGGCAGCTGCCCATTCGGGAAAACTACAAAACAATACACGATTCTATGTGTGTTATTGTGACGCACGAAAATCGATTGCGTACAAGGCGACAACACCACACAAGAGTGCAAGTGCAGCTACAATAACAACGAGCAGCAGCAGCGGACAATTGACGACGTAATTAAACAGAATACAACAATCACACAAGTAATTAACAAGCAGCTGAGTTTGGTCGTTTGGTCTAAGAAATGGGCATATTTGGGCAATCGTCGTCGTTCGACGCCGATGTAGGTAAGTTTTCTGTTGATTTCTCACTTTCTCCAACCACAACAATAACAGTCGCCCTTAATGAAAACATTGATTCCCTTGCAATTAATGTGCGCTGCTGCCTGCTGTATTTTCCTTTATCTAATTTGCCATTTTACCACCCCCCAAATCCACTCGGCAAACAAACAAAGAACATCTTAAGTCAATTCCGAGTCACATGCGTCGCTTTGTCCAGAAGCTGCGCAGCTTTTGCTGCTGCGTCTGTTCATTGAACTTCTTTAAAGTTTTGTTTGCAGTCGCTGACCTTGAAGTCGGCGCCAGCAGCCACCCACATCCCCCTCATTCCTTACATGTGCTTTTTGAGATACCCCTTCCTGCAGGATGAAGAGTACAATGCTCAAAGTTATTTAATTAATATTAAAATTTTTAAATGCTGCGAAATTCATTATAAATATATGCTACATCCATACCAGTCCATTACATGATATTTGAGCAATTTAAACATTCACAAATACTTGAATAATATAAAGAAAGTTCAGACAGATATATACATAAATAGGCAAAGATGTAGTGCTAGGACTTCTAAATAACACCAATAAAAGATTTCTCTCCCTGGTCTAGTGAAATAGATATATAGTAGAGTATGTAAATATATAAGTTGAGAGTAGAGTATGTAAATATATAATTAACCATCCGGTTAATTAATAATTATTGTCACTCGATTATAATTAAGCCAAGAACTGAAAAATGAAAATATATAAAAAATGTTTGTTAAAGTTAATTAATGTGAAATGGGAAGTTGACTTAAAAAAGTTTTTCAATTGCTGCAGATCCGGTTTTAAGTATAAGTATATAAGACAACATGTTTTTAAGAAAATCACATTTATATATATTATAAATATACTGCATACAAACATTTATTATGTCAAACAAGTAAGGTTTAAATAAATGGTTTGTCATTTAAATATTCTACAATCCATGGTGTTATATATGTAAATATACCATACCCTATACTTTTCGCTGCTTTGGTTTTCTTGTCTGGCCTCTCTTTAATGCAATTTGCTGTATATTATATTGATTTTGCTTTGATTCTCTGCCTCGCTTATCGCCTTTCATAGGCGCGCACTGTGAGTCAGTCAACGATAAGTAAACGGTTCTGTATTTTGAATAAAATGTTGTCTGACTTGCTTTTTTTTCACACATTATAATAGATAACGCAGTTAATCCATAGACTTTTTATAAACCCCTCGATTGTTGTTTTCCGCTCATCCACAGAAAAGGCTACCAGCGAAACGAATACGACTGATAATTGGTCTTTAATAATGGATGTGTGCGATAAGGTGACGACCAATCCGCGCTTAGCCAAAGACTGCCTGAAGGCGGTGATGCGACGGATGGGCCATCCTGATCCTCATGTCGTCATGCAGGCCATCACACTGCTGGATGCGTGCGCCAACAACTGCGGCAAGCCGTTCCATCTGGAGATGGCGTCGCGCGACTTTGAAACTGAGTTCAAACGCTTGTTGGACAAAGCGCAGCCGAAAGTTGCCTTGGTAAAAAAATATAAATATATATAAAAAAAACTTTTATAAATATATACCTATTTGCTTTACAGAAAATGCGCCAGGTGTTCAAGAATTGGGTTGAAACCTATTTCAAGAATGATCCGGAACTAAATCTAATTCCCACGCTGTATCTGAAGCTGCGCCTTGATGGCCACGACTTCAGAAATTTGAACGACAAGAGCAGCGACAAGTCAGCAGCAGCTAAGGCGGCAGCTGCAACGCTGGCCAAAGATCCGAACGTGGTCAGCAGTCAGCAGGAGGAGGATGATATAGCCAAAGCTATAGAGCTGTCGCTCAAGGAAACCAAGAGCAGCCCCAAACAGCAGCAGACAGGTGGCGCAGCAGCTGCTTCAACGACCAGCAGTGCCTATCCCTCGCTGTATCCCTCATTTGGCGGCAGCACAGCGAGCACGCAAAGCAACGGAAATGGAAATGCCAGCAGTGGCAATGCTTCTGCTGCTGCTGCATCGCGCACTGTACGCGCATTGTACGACTTCGAGGCAGCGGAGGAGAATGAGCTGACCTTCTTCTCGGGCGAAATCATACACGTGTTGGACGACAGCGATGCCAATTGGTGGAAGGGCTACAATGACCGTGGAGAGGGTCTGTTCCCCTCGAATTTTGTCACTGCCGATTTGTCTGTAGATCCCGAACGCTTGGATATCAATCAACAACACAAAAACAATGCCCAGAAACAGGCAGCAGCCGAGGAGGAGGAGGCGCTGTTGCAACAAAAGACTGAAGCGGCTGCCGCACAGCCCGTTGAAATTGATGAGGCCAAAATAGACCGCTTGCTGCACTTGCTGCACGAGGCCAATCCCGAGGATCCCTCACAAGACAGCGACGAAATGCTGCGTTTGGAGCAGCAGGTTCACCAAATGGGCCCTCTGATCGATGCCGAACTGGAGCGGGTCGATCGCAAGCATGCTCAGCTGACACAGCTGTCCAGTGATCTGGTGGATGCCATCAATCTGTACCATTCGCTCATGCGTGATGATCGTGCAGCTGCAGCTCAGTTTGGTGGTACTGGCTTCATGTCCGCCGGCTTCCCAGGCGCTGCACTGTATGGCGCACCTGGTTATCCCAGCGCAGCGGGCTTTCCGCCAGGCCAAAGCTATCCGGGCATGCACTCTCTGCCGTATGCACCACCACCAGGCAGCAATCCAGCAACAGCCCCAGCCACAACGGCCGCACCACCTGCAGCTTATCCTGGACAAGTACCCATGCCATACCAAAACGGACATCCCCCGCAGATGAACAGTAAATTATTTTATTGTCTTATTGTTTGATTATTTGTTAATAGCATCAATTTGCTTGCAGTGCTGCCACCTCATTTATCCCAGTCTCCAGCAGTTCCACCGCAGTCTCATCCTCAGCCCCACCCTCAGCCTGTCTACAATGCACAGCCTACGCCAGTCACTACTCAGCAGCAACAACCCCAGCCGATTACAAATTATCCCATGCCCTTGCCCGTTGAGCAACAGCAGCAGCAGCCGCAACAGATGCCGCCTTCCACGCTGCCACAGCAATTCGCCGGCGCACCACCAACAGCTACACAAATTCAACACCAACAGCCACCGCCGCATGGTTATATGTCGCCGCAGCACCAACAGCAGCAGCAACAGGCTTTACCGCCGCAGACATATTCAGCTCAGCCGCCGCAGTTTTATGCACCAAACGGAGCTCCACCAGTCACACAGAGCTACATGGCGCCACCGCAGCAGCAACAGCAACAACCACAACAACAGCAACAGCAACAGCAACCACCACAACCCCAGCAGCAACAGCAACAGCAACAACCACACAATCACAACGATCATTTTAGTCAGCTACATCAGCAGATGGCCGCCATGTCGATGGCGCATCTTGGCGGCATGCCGCCAGCCGCATCGGGTGCGACGCCCGCATATCATATGCAAAACGATGCCGTCAAGAACAACATTCCTATCTATCAGCAGCAGCGGTAAAACCGTTCAATTTGTTAGCCAGCAGCAGCAGCAGTTTCATTCAATTGATTTTGCTTTAACAATTGCCAACAAGTCTTTGTTTCCAAATTTCGTTCTAATATATAAAGGTCCATTGAAAATTAGTTTCAAGTGGAATATTTCATTTTATTTTGAGTTGTTTTCTTTTAATCACGGCATCAGAATTAATGTATTGCCAAAAAGAAACCTAAATTTGATTGTTTGTTTACATTTTAATCATTTATTTGTTATTCGATGAAGTATGTGTGTAATCTCTAAGAAAATATCGGGCATATGTTTGCAAAAGCGCCAAAAACTAAGTTTTTAAATAAGCAAAAGAAGAATGGAAAATGTTTTAATGCTATTTATATACCATATACCATATAAATATTCTATATTATGTATAACTCTATATTGAGCGTTGAACGAGGAACACAGTTTGACGGCGAATCAAACAGAATTCACTATCACTATTATGTATTATGTTTATTACACTATTATAATTATATGATGATAAAAATTAACAAACGATACGAATCACATTCATTATGCAAACCATTAAAAGGTTGATCGGCTTCAAATGCTGATCGAATAATAATATAACTATTATAATACAATTGCTTAATTTGCTTAATTTTGTTTAACGAGTGCGCAGCTTGATGTAGCGCCTAATGTAATACTCCTCGTCGATCTTATCCAGCATCAGCAGGCGAAGCTGCAGCATTTCGCGACGATACCTGGATTCCATTGAGCTCAGATTGGCCTCATTTAGCCACGCCTGCACCTCCGAGTATAAGTCAATGAATTTGCCACGA